CCCCCCCCCCCCCGCTTCCATAAAGCCACCTGCGTCCATCATGTCCAAAATCACGTGATCAATCACGTGATGCTCGCTAACTGCCCGGGTGGAGGACGCGATAAAAACAATCTCGAGGCATCAATCTTGAAATCCCTCTTCGTACAACACACACATCCTTGCAAATTCCGAGACGACTCAAAACTCCTACCTTCAAAGAGACGTCCAAAAACCAGACCTTCCCCAATCTTCATGTTAAGCCACATTCGAGTATACACCACTGGCCCCCTCGCACTTTCTACAGCGGTAGGAGTAGCAAAGCGTCTCCCTGGATGGCATACCTATATGTGTCGCTGTTCGAAATCGTGATTAACAAACACTGCCCGCAAGTTCAAAGTTACTTGGAAGACCAAGCTGTCCACTCCTTCCCAGTTGATTCCTGATTCCCAATCTGCTGAGAATGACCTGGTTCGTGCCTTCCACATCGGTTGAGAATCACTAAGAGCATGCCTTTCCCACAATTTCCACACGTTCCGAATATTTGCCTTCAACCCGAAGTCCTGATCTCCCTTAACATCGTCGTCAGATTCGGACTCACGATGAACGGTCACGAGGCTCACGGTCAGGGCCAGTACCAGTACCATAGAGACCCGCGTCTGCAACAGAACCAACAGCAAGTCACCATAGGATTAAATCCAAATCCCCACCAGATACATCAATACACGTAACCTATCTATGTCATGGCACCGAATCCAAGTCCTGCTCCAGTCCCCCAGATCCTCAATTCGCGCAGGCTAGCTATGGTATGGGACTCAATCTTGGTCCTCCATGGATACCTCAAGCCCCCAATTTCCCTCACCTGTCTCAGCACTTGCAACCTAGCTATGGCATGGGATACAATTTCGGTCCTCCACAGATGCCTCAATATCCACAACCTAGCTATGGCATGAGATACGATGTCGGTCCTCCACAGATGCCTCAATACCCGCAACCTAGCTATGGTATGGGCTACAATGTCGGTCCGCCATGGATACCTCAATACCCGCAACCTAGCTATGGTATGGGATACAATTTTGGCCCTCCACAGATGCCTCAATACCCGCAACATGGTTATGGCATGGGATGCAATTCAAGTCCTGCTCAGTTCACTCAGTTCACTCAGTTCCCTCAGATGCCTCAGTACCCAAAACCAAGCTATGGCATGGCACCACCTCTTAATAATCCGCCGGTTCATCAGCAAGTTTCAAACAATGGCCCTGTTGATCGGAAACCTTCAAACAGTGACAATGTTGATCAGAAACCTTCAAACAGTGACAATGTTGATCAGAAACCTTCAAACAGTGGCCCTGTTGATCAGCAGCCTTCAAACAGTGACTATGTTGATCAGAAACCTTCAAGCAGTGACAATGTTGATCAACAGCCTTCAAATAATCGGTCTGATCGAGAAGATAATGGAACGAAGAAACGAAGGCAAGTCATTTTGTTCCATTCGTGCTCGAGTTTGTGTTTCGTTTTAAATATCACACCAAAGCAGTCCATGGTAAATACATACCTCGAAATGGCCACCGTTCTATGTCGAGTGGCATATCATAATGTTGTGGCGGAAATTGAGTTGGCTGTCTTGTGGACGCACGTTTCGTTGACCAATTCCCGCCCTCCAACGACCCACCTCAAGTTTTAGCCCACCTTTGTGTCTCAGTCAGACAAGCTAATCTTTGCATTGTTTCCTGATATAGACGTACATCAAGCCCGAGTGCCAGAAAAAGAATGCGGAAAGAGCAGGGGGAGAGAATACTCCTATTATTCCTGTGGGAGCTCGGGTCCACATCAATGGAGCAGGCCAATTCCAGTATTCCATCTTCGAGCACTCGCGAGCACTCGCTCTCGCGCTTCAAGAGATACTCCCATGTTTCCAGAAGCCAGACCCATTCGCATTCTTTGACGACGTCGTCATTTCTGCTGTGGGGTTTCTTGCGGAGCTCAAATGTGGGACCCTCCAACGAAGGAGGACTATTGAATTACGAGTTGTGACGGGAAAAGCTTGGCTGGGTATTAGCTTTGATATTATTTGGACTGACAGGAGGGTAGCTATAGAGCAAAGTACCAGGCTCCAAATCTTTGCCCAATGTCGCTAGCTGCTTACAATATGCATACCGGTCTTGTTAGTATTAATCTTGACTCTGCAATGTGCTTCTCTCAATGTTTGATTATCTCATCCTTGGGGTCTAAAGAACTAGAGATCCGGCTTTTTGTGAAGAGCAAAATAAACTAGAAGCTATCGCTGTTTACATTGAAGAATAAGGCTTCGACAGAGAAGATAACGATTTAGAACCAACTATACTTCAATATCAAAATCTGCTAATACTTCGAGCTTGCTACACAATAACAAGTCGAAATAACAAAATATCTAGACAGCGGAGACTTTGATGGGGTGATGAGACATCTTCTAACCTCTCTTCGCTAAGCTGTTTCCGACAGATACTGTACCGGATATATTAATCCTTAAAGATTTGTTGTGTTTTTTCAAGGTAAGAAGAGAAATTTCAAAATTCCTGAGAAAGAAATCCTATATGATAATGTTAATTTCCTTGTACAGAGAAAGAGGTGGGAGGGTGAGTAAATAGTACTCAGGGTCTAGAGCATGGCTAGGTAGTTTTACTACTTGGACAATTTCGGTTGGACCCGTTGAGCTGATTCTGATGGAGGTTAAGTGTGCCTGCCTCTAGAGATGATTTCAAACTCTAGCTCTGGCCTTAGTCGATAGGTATTCGGTATATATACTACAAGAGTTGTCACTTTCATTCCCAGGCTTAGGAAGGTTGAGGAGATATCAAGTTCATAAGGAGAATTCATCTTAGCAGAAGCGAGGAGTATGATTTGGGAGTCTGTTATTAACTAGATTTTCATGTTTGAATGCTATTTTGGGGTCTGTTCAGTTCCTGCTGAGGTTGTGATTTTGAGGGGTTGGGAGTGATGGGTTGAAGGGTGGTGGGCTCAGTTCCTGCTGAGGTTGGTATTTTACGACAATAGGGTTGTCGGTGTTGTATTTCAGGTACTAAGTACGATCGGCTTCCTTTATCAAGGTAGTATGTATGTCAAGAATTGTGCTCAGTTAATGCGGTGTTTTGACATTGACGAGAAGCGGGCCGTTCTCGAAATCCGTGGTCCAGGAGAAGGTGTAGAAGAAGCCGAAGACCGTCAAGGATGTCAACGCTTACTTCTCGTTGAACCAACTTGGGACAAGAAAATCTAGGAAATATTTTCGTTTGGCCTCTCGTGCAGCCCTTCGAAGGGCCTTCTTGGCTTTCTTGGCTTCTATGGCTTGCTTTTAGCAATTTTGAGTTGTTCTTCTTTCGTTATTTTTCTGTATCTCGCCAGCCTTTCGTTGAAATAAACACTAATTTCTTCTCGTGCCTCGTCTCTAGACAAAATTCGACCCTTTCGCGCAAGTATCAGTTCGCTATGAACACCGTAATTTCTGCCAAAGGGTCCACCTTGAGGTTGGAAACAGAAATATTTCCGATTACTGGCATCGAATAAGTTAAAATGTGGGGGTTGCATTGCGGAATAAGACTGTTCCCCAAAAGGCACGTAGCGGGCTTCGTGTTTGTCCATGATCCGTCCAGTATCGAAATGGTATGGCGGCATTGGGAAACCCGCTATTCGACAACCCCTCTTTAATAGATGACGCATCAACGTACAATCTAAGACGAATATATGTTCAAGCTTTGGTAGGTAGGGGTCTTCAGAAATAAAATCTTCATGCATGTCGCATATGTGCACATCGCACTCGACAGCGATATTTCTTATTTGCGTAGTCACCTCCTGGAAGCTGTTCCCGAAGACCGCTTCCAAGAACACTCGTGGATGTTCAAAATAAGTATTGTTTGGAGGATTCTTAACCATGTTAAAGAGACTTAGCGTATCTTTGTTAGGTTGGAAAAGAATATCCGAGACTGACATGTTCTCTCCAGTGAACGGGAAGCACCTTTCTGGCGAGAAAGGTGTAATATAACGATTTTGCAACTCATATCTTGACTCTCGGTTCACGTGTAACAGTGTTGGTCCACAGCTCACACTGATTGCGTGCCAGCGGAGCTTTGTTTGATGCCATCTTGAATGAGCGGGCTGGCCATATATTGTGAAGACCCGCGGATCCAAGTTGTCCTCCGCCACTCTCCATATTTCGAGTCTGAGCTCAGTTGGGAGTTCTGAGAATCGCGGGAATCGTGCATTGGCGATGGCGGCTTTCTCCTCTTCTGCTTGTGCTTGTGCTCTTGCAATGTCGCTTAGCGGTGCCCAGTCTCGAAAGTCTCTTTCGACGTGGCAGGTTTGACACATCTTGGAATTTACGGTATTGATGAATGTGATGAACTGATTAACTGATGTGAGGTATGTTATTTGATTTTGTGTTGAGAAGGTGGTTTCTGAGAAGTGTTTGAAGAGCAAGAGATATTTGCGAGGATTGTAGCTTGGAACGCGGGGTTTTGTGAATGAGACTTCTTGTGAAGTTGTGATTGTGTTTATGGTATGATTCACAACTAGAGTCTGTCGAGTTTAGTTTTGAAGAGTGAATCAAGATTTCTTCACTTTAGACTTGGCTTGGGGTTAGAGTAAGAGACCAGGTCAATACTCTATACACACTACAAATATAATTATACTAATCGACTAGCACAAGTTATTCATTTGTCTTAGTGTGCATCTAGGCATAGAAAATAAGAAGTAGTAACTATTCCAACCCATCTTTATACTTACCATAGTAGTGCGATACCTTTGCAATTGGGTAATATTGTTCTTAGCTAGGTGTGTCAGTCTTATAGAGTAATGACTACGTCCCTTACAAGGTATCCATCCTCTGCGGTTCCATGTCCAACGATGTCTCATTGGGATGATAACCGAATACGGGAGACTCATATTCAAAACGATATCAGATTACAGTTAATCGGCTTAACTAAATTTGCTCATTTTAGGAAAGACAGGAAGACGTTGATGTGCCCATTTTATTTCTTGGAATACCATAAGTACAAATATTTCAGGCTAAAATTCCACTCAAAAGACCCATACATGTTACTTCATCCTTCACCCCGTCTAGTGAACTCCTCTAGGATGCCTTCTTAGTCAAATATGTTTGTAATATAGGCTTGGTTGCTAGATAAATCGAAAGACAACAAGCAACACCAGAAGCAAGCCAAAACTCATTGCTGGTCTCTCAGCTGCCCCTGAAGTTCGACTGGGACTTGTGACTGCTGGAGGTGATATTGAACTGGTAGCTTGCGTAGTGCTCAAGGATGTTGTCAGAGATACGTCCAATCCCGAGATCGTGGACGAGCTTGATTGAGTGATTGGTGTCTGAATAGAAGTCAAGCTTGAATCCCAGGTATGAGTATGGGTCATAGATCCTGACTTCCTGATCGTTTTGTGCGTTGAGGTTGAGCTTGAATGACCAGTGCGGCTCAAAGTTGAAGAGTGTACAACTGTAGACGATCCAGATGGATCAATGTCTCGTGGGGCAGTGAACTCAGCTTTCTCCTTGGGTCGGTCAGAATTTCCGGAAAAATAGGCGATTTCATAACGATCATTGGCTACCAGTTTTAGACTACTGATATCAATTGTCGCCCCCTTTCGTTCGGAGATTTTGACGTAGCTCCAATCGATAGTTGTCCAATCGCCGCTTCTAGCCTTTGTGTATGAAAAGTGACCGCTATCGGAAGGTTTTCGTACTGATTGCGTATACGTGATTACATGCTTGGGAAGGGCGCTCAAGTCGAAGGGCCCATCGTTTGAAGAACGGATGATATTGAGTGCAGATGCTTTATATGAATTAGCAAGTTGGTTCTAATCGGAGCTGAAGCAAAAAGCAGATGATAGAAAGGTTCAACCCCTACCCATGACTGGTAATGGCTCTAATGAGCACTAAGTATTTGTTAAAGTCGGCTCTCTGGTATTCTTGCAAGATATTCCTTCAAAGTGTGACCCAAAACCCAGGAAATATGAAATCACCACAAAGATACCCTAGGACGTGTAGAACACAATAATGTGATGGGCGGCCACAGGTTCTTGGAAGAGCCTCAAGTCACCGCGAGCAGTATTGGAACTTAATAGAAGTCTTGAGGTTACATTCGAATGCACAGCCTCTTCCGCAAGATTTTAAACCAGTTTAATGGCAATTTAGTTGAAATAGCCGGCAGAGCTAAGCGAAAGAGGAGGATGGCCGGCTATTAGCGGTTTGGGGGCTATATGGGGGCCAGATTACTCTATGCTGCGCCTGGTGCAAGATTTCTGGTCACAGCATATTTCCAATGCCATTTTGATTGGAGAGTTGGATCTGTTCACCGGAACAATGTTAGACAAATTTCCAATAGGAGTATGACTTTCATTTGTTCATTTATGGAGTAGGGTGGATGTGATTCAACTCTCGAATGAGGTGCTCTCCAGCCTTTTGTTGGCTCTACAAGTCAGCCTAGCCTTGTTAACTAGGTGGATGAGTGAGTACCTTACCCCTGATATGGTTGCCTACTGTGAAACGACCATCTTGTTCTTTGGGACGTGACACTTGAACTCAATAATTTTGTAAGGCTGGCAGAGCGTTGAAAGACTCAAATCAACAATTCAAAAGCCTTGCTTAAGTCCGTATCTTTTCTAGTCCAGTTGACAGCAATATATTCAACTCTGTAGTACCGAAATAAGGATCCTTGAAAGAAAGATGGGATAAAATTGATACGAAAAGGCGCAAATGAATGCAAAGTTGACATTCACAAGACATATCAAGAAACTCCAAGTCCATATAAATCACGTTTATTAAGGGAAATTAACAATCAGTATCCAGATCTCAAAGTGAAATGCCCCAAATTAATAGAATAAAGAAGAGGTTCTTAGCTAAGAACAAAGACCAACCACATAGCTGTATTCTACACGTCAACCATCCCTATAATATACATGCTTCTTTGTTACACAGGATATCCTTGTTCTATATTAAACAATCCCTTGTGAGTAGTATTTGAGGTTGTCTCTTTTACACTTGGATGTATCTTGATCATAAACCAAAACCCAGACTCCATTCACACGTAGTCAAACATCACAAAAGCCAAAAATGACTAGAGAAAATCGCCCGAAAACCAAAAAGTCTTCTTCGAAGGCTCCTCTTCCTGAGAATATAGGGAAGGTACTGGAAGAGACCCCCCACACAGAGGTTTTGCCCAAATTCGAAAAGTTTTGTCAGCTCCCAGCCGAGCTAAGACTTATGATTTGGAAGTTCGCCGATGACGACAAATCGCATAGTCGAGTATTCACGTTGGGGGTTGGAGGCATGGGCACATGGCGTGTTCTTCCAAGTTCCCCCCTTCCATTACTTTCTGTATGTTGGGAGTCACGGTGCGAATTGATCAGCGGACTCACTGCGCCTTTTGAGTTTGGAAGAACTTTGACTTGGCATGCTATTTGATCCTAAGCGAGACTGCCTAGAATTCACATGCCAGGAGGCTCGTAATTCATTCGAGGAGGAAATGATCAAGGGCGAGCTTGAATTTGATACACCACTGGATATACAATACGACCAATTGGTCCGCATCAGCCGAGCTCGTTATGCCTGCCCGGGTCCTTGGAAATTATACCCATTGGCATTTAAACAGATCTCTGGGGATGTAAGTAAGGATTAAATCTCCTCTACTTTATGAGCAAATTGTACTCCCAGAAGTTCCTCCCCCTATCCCATAAATGAATGTTGATGAATATCCTGAGATCAGCCTTTAAGCTCCAACGCCTCACTAGGAATTCAAATGAGGATTAAAATGGGCTCTTCATGTCAACTCACTGACTGCAAAATATCAACACATATTTAATATTAAACGACCACTAAAATACCCTGTGAAAACCACCAAATTGTTTCGTTGTTATACAAATCCCATCTCTTCAAAAGTAAATACAAACAAAAGGATCCTTCAATAACTTCGTAAATGTCTTCTTAGAAAGTCAAAGCGTACCAATCACAAAGGAGTCTGTTTTCATGCTCCTACTTTTTATGCTATTCTGTTTGGTAAGTGACCGGATTTGAGTAGGCATTATTTTACAGCAGAGGAAACACCCCTCTCTAGTGAGGGTTTATTGACTGAAATCGCTAGCAAGAGCCACAAAGAAGCATGCTGGAACTTCAGCGACAGCAGAAACAAAGACTGGCTGCGATACTTGCATTTCTTTATCAACAGCAACAACAATGACCCGTACTTCTTTTATGTACAGTAAAACAATTCTATTGAAAGGATACTTGAGCTCATCTCCTCGCACAATTTAGTAGAATCATAACCACCACGCGATCCAATTGGTATTTCGAAACTTCCAATAACCCAAAATGCCTAGAAATCTTCAGTCAAAAGATCCTTCATTGAAGCAACGTGTCCAGGGAAGATTCCGAAATCTACTCGGAAAGAGACCCCATTTCGACGAGAAAGACGCATCATCTGTCTCTGATACAACCAAGTTCACAAAGTTCACACAGCTAACCCCCCGAGATCAGACTTCTAATATGGTGACAAGCCTACGAGGAATCTGATCCTCGTGTTTTCGAAGCAACCCCTGCGGTAGGTAGGTACATTCCATTTCCAACAAGACAAAGAACCGATTCCGACCGTGGTACTTGGCAGGTACAGGCAGACAACAAGCTTACCCTACTTGCCGTTTGCAAGGAATCACGATATGCGCTGTTGAAACGGTTTGTTGCTCCTTTCCATAAAGGGAAAACAATGACTTGCGACGTTCAGGGTATACCACATGTCGTGAATCTGCTATTTGATCCTAGGCGAGATGTTTTGAGTTTCTGGTGTGAGATGTATCGCGCTTTCTTCACGACTGACATCCTAGAGGGCGGCTATGAATTTGGTGTGGGTTTGGATATTCTACAGGACTGCAGTATTGCTGTTGATGGTCCTTGGACAGTTCGCCCATTAGAGATTGAACAAGTCCATGGAGACGAAGGTCTAGATGAGCCTATGCAAAGCTAGGCTACAAAAGACTCAGGGACCCGTTCATATTCGATTGCTCATGATTAAGTATATATGATTTCCAATTGTAACCCCCCCACTTAAATAACCCCCTCAATTATTAACACGTAATTTCCACTAAATGAAATGATTCCCAAAATCAATTTACACATATCACCGCACTTTTTGACATTTATGAAAACTTGCTACCTTTATGTTATAGATATCTTGGCGGGCCCCATTTGTGAAGAAAGTTGGAATTACTTTACACGTAGCTAGTCTAGAATAATAATAATCATGATATTAAAGCCTCTCAATCATGTCTTTGTTTCTCTATGTCTCTTGTTTCAGTATAAATAAATGTTACTTCACAATAAAAGACATAACCTCTCTGAAAATTGTCAAAATCTCAACTATCTCTAATTTATAATGCAATAGCTTAAAAACACGCAAAGAAAAGGAGCCCCTACTTTGTACAGTATGAACACTCAAAGTTCTATAAAACGAAAAATCTCCCCTTCCCGCTCCTCAAAGAAAGGCATATCCTCTGTCACACTTATATCCATTCAGAGTTAGAACCCAGACCGTTAAGCGAAGATCGACTTGAATTGACGACTTGATTGCACTTTGTATCACTTATCCACCGACGAGTTTCTGTAAAAAGCAGCCACCTTACGATTAAGCGAGTTTTACTGGGAATGAAACATGGCAATCGCATTTCTCTACCTTTTTTGCTATCAGTGCCATGATGCATTGATGGTGATCTCAAGCTGATAAACGGGGATTTTCTTTCAAGCCCCCATGTATTTTTAATTCACTGCTCTATTTCGATAAACCAAAAGGAGGTTGAGTATTGATATCAAGTAGAGTACAAGTAACCTGGTCACATAAAACCAATATCCCTAATAACTCTACCAGAACTACGTGGAATCACCACTTTCCATCTTCTCACTGTCCCCCTTCTTCTCCATCTCTACCCCACTCACACCCTCAACAACCTCCCCATCCGCCAACGCACCCACAGGCACCTCCCCAACCGTAACCTTCGGCCCAGTAAACCACTTCCTCGCCCACCCAAAGTAATACCCCAACGCCCCACCCCAGACCGCACAATTAATAACCACAGTATAATTCATACTCTCCTTGCTCGGGCCAGGTACCGCAGTAGGAAACATACACAAAAAGATCCCAAAAACCAAAAACGTGACGGCAAACCACGCAATCGGGACCGAGAACCTACCTGCGTAAAAGGGGCCCGGGACGAACTTCTTCTGTCCCCATACGACGCGAGAGAATATTGGAAGACCCCGGGCGGGGTTATTCCCCGCTACCGCGAGGGAGAAGAGGGCAGATGCTGCAGCGGGAGCGATAAGACAGAGTAGCCCGAGGATGGATGCGAGGAGGACGCAGAACCAGATGCAGCGGAGGGGGATGTAGCCGAAGCGAGCGGAGATGGGACGGAAGAAAGTCGAGAAAGGTAGTGCGCACGAGAGAATGCCCATGTCTGTCTTGAAGCTGCGACTGTGATGGAGAGTCCCATGAGGAATTGCACGATGAAGAGGAGGGACATGAGACCTAACGTTCCGTTCTTGCCAATTGCGTCGTAGTAAATTTGGGCCATTGGCTGGCCGTATGGGGAGCTGAGAACGGATTCGAGATCTGGGTTTATGCAGGCGGCGAGGACAATCATTATTATGAAGCCTAGGACCCAGCATGAGTCGATGGACATGAGGACTCCATAAGGCACGGCTTTGGTTGCGTTGGCTGCTTCTTCGGACATGTGGACGCAGCTGTCGAATGCTCCTATTGTCCATATTGGCGAGAGCCACGAAAGCATGAATGCCCACCCAGTCGGCCAAGTCGTCAAGTTCTCAGACTTAGCAAAAATATAATGCGCATCATTCCTCTCGCTACCGAGACGTTTGCCCACAGGAAGAGCAATAATTGTCGCAGCAATGAGGATCAAATTCATAACCACAAAAACCGATTGCAATTTCCCCATGATTTTCGAGAGTTTAGAAGCCAACACACCATGAAGCAGCACACAAGCGAGGAAGACCGAGTACACAACCCCATTCGAGGGTTCCCAATTCCCGTCACGGGCAACTACAATCCTAAAGTCTGTCAGAATGATACTCGGAAATGAGACGAGGGGGATCTACACAGCCCAAAACATCAAAGCAAACCCATAATCAATACTACAAAGTCCCCCCACCAGTCCCAACGTATTCGAATATCCAACCAAGAAACTAAGTGCATTCCTCGTCTTCGGCGAAGCAAAATAATGAGTCCTATTCCCAGTCAACATCCCCCCATACCCTAATTCAAATTATCAAGAAAAAATACGGGAATACAAACCACCAATACAACCCCCCCGAAGTCGGCATCGCACTCCCCAAATCCGCCATCGCAACCCCAACAACAAAAATATACCCACTCGCCAAAAACCACCCCCAAACCATGCCCACCGGTCCCGCAGGAATGGAGAACGCAAGCGTCGAAGCGATGGAAGGGAGCAGCTCCATGATATTAAATGCGATGCCAAAGACCTCAATCATAGTAAAGTTCCGACGGAGTTCCTGTTTATAACCCAGTTTCGCTAGCATGGCTTTAGTGAGGGAAGAAGGGAGATTGGATTGGGTATGTACCTAGGAGCTCAGCATCTACTTCTCCTGCTAGAAGCTCGATGGGAGGAGCGGATGCTGGGTTTGGGGTTGCCATTTTTTCGAGATTTGGATGCTGGTCGTTAGCTGCTTGGGATGGTGTCGTGCGGTCCATGGTGTTGATTGATCAATCCAATTACTCAAATTTCCTGGGGAAATTTTCCAAAAGAAGGGAAATGTGAAGTGAGATATAGAAGATATAATCAAATCGACCATTTCTCACGGTCACACAAGCGCATCACCCTCGCATCATCCCATTGGTCGTGTGTAATGAAAAGCTGGGGGCATACAGGAGATAAGCAGCTGCATGGCGATAGCTTGATAGCAGGGGATTTAGATCGGGCAAGGGAGGTTGACTTGAGGATGATAGCCGAAAAAGTCACTCTGGTGGTAATGTAACTTGCAGACTTGCATGGTCATAAGGATATAATGAGGCTAGTGTGGTTCGGCGTTTTTTTTAGACTTGATACAGTAGCTTGGGTAGAGATGACGTGGGATTTCTTCAGATGAGGGGTACAGTACAGTCAAAGGAATGAGGGGTATATAGACAATAAGAAATAAACTACTTCCATGATTAATCTGAAGGGTTGTAATTACAAGTATGTCTCTCGCACTGAAAATACGCTCGCAGTCAACACAATTCGAACTCCTTCCGGCGTCTTTTCCGTCGACTTAACGTACCTCAGACTTTCTGAGCAACCTTTCCCCTTTGAGCAGCTTGATCCTGTTGTACACGATCCATAATCACATTAATATCCTTTCCTTCCATCTTCCACTCTCTTCTAATTACCTCCTCAGCCTGCGAACTCCTAGGACTGAACTCTGCCTTGAAATCTTCCGGTTTTGAATTAAATCCTTGGGTCATGTTCAAAGGATCCGGAACAATCCAAACCTTATGACCATACTTCTCCTCAAATGCGCATGTGATATCAAAAGCCCACAAGAAACGTGCGGTGATGATGAATAGAGAGTTTTTCGCAATGTGCTGACCGAAACATGTTCTCCGGCCATGGCCAAAAGCTACGACAGGAAGATTTGGATCGATAATCCACCGTTCGGGCTCGAAGCTCTCCGGGTTGGGGAAAATGTTCTCGTCGTGAGCGATCGACCATTGATTGGCGATTACTGTTGCTCCTTTTGGAATACGATACCCCAAATATTCATCTTCTTCGGTCACAGCATGGGGTACGCCGCCAGCAGCTACCGGTCGCCATCGTAATACCTCTTGCATGAAAGCATGAATGTATGGCAGATTGTCCTTGTCGCTGAAATTAGGTAGCCTCTCTTGTCCAACAACACGATCAAGTTCGGCTTGTGCCTTTTTGACAATATGAGGATGGAGGACTGCAGCAAGAACAAAAACCTCGAGTGCGATAGTTGTTGTATCGGTTGAGACCTCCCACACAATTCCCACATCGTACGCCAATTCCAAGGGTGACATTTGTCCCTTGTTCACGCTCTGAATTTCCTTGGACCAATTCCAAGAGGGTGAAGATTTGGCGTTGTTGAAGTTTTTGCTCCAAATATGAGACTCAGTGTTGAAAAGTTTATCCCCTAATCTCCTCCAGGGAGCTAAAACTTTGGGGAGCTTGTTGAGCATAGGGAATAAGTCGACAAGCCATCCGGGTTGTAGTGTACTCAGAGTGTTCTCGATAACCTCGTCTAATTCCTTCAAGTCTTGTGAATTCGTATCGGAGATTCTTTTGCCATAAGCGAGTGCGAAAACAAGACCAGCTGCGTAACGTCGAAATCCATCAGTGAATTTGTTTGTAGATAGCATATCGAACAGGAGCTGCTTGCTTTCGAGATCTTGAAGGACGCAGTAAGTCTGAGAGACTCGTACATTGAGGACATGCATCTGGAGTTTCTGGTGCGCCTTCCATTGAGCTGCATATGGCATCAGAAGCGTTAGCATTCCGCGGCCCAAGCACTCTGCTGCCATAACAACCCTAGGTCTGGAACTGTAGATACTGCTTCGCTTGTCAAGCAAGTCATGAGCTGTTTCATGGTTGTTGAGCATGATAATGGTACTGGGTCCGAATTGAAGCTTGAATATTGGTCCATACTGTTTTGCCCATTGCTGAAAGATTCTCCATGGATAATGAGTTGGTGCTTGGTGAAGGTTGCCGATTATCGGCAGTGGTTTTGGTCCAGGTGGGAATGGTAAAATCTTAGAATGTCTTTTATCATAGAATACTATGAAGCCCAAGACGGCGAGGCCGCCTAGAAAGAAGAAGGGCAGAGCCAACATGGTTGGAAGATTGGTGGAATATCTTCTTGCGGGAAAAGAGAGAAAATTCAGGAAAGGAACTTCGAAGCGATCATGGGAGTGAAAGCAAACATAGTTGTTCACCAGCTTGTTCTAGCTCCTTGACATTGCCCAAGTGCCAATCATCGCTGGGCTTGGACAACGGATGCATGCAGTAGAGAGATGTAACAGGGTAACATGGATGGGGCACTGCGAGTTTGGGATCAATGAGCATCCTCTCCTCGTAGTCTTCGATGCCTATGCGGGTCTCGATTGAAGAGCAAATCACCACTTGGGAATTGGTCCTCGTATCATTGGAGATGTGATCGGTGGCTCGCCAACTGTACCAGAGCCTTGGGTTGAAGAAAAGCTAAACCAGAACCAGTGAAAAGCATTCGCTACCAAAAGGAAATATGGAACTCATGCCTGGCAGCAATGGAAAAGGAAAGAAACAATTGCAAAGATCACAGAAACCGGGCGGTAACTCCCGCGGTGCCACGAATCTCCAATGGATTGTGGAAACGACCAGCGCTTACACTTGGAAACGGTAAAGCGCATGATACATCTGCAAGAGGCCGGAGAGACAAGTCATGAAGCGATGGAGGTAGAAGGTGGGAGGTGGGTCGAATATGCAATAGAGAACATAGTAATGGGTGCAGGTGGTGATGCGGTCCATGACACAATTGTGGAGTTGAAGGGGTGGAGGAGTGAAGGAGTGAAGGAGTGAATGAGTGAAAGGACGACGGGACGCTTGGATGGAGGTCTTGAGGTTGAAGTGACGGGACTCTACGGAGCAGGAGCTCGTACGGGGCACGTGCGGGGTACTCGTACATGCTCGTACATGTAAGCTTTTTCTCGACGAGGGGTTGAATGAAGCTCCGAGAGAATTTATATTCAATCCTGACCAGCACAACATGGCTGACACGTTAAATCGTCGTATGGTAAGTATTTACTTGATCCAAACTTTTACAATTGCTAATTTTATGCGCAGCTTTCGAAGGAGGACGAGGCGAAAGCAGCTGGCGACGAGGTTGAAGTACGAAGAGAAGACCAAGACAAGATCAACAAATTCAGTCGCCTTCATCAACGCGAAATTGCGATCGAGGAGGAGCTGAAGGCAAAGCATGTGCGTTCGGCTATAGAATCTGCATAAACTAGGGCAAACTAATGGCGATTCCTGCAGAAAGAGAAGGAGGACCTCGACGATGTTTCCAACGAATTAGAACTGGCAGACGAGGACAAGAAGATCCCGTATGCAACCCGACTGGTCTCACGATAACGAGCCCCTAGCTGACCCAGCAAATAGCTATAAAATAGGTGATGGTTTTGTTCACCTGCCTCTGGAAGAGGTCCAAGAAATGCTTTCCACCTCTACATCACGAATCGAGGAAGAAGTTGCTGTTTTGGAGGAGAAATTGAGCGAAATTAGGGAAGAGCAGACGGCGTTGAAGGTCGATCTATATGCGCGGTTCGGACGGAGTATCAACCTGGAGACATAGAAAAATACAGCCATACCCAAGATCCCCATTTATTGGCACAACAAAACATCAAAGATGTGATGTGGTTGGGGCGAGACGTTGGTCAGACAGAGTTTTCCTCATGAGATCTATCTGCTTGGTCCATCGAGCTATGGAGAGCCATCCCTTCGGAAACTCCATGTTGGACAGCCTTGATTTGGGATGGGGATGACATATTGTCTGGGCATTTTCGCTTCGTTGGCATACCAAGAAAGAGCCGCATATATTATACCGTCCACGGATAAGAAGGGGTCCGTGCTATTTCTCGAGTATCCGCTACTTTGACGAGTTCGTGAGGAGCTTTTCCACCGTTTGGGCAAATGCAATAGGCTTGATTTCCATGAAAGAGAAGATTAGGTCGCTCGACCATCGGAAAACCGAATGCCAATCAGTCAGTCCACCCGCGTTTTATACCAGCCTGCATATGTCATTGCAAAAGTAACTTCTTATATACGATTTGAAATATTTCATGGCCCATTCAATCAACTCTTTAAAACCCCCCACACTACTTGGTGTGGATTACAAAAACCACAGTATGTGAAGGTAGTCTAGCATCCGGCCATGCATTATTTATGCCCTCATGGCGACCATTTACTTCGTAACATTTTGGCTTTCCAACGGCTTTTAGCGAGAGATTTGCAGTTGACTTTATACCAATAAGCGGACACCATCCAAGCGATAGCTGTGCAAATACTATGAAACTACTGTAACAAGCGCCAAAGAGGTATTAGTACTTACATGAGTCAGTTTACAAGTTATCCCTTTTTTAGTCCTTAACTAAGCCCAGTTCGAGCGATATTAGCCTTCGTGTTCTAGATCGACTCCTTGTACTTGTATTTGTTGTTATAAAGGGTCTAGACAGCTCCGATCCCCCTCATGTTACTTTCTGGTGTAACTCCATGGGAATCGGACATGCTAATTGGTTGAGAGGGTTATATGCTAGGTTTATATCCTGCCTATTACAAGTCGTATATAGGAGAGAGGGAGACGCGAGCTATCTAGACCCTTTATTATAAGCTGGCCCTATATTCTCCTTATTCCATTACTATATACGTTATTCGATACTAGTTCGTCGCTAAAATACGCTTACTAAACGCATTAATAAGATATAATTCTAATTATCTACACGCTAATATACTTTCTTACTATTATCAAAACCCGCTAGCACAACTTCTCTGATCGATAAACATTGATCGGAGTTGTGTACCTACTGTATATCTATTATGGAATATCCCGGTACAAGGCTCTAGCTAAACATACCCTTATCCTCGTAGCCGAAGGGCCGAGACTCTTTTGACAGCTAGCTATACGAGTGTAGAAGTGTCATTGGCCGGGTAGGCTCTCTTCTAATGTACCTAGATATGAAGTACGATGCCGCATAACGTGATTTTAGCGAAGGTTAACCTACGACGAAGTAAATCAAACTTATGCAGTACAGCACTAATGGAGATAAAAAATGCCATGTGCGCGGCGGATGGGATGCGAAGTCGCTGACAAGGCTAATTTTGGGCCATTCAGAGAACAGCTTTCTACAGGTTCCTTAGGTAGAAAAGTCAACAACTCGCTTATCGTAATCTGCTACGTATACCACCGTAACAAGAGGAGTTCCAGCGAGCAGAAGCCTCTAGTTCACACTGTTCCGTAAAGGATCTAGACAGCTTGCGTCGCCCACTCCCCTGTATACGACTTGTTATAGGTAGGTTGTAAGCCCACAATATAACCCTTTAAGCCAACTGGATTGTCCGATTCATGTGGAGGTATATCAGAAAGTGATTAAGCATGGGGGGAGAGATCTGAGCGGCGAGCTGTCCAGACCCTTCACTCTACCCGCTCCTGAGCGTACTTTATAGGTTCGCTTCACTTCGTACTACGGTAGCAGCACCCTTCTTTGACAGATGGGCGTGAGCGGCTTCTAATGCAGCTTGCTATAGAGAGAAGTTGATATGAAATGTGATTTTGCTACCATTGTACTAATGGTGTCCTGAAGGACGTCCAGAATTTGCTTAATAGTAATATTACATATAACCACTCCCCTACTTCAGGTTCCAGACTCCTACTGCTATCACCCTACTGTTGACGATTCCTAGAACAGGGCTGAAAACCGGTAGAGAACCATGGGGATCGATTACTGTAAATGGTCGCTATGGCAGCATAAATAATGCAGCAGTCCCTCCCTACTGAGTTTCTGTAAAAGGCTTAATTAAATTAATTTTCAGAAACCTGGCTCGGATATACTGTACAAAAGGCTAAGTTACAATGTAGTCTTTTGATTGGCCGTTCCGCTAAATAGCTTAGAGGAATAAACGTGTTAGGAAAACAGTCCCGCTCTTCATCTGAAATTATGCCTTTTCTAGAAACTCCCGTAGGACGGACTGTATAGTACAGTACATGTATATTTATGCTTTCGTGGTAACCATTTATTAGAGAGGTTTTGCCGCCGAAAAATAACAATAGTGGTAAGGTTTATTAGCGTATGGATAATAAGGCTTACCATTTATCGTGGGGTTTTGGAGGCCTTTAATAGTAAAGAAATAATAACGAATAAAGTGTACGCAGGGACGGTTTCTAATGCAAAAACAAATACGAGAGTCTGTTTAGAATACGAAGGCTTATATCGCTCAACCTAGGCTCAATTGAGGACTGGAAAGTGGGCTTTTCACTGTTATTTTGTGAATAAAACTTCGAATAGTACTATTTACTCTTGAGCCTCTAAATAAACTTCAAATAGTGGCGACGTGTTTTAAATAAAACGGTCAGATATCGCTCAGATATCGTCCACTTTTTAGTATAAACTTAACACTATTTTTGCCACTGTTTTTCGGCGGCAAGACCTCTCTATTCGATTCCGGATTCCGATGAATACTGTACTTGACTCGTGTTCTCAGTTGAAGAGTAGGTAAAATTTACCTAGGCAATTCTCTTTTGAGATTTACTGTACTGTAAGAGGTACGAGCGAAAATAGGCGTATATCGAGACTCTAGGAATCTAGATTGCTTGACTCGTAACGAGTTACAGAACCGTCTCGCTCGTATATTAAATAAAAAGTTATCTCAGTTTCTAGCCGCTGGTTTCATGTCCGATTTTCCCCCGTCCTCCGAGTCCGCCCCGACTCCGACTCCCCTTGCCAATCACACCCCACCAAATAGCTATATAGCGTTTATAGGAGAAAAGTGATTATTTTGGTAATAGGCCCCCGAAAAGCGATGACATGTAACTATTATTTATTTATAATAGTTTATATTAACGATCGTTTAATTGGTATATTTAATTAAGTAGATGTATACTTCAACTATATAATAAGAGGGCCGTACCTAGGCAAAGACATATAAAAAATACAGTTTTATCGGCGCAATTTATTCCTGTCCTAGAAGAGTATGTCTTTCCGACCTGTGAAAGCAGCGCTCCGTAGGTGAAAAGAGCCGCATAGACTACAGTATGGGTGAGTTTCGGTGTTCCTGTACCTGGCCTGGCATAATAGTCAGTGCCCTTCCTACTGCGCGTTCGCTTGTACAGTAACAGCGCCGTAGAAGAGCACTGACTAATACTCATATTGCCTACCTATTGTACTAAGTATCCACCTACCACTTCCTAATGAAGCAAGCCTACAACGATTCAGCCCTCATTTAGGACTCCAGAGTCTCTATCGATTTTACGAGGTACGAGTTAGAAAACTTATCGCGACTCTAGGAAACCAGATTGTCGAGAATCGTAGAACTCCTACTAGTATATTACTATTACTAAAACACCAACACTAGTACTGTATCTCGAAAATTTATGCAAAGACTTTGGATCTAACAAGCTCCGTTCGAGGAGGCCTGAGAGGTGTTATTCCGTCCCGGGCGAAATGATTGTAGGGTTTTCAGGGGTTGCCGACCTTAGCCACCCTCGGTAAACTTACGCTAATTTCGCCTGGGACGAAGTAGTACCAACAAAGGTCAGTTCACAAGTTATGCCACAAACGCCACTCAAAACAAATGTAAAGATTAGTGAGAGGTACCTGAATCGCTGCAGTCATTTAATTGATGATCTCCCACGAGATGAAGGAATTGAATAACTGTTTCTTTTGGAATTTAGAACCTCGTACCCTAATGAAATTATAGCTCGAGGAAGGGAAATTAACTTGATCTTACAACTCAACTATGCCTCGCTTGGCTGACAGTCACCATCACCGAGGAAGCGAATCTAGTGATGATGGTTTCGAGCATGAGAAAAGTAGGGGTAAGTGATCCGAGGTCTCGATGGTTTAGTTGTCGTCGCTCATACTCTCAGAACGCCATTATACGTTATGGCCTACAGTATCTCAAGCTAACAGGGCAGATACAGATGGCATAAAGATAATCGAAATAGAGGACGATGCCATGTCACAATATCCAAGAAAAACAATATCTTGGGAAGCTGGGGACCCAGAAAATCCGTATAATTGGACAAACGTAGGTATCTACTTGCCTTACTTTATCGTTCCTCGTTAATCGGTTTGGACATAGAAAAAAAAGACATACATAGTTATTGTTGGGGCTCTCTCTGTCATCAATAGCACATTGGGCTCATCCTTACCATCGAATGCTATCCCATTCATCAGCAAAGCATTCCACATCACATCTTCCTACGCTCAGATTCTCCCTATATCCATGTATCTTTTTGGTTACATTGTTGGACCTCTTGTTTTTGGTCCTCTGTCGGAAAGTTGCGGTCGCAGATACATCATGAGTACATCGTTTGTTGCTTTTACAATATTCACCCTGGGTTGTGCAGTAGCACCAACCTGGGAGGCCTTACTGTTTAACAGACTACTTGCCGGAGTAACGGCCAGTAGTCCTGTTGCGGTTACTGGGGGAATCTTTGCAGATATTTACGCAGATCCAGTTGCTAGAGGTAGAGCAATGGCCGCTTTTATTGGTGTAAGTTTCCCGCAAAGTACATCCACATCCAGATAGTATCCTAACGGACTAGGCAGCTTGTGTTGGACCTCTCATCGCACCTCCACTTTCAGGCTTCATCTCGCCCGCACTCGGTTGGCGCTGGACCTTTTGGGTAGGCTTTGTTTTCGCCTGTGTTACCCTCGCTCCCGTCCTCTTGCTCCCGGAGACCTACGGCCCTGTTCTCCTCGCTCGCCGCGCCGCAAGACTCCGAAAAGAAACAGGAAGCCCTGACATCGTTGCTCCCTTCGACCTTGGAAAAGAAAAGTTTCAAATAAATGGCAACAGTAACACTCGCCCGACCACTGCGAATGATGGTCTCGGAACTTATCGTTCTGGCAACATGTCTCTATCTAAGTCTCGCCTACGGAATTTTCTACATGTACTTTGTGCCTACCCCATCGTCTTTCAAGGAATCTACAAACAAAGTCCCGGGGTCTCAGGACTGACGTTCCTCCCCATCGGCGTCGGAACCATCGGTGCAACCATCCTGTTCCTCTCCTATGATTCCACGCTTCGAAAAGCACAAGCCTTGAAGAAACCCTGGACGCAGAAAGAAGAATCTCGACGTCTCCCCCTTGCATGTGTGGGTGGCCCGCTCTTCGTCGTTGGTCTATTCTGGCTAGGTTGGACGGCAAAGCCCCAAATCCCTTACTATGTCCCCATGTTGGCGGGTATCCCATCCGGAATGGGCTTTGTGCTTATCTTCATGGCGCTTCTCAATTACTTGGCGGATGCGTATGAGATTTATGCGGCGAGTGCTATGGCTGCTGCGTCTTGTGCTAGGAGTGTGGCCGGGGCGCTGTTGCCATTTGCTGCGGAGCCGATGTATAGACGTCTGGGGGTACAGTGGGCTACCAGTGTACTTGCATTTTTGAGTTTGGCCGTGTGTGCTATTCCTTGGGTGTTTTTGTGGAAGGGGGATACCATTAGGGAGGGGAGTAAGTTTTGTCGGGCCTTGAAGGAGAAGAGGGAGAGAGAGGCGATGGAACAGGGTAAGTAGAGAAGGAGGGAAGGGGATAAGAAGGCTTGGAAATATGTGGAAAGGATTTGAGGGTAGTTAAGTTAAGTTTTGTTAATGAATGGTGATGAATATGGTGTGTTTAAAAACTAGGCTATTTACTCCCTTCCTCATTTAAGATTAGCTCATTTAGTAGTACAAATAGCTGGCCTATAGGCTTATTAAATGCTAAGATCTTGTAACATTTTATCGTCGTAACATTGTAGTGCTACTTTGGTTGACGTATCTACTTAAGCACTAAATAACCTCTGAGCACCTTAATATAGACTTCCTAGATTATAACGATACGTTCTGTTTTCTATTATCTCTTTAATCTATCTTTAACAGACCCACATATCTGAATTTACCTAATCCGCTTAGTTAGTATAGCGGACCAGAAACAATAACTGTTGGATTTCCAAGGTATGGGGTCAAGTAGGTCATGTAGAATTGATTGAATTGTAAAGCAGTTATTGTACAGAGTATATATATGAGAATAGGGGTAAAAAGAGTGGAGTAGTATCCCAATGCGGAAACAGTGCAAATAATGAAATACATGTATAAATAATGAAATGAGTGGTTTCCACGGTTCAACAATAACTGATTATTAGTCTACTTAAGAAGGTGAACGATAATGAGTAGATAATTGATATCTATACTCTTTCATATCCTTGTTAAAATGTTGGGAGTTGTAAGGGTGCGATAGCGACAAGGTCAACTGTATGCGTAAGAACTAAATTGTCTACAAAGAGTGGAAGTGATCGTAAGATCTGAGGCTATTTACAGTTCCAAGGGCACGGGCCACATCGCTTCCTCCACGTCTGTACCCTCACAGGAGTCATCATACTAATTTTTGATTGCTGGTAAGTTGTCGTTTTCTAAAGATTCGAGATGATTGTGAATCTTGCAATTTTTCTATGAGGCTCTTCTCCTTGAGGTAAATTTTCAAGCTCAAATTGCCAAGCTTCACTCCCCTATCTCCTTAAGCGAGGGTTGCGCAGCACTCAATGCCCAACTAGCAAAAGTACCCAACCCTTCTACAACAAGGCGTGCTCTATAGTGATTTTCTTGCTTGAAATCTAGTAAGCCATGAGATCACCTGCCCTCACATTATGCACTGTGGGATTATTAGCTGCTAACTGAACTTTGAGATCCTGCCAGAAACTTTACAGAAATGACCATTGTTTTCTCATGACACGCTGATATGCCACTATTTTTTCCGTCGCCGTCGGTGTCTTCTCCAGTCATTTCCTTAGCAGACTTGAATGCAATAATATTCTATTGATATTAGAAGCAAACTACGGCCAAGTGTTAGTAACCATTTGTGCCGTTACAGATTGTCTAGATCTAGCCAATTCGCTGTTTGTCACAGAACTATAAGATTCCCTCATCGACCTCTAGATTCTCAACTATTTCAGTCCAGAAAATCTTCGAAATTGGCAGGCCTTTACTTTCAAGTCTGCAGAGCTCGTTTGTGCTTAGATGGATTTATTACCTCCTGTGTCGCATTTTAATACAAATGGTATATGTTCTCGTAATAATTGCCATGCTCCTCTATAAATAAGGTTTCAGGAATAAAATATGGAGCTAGTGTCTGTACTAGCCAATACAGTGGAATTGATTCTGTCATTTTTCTCATGTGGCGGCGGCAGTTTTAGTTAAGTTTCACAAGGCTTCGCTTAACTACTCGGCCCCGGCATTAATTATCCTTAGCTAGTCCCCAGCGACGTGATAACTAGCAAGGCAAGTAAGAATCTTCCTTTCGTATTATACACACCATTCAAGACTACCAAAGACCACATTCTATCAAAAGATTGGCAAGAAACCTGCGGCCAGGCTTAATAACCAGACGAAATGTGTTATTGATTGTTGTGTTACAGTACAGGGCTCTGACCACGTATTTGCTTCAGCGAACAGCTAATGGTGTGGCGCTTATGGCAAATCCTAATGAAAATACACACATTAAGCGACTGAACTAGGCGGACAAGTACTAGTCGTGGTAACAAGAGATGTCTTACTTAGATATATGTATTATTTTCGCTTCAATTGCGAGTACTATGACATTTTGCAAATAATTATATCACAGTATCGAGGGTATGCACGATTTGTTCCCATTTTTTGGCGGAGTTTTTTGTCTAAAGACCTTCTACGAACGTTCGTCTTCAAAAAGTGCGTCAAATTGCGGCTAGTCTTCAAATCGATAATTTTAGGGCAGGAACGATCTCCTTCGCTAACCTTTACGGGGTTGCCCAAGACCTTTTGAAGCTGAATCCCTCATGAAATGACTTTTCTTCATGTTCTCCGCTCAATGTCTGAACTTTTATCTTGCAAGTTTTACTACCACTTAAGCTTACAGTACATTTCTCGCAAGAGCGTTTTATTTTTGTATCAACATCACCTTCACTTTTGTAAGCATGGGAATCAACATCATCACAAGAGAATTCGCCCCACGTGGTGGCTCGTTCAAAGAGTACGATACGTGTAAGTGTAGCTCCATGTTCCTATCAAAGCTTGCTTCACCTAATCCCATGCTCACATTTGGCCATTTTCCGGGATGTGTTCTATCGAATACTTCCACGTCGCTAAGGAACAGTTTCGTATCGCTCCTGGCAACGAAACAGTTCGAGCTTGGCCATTCGAAACCAAAGAGTGCATCCCGGGATCCAAACAGCTCCTAGAGAGTATCCGAGATGATTACATCGAGCTACTTGCAATATGTAACATCTCACACGACGACTCCTTTGTCGCAAACATCTGTAGCAAGGGGCACAGCGACACCGAGGATATATTGGTAATCCTCACTCGAGACGTCGACACAGACATGTGGCAGTACGCCGCCAACAATATCAAGAAACTCATAGACAACACCATCTCCGAAAGAAACAGCGCCCTCAGAATCACAGTCGAAATCCGGAATCCCATGAAAATGTACCGGGACTCCACCATCGACGTCCAGCCTGATCCAAGGGCTTACGAAGCCTGCAAGAATATAAATGATATAAGCAGCCAATTTTATCATCTGATTCCTGGGTTTACTTCATTGAGCTTTGAGATGCGTGGACCCAGGAAGGAGGACGCCGATCCGCGCTGGCCTACAGCTGCAGTTCCTAGCATGATGATATGTGTTCAAGATGGGATGCATTATAACTGGGCTTTGGTAGAAGATCAGATTCGAGTGGTAGTTGGAGATATTGCCACGGACCTTGAGGTTGAGGTTCACCTTGAGATTTGGGCTGGGGATTCTAAATGAGATTCCGGGCTTCTTTGGTAGCCTTTGTGGTAACTTGTAAAAATTATGTAAGATAGTTCGAATGAGATTAGAATGAGAAACAGGTGCTGGATACTTTTCTTTCCTTCCATTCCTCAAACAGTTATTCACTATATTCACCCCCTTCGCAGTGATAACCTTAAGTAACACCCCTCACACCAAGTCGTCCGGTACATGCCTGCGTAGCTTAATGGTAACATTGGTGAGAGCTTACTGGGACTAGTCAAACCGCAAAAAGCTCAGTTCGTCCGGTTTATTGTCCGAGGCCCTCTTCTTTGAGGGTGAGGACTTTTTAACATTTTTTGGGTGGGAGGGGAGAGGGCGGAGAGGGCGGAGAGGGCGGAGAGGGTGGGGAAGGAGGTTGGTTTTGTTGATACTAAATTTTTTTGGGAGGGGAGGTAACACATTTTAACCGATATTTACAAGCTCTCACAAATGGTGATGGTGAGAGTTTAGAGCAAGTTCGCACTTCGAGTGTAGGAACGAGGTAAAGTACCACACTGGTACGAGTCCATCACCCAAAAATTGAGCCTGAAAAATGCACGCAAGGAGTTCTCAATACATTTCCATATGACAACACCAGCCACTGGGATAATTGCACGCGGTACGAACTAATAAATCCAGAACTCCGATTCCTTATAACAGGTGGCTCGAAACATCAGATCCAGCATTGGTTTTCTAGCTTGAGCCAACGAGGAACGAATCCTGTCTAGTTATCTCAGCAACGGCTTACTAGTTGGCCTTAGAGTATATGTAAATTACATCTTTGTATGTGAAATATGTAAATCCTTATAATGAACCTTATAATTAACCAATCAGATAATGAATAATTTTCGAATTAATTTTCTATTTTTTAGATCCTCAGGCCAACCACCATAAGGGTTTAATTTTTGAATACTCTAAGGCCAACCAGTACTATTGGCTTTTCCCGGCAGCTTCATTCATTGCGCAAGATGGCCAATAACATCCAAAAACTTTACTAGCATATCATTGCCGTCGCCCGAACTTCCCAGTCGAAAGAATAAAGGCATCTAGCCTGTTTTCCGCTCTGGTCTATCGACCTTTCACTGACAGTCTCTCTGTGTTGAGAAGCAACAAGATTCCTCGGGTGGAGGTCGCTTCAAATCTTTTCAAGAGAAGCACCAAGACAAAGCATTGGAAGGATATCCAGAAAGTAATGGAATTGGAGGCTAGAAATAAAGATGACGAAGACAAATGACAAATGACAACCAAATCGGTAGTGGGTCTACCCAAAGGGGTTATGCTTGAACTTGGAAAGTTTGATGATGTTGAAAACATATATATAGTCTCTGGTCAATGGATCGATGCTCGTCATCATCATTGTGTATTACTGTATGGACGAATCGGTGGATTTCGCATCGCGAAGGGCCAATGGAGTGAGTGAAATTGCTAGGTCGACTGAAAAGTCAACATAACTCTCACCAAACAGCAAGAGCGGAGTATCATCAGACTTCTTTCGTAGCACATCAGGAATTTGTATTATCTCCTAATCATAGACAAAAGACTCTCCTTGAAAGACTTGCCAAGCAGTCGCTTCCCAATGATTACAATCTTCCCTTCCGAGCTTGTCGAAGATCCTGACGGCGCATCTCTAATCTCGAAGATGTCTCTAACTCCTTGGACGATCTTGACATCGCCATTGGATAGCGGAATCCTGGCTTTCAGCCTGTGGATTTCGTGACTTTCTGCTTGAATGTTTGCGACAGTGCTGTCAGAGGATGGCAAGGTAGAGTCCCACAGAATACTTCTTAACCACTCGTCAAGTGCTGGCAATTGCTCTGCCTCCAATACAGGCACTTGGATGGTGATGGTAGTGATTGACTGAGACGTATCAGCTATATTCCAAACATCTTTTGGGGATATAGCGTACCGGATCCAAATGACTATGACCTTTGTGCGCTACATCCAATGACTCAACGTTCTCATAGGCATGCAGATCCAACAAGAATCCTTCCAAATTCGGCACTTGACCTTGTTGGGTTACATGAATCTTTGCGAGTCCGTTGATAGCTTGAACGCGCTCGCGTACCGCTTGGAGCTCTTCTTGGGTGACAAGATCCGATTTATTGAGAACGATAACGTCAGCATGAGATATCTGTAAATGTGCCGTGGTCATCAGCGGTCCTTCGTGCCCTTCGTGCTCATCATGTCCTTCTGTGGGGATGGTATCCTGAGCTGGCTCATCAAGACTCTTGATGATATTCTTAGCATCGATCAAAGTGACAATCCCATCGAGGTAAATGGTACTACCAAGTCCATCGTCAACCCAGAATAGCGGGGCGATATTGCCGGGATCCGCTAGGCCGGTTGTTTCTAGAAGAATGTAATCGAAGGCCCCCTTTTTGTCCATCAAAGACTCGATTGCATTGACTCCTTGATCTCTTTGATACTGTTAGTCTGGATGATTGAATAGTATGTCGTGGTCATACTTGACGGAGCAGCAAATGCATCCATTGCCCACCTCAAGCCATTCTTGAACTTGTTCTCCACCAGTGTTGACGGTGAGAGTTTTTTCGATATCGGCAGCTATATTTGTCACCATGCTTGTTCTTTTTAAGTAGAGCACTCTTTCTTACAATTCCCAAATTCTAAATTAGGATATATTAGCGAGTAAGCGAAACTAGTACTTCCTAAAATGCCTACCATTAAGTATGACGGCAATCTTTTTGCCATGCTGTGCTTTCAGTATATAATTCCTGTAGAAATAAGTATAAGAACCAAGACGTTAGTAAGAGACGCAGTTAAAGCTTACAATAATGTCGTCTTTCCAGCACCAAGATATCCTAAATAACATTAGGGAAAGTATAGTTGTGTCTAAGCCGAACGCACTTACCAGTCACAATAGTGATGGGCACTTTGACGACTGGTGGCTCTTCGCTATCCGGATCGCCTTCGCCCTCCACGTCTACCAGTAGAGGGGGTTCTTCTTCGTCGTCGATGGTCATACTGGCTGTCATGTCATCGGCCTGAAATTGGTGTTGAAGAAGTTGTACGCGAAGGGCGGAGATTGACAGGGGTGTGGTTGTGTGACGCTGGAGGCGCGCCAAGGCGCAGACTAGCTGATCGTCGTAGCTCTGCGTACCAAGTACTCGTACCTTAAAGTTCAGAGAAGCATCTCTCAGCACTGTACCTCCGTACTGTGCCCCTCGCGCCAACCGCTTGTACAGGACCAACCAACCTCATCGCAACAGTTTCTCCATGCACCGGTAGCACACTTGGAAGTTGTATATGAGCTGTTTCCGAGCCTAGCGATATGTCGCTGCCACCATTATCTCCAAGGCTCCCCAGCCCGCCCCCTCCCACCGAAATCCAGATAGGTCCCAAATCGCCGTCATTGGGGAGCTCCTTCAACCAAGAACCCTCAATCGAGCAAAGTGTCATCGATGCGAACTCAAAGCGGAGGATCCACCCAGGGACCAAATCGGTAGATATGGCTGCAGGTCCTCCTCTGGTTCCCCTTAGTGAGGTATGCAGGACCGCTCTCAATTCCATCTGCTCGAAATACTAATTGTGCTCCATAGCTTGATTCTGCCTTCCAACTCCAGGAGCATCTCAAAGCTTTGCACCACCACTATATAAAACCCTCAGATAGCGATAACTCAATCCCGATTAACCGCAAAACGGCTCTCTTGATTGCTACACCACCCGAAGGCGTCGACCGGTCGTTATGGCTATATGAACTTTGTCGATTTCTTATAAACAAATGCAACGACTTGATAATTGGATTCCTATTTGATGAGCCCCCGTGTTCCGCAGCAACATGTCCTGAAATGCGCGCCAGCGAGTGGCAGTTTCTATGCGCAGTTCATGAATCTCCAAAGAGTTGTTGTGCGATCGATTACTGTTGTCATACTCTCGATTGGGCTACGAATATCGTCACAAGTCAAAAGATTTTCCCCAGTCGTCTAAGTCTCGGTTCTGGTGATTCTCTGGATGAGCGTGGATCTGGCGTAAAGCACTTAATTAACATCTTCAGGCGATTACATCGCATTTTCGCCCATGCTTGGTTTCAACATCGGGGTGTATTTTGGCAGGTAGAAGGACAAACTGGACTGTACGTCCTATTCAAAACTGTCTGCGATAGCTACGACTTATTACCAGCGGAGAACTACAAGCTTCCTCCGGAAGCCGAAGGGCTAGAACCAACGGAAGATTTAAAGACATCGGTTCCATCAATCTTAAAGTCGGATTCAGCCAAATCTGCTTCAATTGAGGAAGATTTCGTGAATGCCGCTCGAAGCAATACCGGTACCAACACAAGGCGACATATTCGACAATCGCCTTCTTTTGGTTCTGCCATCACTACGGTTTTGGAATCAGATGAGGACGATTCAGACGTGACAGCGAAATTCGGCTCGCTTGAAATAACAGAGGAGGAGGATGAAGAAGAGGAAGGGACTGCGGACTCGACAACTACGGAAGTTCCAGTGATTGTAGAGACATACGAGGTTGATGAGCGACATGATACTAAACCAGCTGAACCCGAATCTACTAAGAAGGAGAAGCCTGAATTGGAAACAGAGGCAAACGATGAATCCGGGATTTCTTTCACACCAGAATCCTCAGAAGGGGAACCAGAACCAGAAACGGAGACGGAGCTGCCTCTGAAAATCGTAACAGACAAGACAACCGAATCAAAGACTGATGATGACGATGATTCAGCCGAGTCTATGTCCCCTATAGCTCCTGATCTACCAACTAAATCAAAAGAGCCAACCGGTGAGACTAAGGAAGGAGACCTGGTAGAAGAGAAGTCACCTGATAGTGAAGAAGTAGCGGAGAAGGGAATTAATGGAGAGGTGGATAAAAAGGACGAGGAAAAGAAGGATGTCGTTTCGTCATGAAAAATTAGATTAATGCCTTGTACTAATACGATACCCATGCAAGACGTCCAGCAGGCGTCATTTACGAAGCAGAAGAATCTTTCTCACAGGATAGCTTTGAATAATGTAATATATTCATTGAAAGGTGCTTGGTTATCAAAACCAAAATTCATGGGTATTATTGTGACCAAATACTTCAATTCCAACGCCTCCTTACCCCAATTCTACTCCAAACCAGTTTCTACTCCAATTCCGCGGGCCGTGCGTGTTGAGTTGGTCGCTGACTTGGTTGATCGGAACGTAGCTGTGAATTCAATGAGGACCCCTCTAGCTCACTCGTTTGATATGATACTTTCTGGTTTTGATATACGGGAGCTTGGTAGACCGGGTCCTGGTTCATTGACGGACTTCTCGATGAGTTCAAATGGTTCCACGAGATCCGGGGTCCGGCATTGGGACCAGATGCTTGAGTTGATGCCCTTCCTGTCTGACTACTAGACAGAGAACCATACGATCCCCTTGCATGCTGAGCGACCATTGCCGGGTGACCAGATGAACTAGAATTTCGCGAACTTAATGATTTGGAATATAACTCGCTGTTCTCCTCCGGTTTGAAAGATGGCAGGGTTTGCGTGCCGTAGAGATGAGGATTGAATCCCAACTTGGAATTATTAACACTAAGCAGAGACCCGAATTCTGAGGGGCTTTGGCTGTGTCGTGGACTATCTGTCAGTGCCTGATTCAACTTCGACCCACTGACTATCTGGGTCCGAACCAGGATCCTCGCAACCAGTGCCTGATGCGCTTTCTTCAGCGTCTTCTTCACAAAACCCGTCATCATGATGTTGCACTTCATATCAACATCCTCTCTCAGCCACAGCCCCTGCAGCGGCACACCCAGACCCAACTCCACGGGCCCCACCGGCTCTCCTGGCAACGAACCGCCTAGAGTCCATTTCCCCTTGATAACGAGCCCCATGGGCGCATAGCAGTGCGTTTGCAGTCCATTCTCGAGATCGTGGAAACAGGCGTTGTAGGATACTTTTCCGCTCATCAGACCACCCGGGAGATAGGCGACTTTGTCGGTGAGCGAGTACCATTGACAGTGGTATTCCTCGGCTGTGGCGGTCTCGGGGGGTTGGATGGGATGTCTTTCTTGCACGAGGGGATTGAGATCGACCATTTCGAGGTGGTCGTGGAGGGTCGACATGACTGTTTCGCGTGAGATGCCTGTGGGGAGCGGGGTCACTGTTGTGAAGACGGTTCTTTTGGACATTGTGGGAAAGATGTGGTTTGCTGGGTATGGGGATGTTGTTGGTTGTATTCAGGGGTAAATCAGGAGGTGGAGATCGCAGTATGGTTATGAGAGACTCAGAGCAAGCAAATAGAACAAAGATTGATGAAATGAAGAGATCACCACATGTACGGACTCCAAACGGACTCCCAGTTGGTAGATTATTATTAGCTCAGGAACTAAGAATCCCGAACGTATTGCAACCCGCCGCAATGTTGTCAGTGGCTGAGCAACCAATCTGGCGGGAAGCCTGAGGGTGAAATAGAGTCGTGGCTGGCTGCTGCTGTTGGTGGCACGATGCCACGACTGGAGCACTAACAGCCATGGGATTTTAGCACTGGCCGGTGAGTAAGGTCCATAGCGCTTGAGTAATGAGCTGGGAACTGGCTGGCAATTTTTGATAAATGTCATCCGACAACCAACTCTCGGATGTTTATTTACCGGCGGCTCAGCCACATCTGACATTTCTTTCTCAACCCATGAATGTTCGTACGGAAATTAATTCATCCAAAAAGCAAAGAGAACAAAAAAACGAGTGTCTTTTTGGAAGATGCCATCTGGACTAAATCTCTGCACTTGAGCTGTTTGAGCAATGATCGAGGTACGGTTATAGCACAAATTCGATTACTAGTAGAAAATTGAAGTTTGATTCTCTATTTCTCTGGTTCTCTGATATTTGTGCTGACCTTTAGAAGGACACATTAGGTATCATTATTAAAAGTACATCCCCATCCTCGCCTTATCTTGTGCCTGAAAACAACATGCTGTTTACATCGCACCAAGAGCAATGGCCGCCGCAGCACCTCCAAGTACCCATTGCGCATTACCAGTAATCATTGGCATGCCAGCAGTGCTCGAAGAAGAGGCACTTGCTGGAGAACCACCTGTTGAACTGGCTCCTGAACTCTTTGGGGCACTTCCGGTCGACGCAGATGTTGTTGGTACTCCTGTTTGACTTGCAGCACCAGATGAGGCTCCAGTTGATGTAGGAGAACCGCTGAGAAGCGTTACTGCTGTCAAGGACAACTCTTTAGGAGCATCGGTGATGGCCGTCGTTTCGGCAGATGAATAAGTCGAGGTTCCCGAGTTGCCTTGGGCGGTCGTGGAGCAGACTCCGCTCTTCGAATCTGTGATTGAGCACGCCACATCGGCCGAAACGGTCAATGTGATACCGTCAATTGCTTGGGTGCTTTGAAAGTTGATGTGGTAAGCTAGACGAATTTCACGGTCAGTAATCGATATAGTTTGGCAGGCCCAAGTCGTGAACGGGACAAAGTGATGAACGGTTATATGTATCATACTAGATAAGATGCTGTCACTTACTGGCTGGTCCTTGGGTCAACAAGAGCGAGGGAGGGAAAGGGCAAGCTTCGCCTGTTGCATTTGCGCTTGCGCAAGTCATCGAGTAGGTCACAGCTGCTGAATCCTATCAATTTAGAGTTAGTACCGAGTTCGCTCTGCCAACCAAACAGAACATACAGATTTGACGATGGACGCAGCGATTCCCCCTTGAAATTCCTCTGCTCCAGGAATGTAGAGAGAGATTGTGCTTTGAGCGGACGCGATGCTCGTAAGAGCCAGGGCGAGGAGGGTGGACTTCATCGTGAGGATGTATCGTTGAAAGATTTGATTGTGGATGAAAGGATTGTCGTTCAAGATATATAAAAACAGAAGGATCACGCTAGTACTAGCGCGCGCCAGCCAACGGGGCAGCGCTAGCCTAGCCTCATCATATGGCCAGGCATAGCCGTATAGGACGAGGTTATTCACTGTTGACTGCGGACAATAACCCCTTTCCTGCAGCTACTCGTATCACAAAACCAACTCCCCACTGAAAATCTCCATTTTAGGTAGACATGTCACTACACCAAAAATAAATCGGTTGCAATTTATTCCTACGGCCGGGTGCATCTGGCTGTGGCACACTTTGTGTAACGTAGGATCGCTTACCCTGCAAGTTGATGCAGTCACTTTTTAAATTACCAGCAACACGGTTTCTTATTCGCTCAAAATCGTACCCAATGAGAATGTGTAGCATATAGAGTATAGACCTTGTATTATTATTCACTGGATAATATAATATATAAATAGCTTGGGTTGATATAAGGGGCTCGGCTAGTAAGTTCTTCCAGATGCCTGGGTATTGTGAGAAGCAGAACAAGCAAGTTTGGGAGAACATGAAACCCAATTCATTCACTGTTTCACTTAGTAGAACATTCACATTTGTACCTACGATTACGTAGGTATCCAAGGATAGATTGTACAAAAGAACCCTGTGTCAGAGAACGATCATCTTAGTCAGAAGCGTATGTTGTGTAAGCTTTTTGAACACTTCGATTTTAGTCATGAATTCCTATTTCATAGAACGGTTTGGAAAGCTTTTTGTATTGTGATTATTATAGAGATAAAAAGTTGCTGAATGAACGAATACTTACAAAAGGTTCTCAAAATGGAAGAGAATGATATTACTGCAGAGTACCAAGATAAGCGGGCTCTTCGAAAGTTCTACCCTAACATAACGTAGATATGTAATAAACCTTTCTGGTAGTAGTGATAGTTGCCCTTGAAAATGTGTGACGAAAGGAGCTATAAATTTATATGCGATTGTAAGTCCCGCTATGCCTCAGGACAGAAAAGGTGGTAGCCAATAGCCCAATCATCCCACTTATCTTTTCCTACTTTATCATTACCTCAATTATTTCAAAAACTAAAAACGAAATTATGAAAAATAACAACCTATAATATTAATGGTTGATATTTAGGTGAATTACTTGAGATCATTCTTCCACCACAAGGGTGCTATTCACGGACATCCCTCCGTATGTCGTCGGAGTTACAAACGGCCAAGACCGACCCCTTCGTCACTCACCACTTTGCGCATCTCCTCCAAGCCCAATTTCCATGGCACCATTATAAATCTACACCACAAACCATGCGGAGAACTTGGGTGCGCATATTCTCTATCTGCAAAAACATGTGAAGTCCTTATCCGTCTGCAGTCACCATCATGGTATTGCCTGGACTTTTCAAATCACCAACCAATCACAGCCACACCTCCACCACACTCCAGACCCCTCGATCTGCTCTATCCGCAGCCCCATCATCGCGAAGTACCACCACCTCCCGCCTACACACGCCGAACAAGAGCCCTTCGCACTCCTCGGAAGACTCTCCTGTATGCGACAAGCTTGATCATTCTTATATTCGCGAAGAGGCCCACCTTCGAACCATCGCTGCCGAAAGCCCGGATCTCCGGAAGTTAAACAACAGCCTCGTTGCTCTCGCAGCGATTTTCCCAGATGTGCAAGTGGAGGTTTTCCGGGAGATGCTCTCGAGCTTCAGCGAGGAATCTAGATTGGCAGTTGTCACGGAGGCTCTCTTGAAGGATAAGATGAAGTTTGCCCAAGGACGAAATAAGGTTGCCGGCAAGGAGGCAGCCCACATACATAGCAAAGCTTCAGGATTGGTCTCGCCAGGACAAGTCCAAACCGAGGAGAAATTTAGGACTACTGAATACAAGGAAGCCGCGAAATCCATCGCATACCACGAATTCAAAGGTCTTCCCAAATCGACGATACTCGCCGTCTTGGCCGAGCATAATTACGCTTATTCGTTAGCCAGACCGACACTTGTTACATTGTCTTCCAAGTCCTGGCGTTATTCCATTTCCTCGTTGTTTTTGCGTAGAAAACCGGTCGCATACACCGAAGCAGAACATCATCCTCTCATAATATGGCAGTCGACTGGTCATGGATCCATCCTGCCAACTCTGAAGACTACAGGATCACCAGAGCTTGACAAAGAGCTATTCGAGACACTTATACTACCAATACAACAACGATTATCGGCGGAGCAGGAGGCAAAGGATCACGCCATTGCTTTGCAGCTCAACGACAAGGAGGCTGAGGCAAATGGTGGATTACATGATTGTGGATGCTGCTTTACTGCCACGGCTTTCGAAGGATTATCTGCTTGCGATTATGGAGGTCATTTTATTTGTTTCCGATGTGTCAGGTATTCCGTGAAAGAGGCTGTATTTGGCCAAGGATGGCAACGTAATATCAATGTGGAAAGTGGAACCTTGCGATGCGTCGCAGCAATGAGTGATGAGTGCAAAGGATGCATCTCTCAGGAACTCATACGTCGAGCATTCGACGAAGACCCAAGCGAGAAAGATGTGGTCCGAAAACTCGATGAACGTCTCATCGAGGACAATCTCCTCAAAACTCGACTCCCTCTTATACGATGTCCATTCTGCAGCTATGCTGAGGTGGATGAACTATACCTCCCGGAAACTCAACGAGCATGGCGTGTGAAACGTGCCGGAAGCTCATTTCTTTATTCCCTCGTGTTTTTGATTTTAGGCGTTAGCATGATACCCTTCCTTGTACCTGTTTTTCTACTGTTTTCCTTTCTGTTCTTGCTCATTTCTTCTCGACAGACCTTTCGTGACTTTGCGATTGGTCACTTTACTGCTTCTCTTACTCGCATCCGACGCAAGAATCACGGACTCAGGTTTGTATGTCAGAATTCGGAATGCGGACGAGCATCTTGTTTGTCGTGCTCTAAAGCATGGACGGATATCCATATCTGCCATGAATCTTCTCTCTTGGCTCTACGAACTCAAGTCGAACTCGCCATGTCACTAGCGATCAAACGGACTTGCCCTCGCTGTAATACTTCCTTTGTCAAGTCATCGGGCTGCAACAAACTCACTTGCATATGCGGCTACCAAATGTGCTATGTGTGCCGAAAAGACATTGGCAACGGAGAAGGCTACCGACATTTCTGTGAACATTTCCGGCCTAATGGCGGAAGGGGATGTACCGAGTGTGCTAAATGCGATCTGTATCGCTGTGAGGACGACGATGTAGTCGTCAAAAAGGCCAAGGAAGAAGCCGAGAGACAATGGATGGAGAAAGAAGGCACGGACCTGGGCGGTGACGAGAAAGTGCGAAAGGTTCTTGAAGAGAAATGGAAAAAAGACGGTGATGCCTCTTGGTGGGAGAGTAGACGTTGGCAGTGGGAGATGCCCGATGGCCAAAGTATGCTTGATGCCTTTGTCGAGGCAGTGGTTGAATGATAATTTGCGTATTTAGATGGCGAGGGAAAGGGTTTTTGATTCGGGTAACGGGAGTTGGAAAAGGGCAAGCATTATCACCACATTGGGTACTGGGAGAATATCCGGAAGACTATTAATTCTTGATATCCATTAATCATTTGTATCGTTCCACGTGCACCCCATGTTTATCAGCAGACCTTGAATCGGTCTAACGTCTGTCTGTCTCTCTGTCTGCGCCTGTAGCCTGTATCAGACTATCCGCACCAACCTAATAATCCCGGCCTATCGTACAACCCAACAAAGTCTGGAGCAAATCTGTGAAGCCATCATGACATGGGCAAGGGAGGACTCCTCGTCATGCCCAATTCGGCGCTCTTACTCCATGCACCACTAGGTTCGCTTCTGCAAAAAGCCACTTTCCCATCATCACCCGTTGATCCCAACACCTTACCATCGCCGTCAAACTCCACACGCCACACCGGAGTTCTGTTCGTCTCTAAACGCGAAACCTCATTCGCCAAAAGGGCTACCTCTCCAGCTTTACTATGGTGTTCTGAATTTCGATGACCGGCTGTCGTGCCAGGTCTCGTGCTTGCCAATCCCGCTCCGATGCCAGAGGGCACACTCCTCGAAGTGTTCTCTGGTGATCTTTGCGCGACGACGGTGCTCGTCTCAGGGATTTTGGTAAAGTCTTTGCTTCTGGCTTCCTTGTCGCCTTTGGCGGGGGTGGTGAGATGGAATACCCGTACGAAGCCGTCTCTGCATGCCGTAGCTACTATATCGAAGCCTCGGATACTTCCTGGTGCCCAGGCGACGTCTCGTACTAGACCTTTGTGGCCTTTCAGGTCGGCTGCGCAATATAGTTCCTTGGAGCTCGAGGAGCCGAGACTCACGGAGTGGGAGATCTCTTTGGTGCGCCAGATGGATACTTTGTTCATGCTGGCTACGATGACGGCGAGGGAGTCTCGCTGGACGCCTTGTCGGACTGCTTTGTAGCAGGGTTCGAGGTTGGGGTCGAAGGCTACTTTGAATGATACTTCGTCGCCTCTTGTTGGCTTGTCGGGTATGTTGACTTTGTCAACCTCTACCCAGTTTTCCATGTTCTCGGGCTCCTCATTCTCATAGATTATTAGAGTGGCGTTTCGGTTAATCAGAGCAATATATGTATGTCGTGTCTCAGGGTTGTGTTTAATAGCAAAGGAAAGGTAAGGTGCTCGAGCTAGAGGGGCCAGCTGCCAAACCGGCTTGTTGTTATGAGAATTGAAGCGTCGACCTTTACCTGGAGGGAGAGTTGGATCCTCAACCCAGAGCTTGAACTTGCCATCACTTCCAATGGAAGCTATCAGGTTTGGATGTAATGTTGGTGGCAGCCATTGGATCTTGAAACCGGAATTAGATTAGCAGCGCATGCCTCTTTTCGATGTCGAAGCAACTCTCACCTCCAGTATCTCGGAGTTATGTGCCCCCCAGGTGTCACAGATTACCCAAGAGCCGTCTCGGTGTCGGTTGTACACCTTGATTTTGCCATCTACAGAGCCGGATGCGAAGCGGGTGCCGTAGTGATTAAATGCTGTTGCCTCGACCATATCACGATGACCATGCTGGATGAGGACGAATCCCTCTTGCTCCTTGTAAATATCGTTGTCAACCGGATCTGGATCCATCATGGGCGCCATTTTTGTATGCGTTGAGAGATGGTGAAGCTGCGGTTCTCGTCTATAATCTTTTGGACTTACAAACGTCAACTCGGTTGAATGTCGGCTCTGTCTCGGAAGCTGTGCTCCACTTGCGGGGTTCTCGGGTCAGGGTCAGCCTGAGCAGGGATGGCAGGCGCCACAGCTTAATTTTGGAACTGAATTCGTGGCTTCTCAGCCTTCCCCGAGAGCCTTGAGCCTTGTCGAGTGATGGCATCTGCTATGACATTTACTTCTCCAGGTTCTTCCACTTCACCAACACCACACATGGACCGAATGCCTATTGAACTCTGGTAGTTTCTTCCTTTTTTGTTTTTCCTTTGCTACACCACCAGCATGGCCATTCGCGCAACAATGCCGACCTCGACATCGGCACTTTCCTTCACAGAGACCCTGAGTCTCCTTGCGCTCTCGGTGGCATGCTTCGCGGTCATCGCAAACACCTTTCAGGGTGATGGTGCTCCTCTAATCGCCTCTCTCGCATTCAGTGGAATTGCCTTTGCAACTTCATATTCCATGATTCGATGGCTTGGGCCAACGTTTATGAAGGCTGGTTTGAAGGGGAAGGACATGAGCAAAGCACACAAGAAGGAAATCCCCGAGACGATGGGAGCGGTTTGCGCGGTGGTTTATCTTCTTGCCGTCACAATCTTTATACCTTTTCCTTTCTATAAAGATATTGTGGCAGCAACATCAGGAGGAGGGAACCGAGATGTGGTGCAAACGATTGAGAATGTTCAAACGGGGAGGTTTCTACATCGTTTTCCTCATAACAAGGTATGTTGGAACAAATCATATTTGGAGCCAGGAAGTAACAAAACTAGTTGGCAGCTTATTTATCAGCAATTCTTACCATTCAATCTGTTTCTATCTTGGGAATTGGCGACGACTTGTTCGATATCCGTTGGCGGCATAAATTCTTTATCCCGGGAATAGCTAGCATCCCCCTCCTCATCATATACTTTGTCGACTTTGGTGTAACACATATCGTTGTTCCAATCCCTCTGCGACCATATCTGGGAGAGCTGTTGCAACTAGGATTTTTATACTACCTGTACATGTTCGCCATCGCGATTTTCTGCCCCAACAGTATCAACATTCTGGCTGGAATCAACGGAATTGAAGTCTCCCAATCACTTGTGATTGCGGTTTTGTTAGCCCTGAACGATTGCTATTACCTTCTCAACCCATATCCGCACCCAGCAACCGACTCCCATCTATTCTCCCTGTACATGCTTCTCCCTTTCATTGGAGTTTCGCTAGCATTATGGTGTCACAACTGGTACCCATCCAAAGTTTTTGTCGGAGACACTTACTGTTACTTTGCCGGAATGGTTTTTGCTGTTGTATCGATTTTAGGACACTTCTCCAAAACTCTACTTCTGCTCTTGATCCCGCAGATCTTCAACTTCCTCTACTCGGTTCCACAACTGTTCCATATAGTGCAGTGCCCACGCCACCGGCTTCCCCGATTCAACAGTCGAACTAATCTCATGGAGCCGTCAGTAACTGAATGGCAATATCCTCCCAAACCAATCATCTCTGTATTCTTGAAGTTGCTTGATAAACTTTATTTGTTGCGGGTCACCACAAATCAAGAAGGCCAAATAACAGAGAGCACCAATTTTACGCTCTTGAATTTGTGGTTGGTGTGGTTTGGACCTAAGCGGGAAGACAGATTAGCGATGGAGCTTTTGGCAATGCAAACAGTCGTTGGATTTTTGGGACTGTTTATTAGACATAATTTCGCAATGGTGCTATTTGAGAAGGATAACTTGTATGGGGTTGTATGATAGAGTACATATAATGTATAGATTAACTTTTGATAGGTTTCGTGGGCTAGACATGATGTTCTAATGCTTTCAATTATAAGCGAGGACGCCATCTGAATGAAGATTCCAAATTAAGTATAAACACTGAACAGACTTTGCCCATGACTAGCGTAGTGATATTTGGAGAAGTGAAAATTGAAGATCAGAGACCTAGGAAATTGGAATGGAAGTCTTAGACTCTTTGCCATGTCTGAACAACCGCGCAGCTGGCAGAAACCAATTAACAGGGATGTGGGTTGCGTCGAAAAGGTCGGTGCATTGGCTCTCATCCCCGCCGATCTGTGCCACGCTTCTTTCTTGTTGATTCCAAACAAAACAACCACATATTTTTGGTTACCACGAAACCAAGTCTCTCGTCACTACCACTCCTCCGCACACGAGTACCATCATCCACACTTCCTTCTTCAACCATAGATACACCTCATCCAGCTTCTCGAGATGTCGGTCGTATCACTTTTGGGCGTTAACGTTCTCAACAACCCAGCCAAATTTGGTGATGCCTACCAATTTGAGATCACCTTTGAGTGTCTAGAGACCTTGCAGAAGGGTATGTCACACCGCGTATCCCCGCGTTCAACACAATAGAACTTCTTTCTAATACCTGCTTCTAGATCTCGAGTGGAAGTTGACCTACGTCGGCTCTGCTACCTCGTAAGTCTCTCTCTTCACGGCCTCCAGATCCAAAACTGAACTTCTACAGTGACGAACACGACCAAGAGCTAGATTCACTCCTCGTTGGACCAATCCCCGTTGGCGTCAACAAGTTCGTTTTCGAGGCCGATCCCCCCAACACCACACGAATCCCCGATGCTGAGATCTTGGGCGTGACCGTGATCCTCCTCACCTGTGCCTACGACAGTCGGGAGTTCGTACGAGTGGGATACTATGTCAACAACGAGTATGACTCTGAGGAGTTGAATGCTGACCCACCGCCAAAGCCCATCTTGGAAAAGGTCCGCCGTAACATTCTGGCTGAGAAACCAAGAGTTACTCGTTTTGCTATCAAATGGTTGGTCTTTACACGCTTGGGGGGCTCTTTACTACGTGGCTAATTTCTATACAGGGACTCTGATGATTCTGCTCCACCTGAGTTCCCACCCGACCAACCAGAGGCCGACCTCAACGCCGATGGTGACCAATATGGTGCAGAGGAGGCCGAGGAGGAAGAAGAGGAAGCTGCTGCTGAGGCCGCTGCCGACCCTGACGCCATGGTCCAAGACAACGAGATGGCTGTAGACGTTGATCCAGCTGCTGCTGGCGAGGACGAGGATGCCGGATCCGAGGATCTTGAGGCCGACAGCAGTGGCAGCGAGGAAGAAGAGCTTGAGGAGGAAGAAGAGGTTGATGGAGATGCTGATGAGGCTATGGACATGGATGGTGTTGAGAAGCCGGCCAATGGTGCTGCTCCTCATGCTGATGCCGTCATGGCTCATTAGATTGATGATACCCCACGCACGCGTCTGATGAATTGCTTTGAGAGAGTGGATGATGCCTGGATTTGAATGGAGCTCTGGGAAAGGGGTGACATATTTACATTTGACAGCATAGGTTAATGAGAAAAGAACGACATGATTCCCCTTGAAAATTTTGTTGTTCTTTTGAAAAGACTGTGATTTGGTGGGTTTCATTGTAAAGTGATTGTTAAAGGAGATGGAAGATTTTATTAACGTCTCGCTTGCGACTTTCACTGAACCACTTCTCACTTCAACTTACCTTTGTAGCAGCGTAGGCTTGTCAATTTACTTGCCCCAAGTTCCTCTGTCAGGACTTTCCTCTATCTTGTAGTAGCTACAATAACGCTTTAGTATTTCTACTTTATTACATGTCTGCTTACAATAGTTGCTTCAACTTTAGTGTTACAGTATTGTATAGGAAAAAATAGAATGGAATGGTTTTGAAGTCATTTGAGTAGGGAGGGGTCTAGGTTCGTATATTGTTGTTTTTTTTGGGGTGAGGGGGAGGGGTTGATTAGGAAGAGACTGGGGAAGGGGTTGATGGATTTTGTTACTTGTTTTTAGGTATAGTGATCACGATCTGTTACATCGTTTTTGGGGAGTTGTAATGATCACGTTTCTGTAAGTGTAAGTGTTAGTATTTATATATATAACTAGGTATGCTAGAGTGGAAAGTCTTCCTAGCTAGACTTATTTGAGGATTGTCTGAGGTAGGTGGGAAAGAAGGTGGGGTGAAGTGTGAAATCAGTTGGGTTTGGGTGATCTGTACTACTGTACAGTACATATGAGCCTTGGGGTGGGGTCAGGCACTGGGTTTGAAGGGATCAGTTGACATTTGGAGATTAAGATATCTATCTGTCCATCATATCAGATTTTAGAGACTCAAAGGAATGCAATTTGCACTGTACCCTGTATTGTGGTTATGTGCGGGAGTCTGAATAGCTTCTTTTGTTTCATAGAACCAAACCAGGCTTGATTAAGCACAGAAAAGCGGGATTACTAGTGAACTCGGCTGGCTTTGGTCGACACGAATGACTCTCAGGCCACCTCTTTTTCTACTTGTTGTTTATATGGTTTTTGCACAGATGTTGCAATGATTTTGTCCACTTTTTGGAATGGACTTCAACTATGAAAGTATCACTGAAAATCAATGGCCAACTTCCCTTTTGGTTCTGAGGAGAGATAGATAATAGTCCCAAAATGATCTTGTTATTGATGAGATAGATAGTTGTGTATTGTTGTGGAATGATAATCCTTCAATAAGAAGCGTGAGACGTGAAGACCAATCCAGCTTAACCATCTATTGCCCAGACACCATTTTCAATTTCAGAGCCATTTACCATTTACGATATTGATAAGATAGAGTCCATTATTGCTTCGACAACAATTGGTCTGTGTCCCCTCATTGCAATCTTTCCATGCCATTCCCTATAGATACGTTAGCACACTATTCTTTCCCAAAAACTCCCACAATTTGAAGGTCTCAATATGCGTATTGATAAAACCTTCTCCATTGTTTGGCGCTCCAGGTGCTGATGCGAGACAGCCTGCCTCACACTGCGCAGTGCTCATTGGACACTCCCATGCTTATACCATAACGGTGGCAGTAAAGCTGAGTGTGACGATGAGGTTGAGGAGACGCATTTTGACAAAGTGTGTGGTGGTTGATGTTTTGAAGTTGTCAAGGGAGGAAGAGTGATGTAGAGAATCCAACTAGTGCGTACACACAGGTGGATATAGAAGTGAATTGATATGAGTGGTATTCAGGTGAAGTAGGTAGGTATGAGAACACACAAAGAGGTGAGTTTATTCCTATCTACAAAGGAAAGGGATGTACATTTTATATAGACAGAAAACCCGTCTAGCTTGTACGAAGTAGAATCATACTGAGGTACGGACCGGTACACGTATACGGACCCGTATACGAAGGGCATACAGTAACATCTCAATTTAAGACTATGCGATATAAGGATGACCTAGTCTATTTCCTTATTCTTAAGTCTTTCGGCCCAACAAAACTTGCCGAACCTAAAGGATCCGCGCTAGATGGATATCCTTGTTCACACGTCCCCTAGGGACGGGTTGCTTAAAGGGTGAGAGGGGGTGTATTATGTATGCACGTAAAGTAGAGTACTGCTTCTCTGAGTGTGGCTACGTGGCGGATTGAGGTGCTGAGAAAACAAGTTGGTCGGTCTTTTGCATGGTAAGATTACTTGTAGAGAGTAGAGATGATTTCAATGTGTGGTGCGAAGACAGACATGTCACATGTGTGGTGTAATATGTTTCTGTACACTACTCGTACTCCGCCACACTACTTATGTATGTACAATCTACTGAAATTCTTGTCTGAAACATTTCGGGTACGGTGTGATGAAATGTGTGGGAGTTCAACGTTCCACAAGAAGTTCAATGTTTAACGAAAACTTTGCCTTTAGATTTCGCGATGTAAAATTCTGTACCCGGTAGCCTTTTAGGTGATCATTTTTTCTTTCTCTTCTCGAGTTCTAAACTGCGCTTTCTGGTCTTCTGGTCGTTTTCTGATGTTCTGATGTTCTGATGTTCTGATGTTCTGATTCTTGGTACCTGATTTCAAGGCGTACAAAAAAAACCCGTTACAAGGATATTCGCTATAAGAACATCGGATATCCTCGTTCATTTCCTTGGGATTTTAGTCACAACTATTATTAGAAGGGTCTTAGTAGTTTTAAGAATATACTTACCATAGAATAATCGTAAGTTTTAAGGGTCCGAAATTCCTTTTCCATATTAAAGATATTCTTGTGGTGTTAAATGTAGACTATATAAATCACTAGATAGCTTTGCCTTACCCACGACAGGGTACTTAACGTTCTGAACGAGAAAGTTAATTCTTCTTAGGTACTAGGAACATGACAAATTCGAAGAGAGGAGTTATCCGAATCAATATCAAAGAGTGCTTTCTTGTTTTCCTTACCTGACTCTGTTAGTTACAACTTAACCTCTTTACGCTCCTTACGAGTACTTAAGCGAATTCCTTAATTCTACCTTATTCAATCCGGCGGTTCCTAGAATCTCTCACCAGTAAAATAAATCCCTCCTTGTCAGAAGACGACGGTACAATGTGAGAATGGAGTAAGCATAGAGAGAGAAGCTAGTAAGGATCGAGGGTCGCTCTAATATATAGGCTGTCTAGTTAGCTAGAAGTATTCAGAATAAGATTAGCGCGTTCCATAGAATATACTAGTGCTAGACAGAGAGGCCGAGAGTGCTAGTACCATACCGAGAGCGCTCGTGTTATGAGGATCATGAATTTTACGGAAGGAGGAGAATGGACAGTGGAACTTTACGAAGATGGTTTGAAACTCGTCGACTCGGGCGAGACTCGAGCAATATCGCACCGCTCTATATTTTACATCTGTCTTATTTTTATGAAATTATATAGCGGAAAGTAAATGTCTTTTTGTTTCTTTTCTTTTCTTTCCGGGTAGTAAACGAGTAGGTTATTAGTAATCTCTTACAATCTATTTGACCATTAGAATATATAAGGGATTCAATTTGTTTAACCGATTACGGAGGGTTATTAGCCTTTAGGAATGTCACGTTATATATTAGAAGGTTAGTGTTACATTAAGTCTATTAGCGTGGTAAATTCAAGTAGTTGAGTTAAGTAGTAGCACCTAATCAACTCAACTCGAGTAGTAAAAATCGCTATTTAACTTAACTCGCCAAGTACTCGATTAACTCATAAGTGACTTGAGTAGTGTCGGCCCGATGCCCCGTATCGCGCCCGGCTCGCTAGCCGGGCTCCGATCGGCCGGTCGGCGTATACGGACTTGACTAAGTGCCCCTATATTAGGTATATGCTGTTTTCTTATTATAGTTACGTTATATACAACTACTTAAGTACTACTTAAATAGTTAAATCTACTACTTAACTTAACGGAATAACCTAATTATACTTATTTAACTTAACTCGATTAGTACTCGAGTCGGGTTAAGTACTTGATTAGAAGTGTTACTACGCTAAAGTCTATAAGGGATACATATCTATAGAACTAAGCTAGAAGTATATATAGCAAGTACCGTCTATAATGAATAGTATACGGATTGTAAATTCATAGTACCATCCCCTCCAGACGCCAGAGTTGCAAAAAAAAAGAAAAAGAAAGTGCGCCCAAAGTAGAGTAAGGTATCTACTTTACTAACATCTTCTCCGTAAAACAAAGCAAGTTAACCAACTAGGCTACATTTCCAAGCATTTAAGCCTTAACTTAACCTACTTATCGCATGTACTTATATACACATCGAGCGTACAGTCTTTTTCACAACTCTGGCGTTTGGAAGGGATACTTGCTATTTACTATCCTCAAGATAACAAAGGAGGAGCGTATAGTTAGGTTATATAAGCTAGACGCCTGCCCAAAGTAGCTTAGCTCTTTGGTTATCGGAATATATATCTCTTTCTAGTTTTCCTAGTACTCTTAGCACTGTATATATACTCCCTTTAACGGGTTATAAGCCAGGGTATTATTAAGGTGTAACAATGTCGGAAAGCTTAGTTAACTCACATTAAAGTTCGTCCTTTCTAATCCGTTAGTGCTAGTGCAAAGGGCTAAAGCGGTATACAAGATCAAACATAAAGTCCACTCCACACTAAAGGCACATCTAAGTCAGATATATGGTAAGGAGGCTAGCATACACCAAATCAAAGATCCTCTACCGACCACACGGCGAAATCAAATCAAAATCTCGCCAAAATACAACTCTAAAGTTAAGCTGCTTCATATAAAAACCCCCGAATCATCGACCCTCATCCCCAAACCCGTAGTACTACCCACCATTCACTATTCAACATATCATCACATATCGTAGTACTTATAAAGCGATATTATCAAATATGCTACAGCAGGGTAGTAGAGTAGAGTAACAGAAATTAGCAAGACAACTTTAGGACCACTCCACTTATAGAACAGCTTTACACGAGTCCTTAGGAAGAAAAGTATCCTACTACTTGCCATAAGGAGCTAAGAAGAAGGATTTCTATATAATAGCAGCCTCTATTTTACGTTACGCTATATTTTACTCTACTCCACTCTACTACCCTATATTTGATAACATTGATTTATTACCGTATATATACTAACGTATAAACATACCACCTACCCCAAAACCCCGTAACCAAATTCCGATCATTCCTCCAACTGCGAATTCCACCGAGAACCTCCTCTCCCCCCGCCCCCCTTCCGTCACTTCTATCCAACTCTTTTGATCCTTACCTAGATATAGATATAGATACTCAGCGTACGTACGATATCACATGTAAGCAAACCGTTCAAAAACAACCTTGGCTAAGGAAAACCGAATTTAGAGATAAATCTATCTATCTATCTATCTATCTATTTATCTTAATAAAGACAAAAAGCTAAACTCTCACCGTTATTTAATAATTTATCAAAATACCTTCCCTCCTTTACCTCACCTTCGCCCCATTATACCTCAACCCCAGAACCCAGAACCCAAAAGATCATCAATCAATCAAATTAACATCCATCCCCCCCTCCCCCTCCCCCAAAAAGGGAAGCCAGATCTCCCAAAACCTCTTCAGTAAGAATAAGAAGATACTTACTTACTCAGCTCCAAAGAAAAGAGTCAAGGTACAGTACGGTAGGTACCATATTAAGAAAAGTCAAACCAAGGTAAGGTAAGGTAAGGTCAAGGTAAACACGCACTTTACTTTCCCCTATCTCTATAGTAGCCCTATGAACACCTACCTACCTACCTGCCCTCCACAAACGTAAAAGTTCACGTCCAAGTCCAAGCTTACATCCTCAATACCCCAAACCACCCAATTTCAAAGAGAGACTACGAAGTAGAAGTAGAAATAGAAATAGAAGAAGCAGGTATATAGTAAAGGTGCCATACATCTCCTTATTCAAAAAAAATTCACACCCACCACCCTATATCATTTCGTAAGAAGCCCTCAGATTGAGATTGGAATTTTCTTGAATTTTTTCTTATTCACTTAGCCACTAAAGGCAGGCCAGGCTTAGGCTTAGGCTTTCTTCATCATCAACCCATCAACCCATCAACCCATCAACCCATCAAACCCAGCCAGCCACCAACCAACCAACCAACCAACCAAATCATTCAACCACCCGAGAGCTACTGGTACAACAAAGGTATCGCCTCTTTCCTCCACAGAAAAACAAGGCAACCAAACGGTAAAATAAGCTAAAAAAGAGAAAAAGAAAAAGAAAAGAGAAGAGTTGTGATTGCCCCCCTCTCTCAGTAAAGGGGAAAAAAACCACACAAAGTCAGTATGCTCTTCCTGACTAACGGACGCCATGCCTATCCCTGGAATTTCCCCATCCCCATCCCCCCAATTTTGAAACCTGGGAAGCCAAACCGTGTCCCCGTAAAACAAGAAAATGGAAACGCTCAGAAAAAAAAAAGAATCACAAAAGGAAGAAACGTCATGCGTTATTAGCAAATCGAAAGAAGATACGAACAAACGTCTAAAAGTTATGTTACATGGTGTTGTTCGCGGGTTCGGATAGCACGCCATCTTTAGAAGCAAGTTTCGATGCCGGAGTCGACATGTTTTCGACGTTCTCTTTCCCGCGAGTTTGATCATTAATACGCGGGCCCTCGAAAACACCATTGGGTTTCGGTTCATCGATGGTAGAAAGAGATGGTTTGAGAACAGCCGGAGAAGTAGTGGGACTGCTACCTCCTTGCGGTTTGCTTGAATTGGCATTATCATTCCTCCTTGCTTTATAATCGCTTAAAGAAAGCTTCTTCGTGGTCTTTGCAGGACTGGCTTGTTGACCGACACCACTGACTGCTGGACCTGAAAACGGAGATGGGAAATGTACGGTGCCAAATGGAGATTGGGCGAGTGCTCCAGAAGCAGAGGAAGGAGTGGCCGAGCCCGACACAGGCCCAGCCATATTTGGGTTGGTAAATGTGGGTGTAGCTGGCATCTGCACTCTGAGATGGGGAGATTTCTGCGCCGGTGACATAACACCATTGTTGTTTGCTTGACTTGGGCATGGTGGAGGTGGGGGTTTGATTGTATTTCCAATCATAATCGCAGGAGCATCAACCATATGTACGTCAGCTACAGTCGAAGCGAGGTCCATCGACGGTGTTGAGGATACGACACTGGCATTTCGACCTCTCGATTCTGTAGGTGATTGCGGGGATTGTTCTTCGTGCTTTATACCACTCATTTCCATTGCAGCTACAGGCGAAAGTTGCTCAGGTTGGTCCTCGGCCATTCTTGAACGTTCCAGCTTCTCTTGTTCAAGCTGAATCCTGTGCCGATTCTTGAGGAGACGCTTCGCCAGTGGAATAATTGGTCTCTTGGGCCTCGCTGGTGGTTGTTTCCACCATGCATTCTCGACATCATCGGTTTGCGTGGCTGAATCTGCATACACAACTTTGGTCGGCGTCGGTGGGGTATGGCGTGTCTGTTTTGAAGCAGAAGCATTTTGAGGGGAGTTGTTTTGAGGAGATGGTGCGGTAGCTGTTGGAGACGCTGCGCTATATGGTGATCCTGACTGTCGCCTTGATGTACTAGCATCAACATACTGCCGGCCCCGAGACGTGCTAGAAGTCGCAGACGGTTTTGAATTGGCCATTCTGGAGGCAACAGAGCCCTTTCTCTGTTTTTGATGCGACGGAGTGGCCGCAGGAGGGTTCGTCGTCGGATTCGTGGACAGGCCATCCGATGCCCTCTTCTTCTTTCGAGGGGGCCCTTGGTCCATTTTTCGGAAGGATTCCTCGAGCATTGCAAGCTTTCTCTTTTCGCGATCCGACGTCTCTGGGGCGGTACCATTGGTCTCGCTCACACCATTGAGAGGGGTTAAATCTCGACTTTGAGGTTTGCTTCTAGAACCCGACACGGAACGCACATCATCTTCCTCAATAACCTCGTGTTGACCCTCGCTAGCAGATCTACTGTTACTAGCTTGACCAGTACTCGTGGGCGAGACGTGATTCTGTTTGGGTTTGCGGCCTTTCTTGGGCTTTACGCCGTTCGACTGTAAATGTAATCTCCCGTGATAATTTCTATGGAATCGAGCAAACGCGCAGTCATTACCTAGACCGCATGCACAACCGCCATGTTCAGAGAGAACCACATCAATCAAGTTTGAGATTCGTTCGTAGTCGCTTTCGCTGATGCTGGCAGCATCAAAGAGCCCACGATCTTCTTCACCTAGATTCAAGAACTGAGACCATTGGTCAATTTCTTTTGGAAACTTGAATTCCCACGGAAGCGTTATCTGTTCGTTGGCGGTTATCGGCCGCTCGCTTATTAACCAGAAATGATAGTCCGATGGCCTCGCAATGTAGATCTCCAGGCTGGTATTTGGCCGGCAGCTTCGTCGAACATACCTACATACCGAGCCTTCCTTTCTCGTGTCGATATATAGAGGTAAGGCCGGTGGGAAGAATATGAAAGGCCGCGGGTGAACAATCTCTTTCCAATGATTGCTCTCGTCCTTGCAGTAGTCATTTTGGAAGCCAATGAAACCCATAAGCTCTCCTACATGGCCACTTTGGATGGGTGCTGGAGTGGTAAGAAATCGCCATGAAAGATGTTTGCCATCGATCACCACGTCCTTCCGCCCGACCGTTAATTCGGGCCATTTGAGGGATTGAAAGTTGTTTTTAAGATAATTCCAGAAATCTTTGCTGTCCTCTCTGCCCAAATCTTCCCGAAATACGTCAGGCTCTTGTACCCATTCCGACATTTTATTCGTTACCGATAGGCTCGCATAGGAATTGGTAAGGGTTCGTTGTACAAAATCATCGTCTTCATAAAGTTTCAAGAATGCGTCCGAGTAGGAATGAACGTGGAAGTCCTGTGGCAGGTCTGGGGGAGTATGAACCGGACTGGGAGGGTGGTTGTGTGTGTTTGGTCGTGAATTGAGGGGCGGAGAGCGTTTCATCTGCGAGCTGATCGAATGAGCCGATCGATGGCCCTTCGGCTTCTTCGCAGTGGGAGGGGGGTGGTCATGGCTGTCATGGTCGCTGTAACCGTTGATTTGGAGTTCTGAAGGTTTGGCCTTCTTCTTGTGGCTTTTCGAGGGTGGCCGCTTCGTTTTCTTGTCGCCATTTTCATTAACGGATTTGTTCTGTCGTTGAATTCGTTGTCGCTCGGTCGCATCGCGTCCGTTGAGCGGCCGCGGTTTGCAATCGGTACACGAATGATCAAAGTCTTCTCTCGAAGCGTCTTCTATGTGGCCCGGGTAGAAACATTCGATGTGCTGCCACGTATCGCATCGTTCGCAGTAAATCGTGTTTCCATCGTCGTCGGAATAGTCGCAGATACACTTGATGGTGTAGGGCTCCTCATCTACCGGCTCGCTGATGGGATGCGCAGCGTTCGAAGGAGTGGGTGCCGCAGGTTTCGAGGAGGTGTGATTCGGCGTCGCGATCTGCGGTGTGATCGAGAGAGGTCTTTCTGTCATAATCTAGCAAGAGCCTCCAGATGGCTGGTGGAGTAGGGGGACAAAGGTGAGTTCACAGAATCCTAGGCCTGAGTCGCATGACGAAGACGGCCGCGACTCGATCAGGAGAGTTGTCGCAAAGCGAAGAGAACGATCAATCTCGAAGATACCTGTCATCAGTTGTTGAAGCAGAGCATGGACCTGGCAGATGGTCAAGGTGTGTCCACAGCGCGGACTCGAGCGAGGGCGTGGGCGAGACAACGGGTGGCCGACGGACGATGGCGATGCTCAACAACCCCAGAACACGCTTGGGAAGAGACGGACGGAGGTCGAATGTACGTCGAGGGACTTGAGATCGTCGTGCCCAAAGGTGCAACGTGTGGTTGAGTCGATTGAAGGGTTTCCCAAATTGGTGGAGGCGACGTTGGGAATGAAGGGAACCGTATTGACCGGCAGGAAGGCTGTGGAGATCTCTGGCGCAGAATTCACGACGCGTCGATGGCCGGTTGGTGTCTCGAGACTGACGATGGTAGAGGGAAGGTGTTGTCTTTCTCTGGCGGACTCTCGGAAGGGTAGTTGCATGAGATTGGGATTGTAAGAGCGAAGGAGGAGAGGGGGTTTCTGTTGACGGACGACTCTGGCTTCAGCAAAGGAAGAGGGTTAGAGGGCCTTGGGGGGTCAGTAAAAGCGGCGGGCTAGACAAAAGCGCATCAAAGGGCTGCTTCGTCGGCTGGAGTCTTCTGGGGGGGCCACTCTGGTGCACTGAGAGGAGGGAAGGGTGGTGGTCTGGGTTAGCCGTTTGCAACTTTGCGCTCGGCTTGTCCTCGCCCAGAGCACTCGCCCACTCGCCCACTCGCCCACTCGCCCCCTCGCTCACTACTCTGGCCCAGTGGGTGCACTCAACTACACTTGCAGCTGAGGCTGCGCAGGCTGTGTAGAGTAAATTTCCCTAGGCTGCCTGAAAGCCTGTAGCCTGTCCATCCACGGCTCTCCCATGGCATCCATGCCTTGGGCTTGGTCATGTTCGCATCACCGTAGCCTTCGCTTCAGGGCCTTTGCCTGTCCCAACGGCGAAGACGAGGCTGGGGAGATGAAGCTTCGTTTTGCATGGCGGTGCTAAAAAAATGTATATATATATATAAGTCGACTTTTGCCCCTAGATGGAAAGCATTGCCACTGTACCAGTATACTTTACCGAGGAAGGTAAACATCACCATCCCCAACCTGGTGGGCTTGGAACACTGAGCGGCTCGTGAATCTCCTACACCTACTGCGGATCATGGACCTTGCAGTGAACAGGACCGGACAGGACAGGTTGCCTGCGTGGTTGCAATTTGCGTTGCGTTGCGTTGCGTTGCGGGGAACGATAGCATTTTGGAGTGAGGATCATAGGATGTGGGATATGGGATATGAGGGAAAACCTTTCAACCTCGGTGCGGAGACGAGCGAGCGCTGGGAATTGGGGGACTGGGAGCTGGTGGGAGGATCTCTAGGGGTTGGCTTGCTGGCCTTGATGGCCTAGTTTGGCACCCACCGCTACCTCCCATCACTCACTCGGCGCACCATCACTATCGCCATCACCATCACTATCGCCATCATCATCACTATCGCCATCACCATCACTATCGCCATCATCATCACTATCGCCATCATCATCACTATCGCCATCACCATCACCAGCTGCAGCACACACACCATGCCAGTGATGCCACCGCCTGTTGCCCTAGCATCATTACCTGTGCTACCGCCAGGCTACCTACACCTACACCTACTCTTCTCTTCTCTGGCCCTCTACGGTGTGCTCTACTCGTGGTCCGTACAATGCACGATACGTACTGAGTACTCCGTACCAGTACTCGCCAGGTCCTTCGTACCCCTTCAAGGCTTCACCCCAGCCGATGAGCAACCCAGAGCGAGGGGAGCCTTGAAGCAGCAATCCACCTGCTCTCGAACCAAGGAGTGAGCCGTACCTACGTACCTTGTACCTACGTACCTTGTACCGTACATGAGAGACTCCACGGTACAGTACAGAGTACTTACTCTACAGAGGTAAATTTACTCTACCAGAAGCTGGTGGAAGGGCAAAAGCGGCAGCGGCCTGGCCAGTCTGATGCCATACGATTGGTGCATTCGACCATCAACTAATGATTGCTAGCGCATGCCGGCAAGATCTTCCGTGGTGCATTTCCACCCATTTGCCTTTGGGTGAGCCTTCCATGCTTTCCAATTGCTGGCCGGGCACGTCTGGCCTGCCGTTCTCGGAGCCCACTAACACGCTTTCCACTGGCTGAATGGGATTCCTGCCTGCGCCCTGGATCGCGCTAGCACCCACTAGCGTCCTTTCTTAACCTTGTCGGAGCCAATGGCATCGTGGGGCCTGTGCCAGCCTAGTGAGCTTCTTATCGAAAGGCTCCTTCCTGGCGAGCCTGGTGCTTCCTTGGCGTTTGGGACAATTCCATCCATGGCTCATTGGCTTCGTCGATGAGACACCAACATCCTGCCTGTTCCTCCGCACACAATGTCATTGTCGCCTTGAAGAGATCATGCTGTTGTACCAACGACCCCAAGTTCATCCATTGTATCGCACCAAGAGCAAAGGGAAGCTTCCATCTCCCGAGGTCCCGTTGCCTTCAGCCATTTTTCACGTGAAGTCGAACCTTGCGGATCACCGGGGAGTTCCATTATTGGACGTCGAGCATGGAGTACGACATCTTGCGTTGCACTAGGAGATCCATGAGAAAAGGTCAAGGAGTGTTGGCAGGTTCGTACGGAGTATCCGTATATATATACTTCCAAGTAGCTTGGGAGGAGGACCAGTCTAGTCCTTGATCAACCAGTCCCATGACCCTTTCTTGTTCTCATGATTGACGCGCTGCGCTAAATCTGTTCATTTAAGTTGCATCGATCCAAACCTCAATCAATCATCTGAAACCATTCAGAACATTTGGCACTAGAGAAAATAGAAACAGCATTTCTTTTCCCAGCTGTCTTGGTGGACTCGATCATCAAAATGTCCCAGAGCATTCAAACAATTGATCACATTATTCGAAACAATGAAAACAACCACAAATCAACCCATAACCCAGGCACCATGTTCTAGTCGTCGCAAGAACGTCATCTCTAACTTTAGTCCCAGTTCTTCACCTGCTTAAGGAACGTCAAGGCAGCCGCTGCATAATAGCCTGTTCATGCGGCATTCAATCAGCACCTCTCGTGAAAGAGACTACCATTTCACCGCAATTACAGACAAGGACGATCAAGGAGAGATGGTCAACTGCTCTAAAGTGTGACGCTGTCCAGCAGGAAGTTATCGACTCATTGATGATAGAGAGCATCACCACTTCAACGTAGCTGAGGATATCTGAACAGCCTTCCGGGTCAAGCACGCAATCTCGTTGGTCTGGTTGCCGAGATTATAGAAGAACCTCTTCTCAAGAATCGACTTGCGCCTCGACTGTGTGGGAAAGTGAAAGCGGCTCTTTTCGGGTCCACAAAATCTAATAGAGTACAAAGTACTATCGCCAATGAAAAATGATGTCGGCTATTCCCTTGGTCTCGCTTACAACAATGTTGGAGGTCTGAACCCCCTATCTCCAGAGCGCAGAAGGTTTTCTTCAAATAATCGGGCATATCGTATTATAGTATGTACTATCCCTTACTCTTTAACAGGCAAACTACCAGATGGCATAATGTCCCAATTAGGCTTGGTCATGATATTCTCAGCAGTCAAACTGGCAAGATACAACTGGCCAAATCCAACCAGGACGTTCTGCCAACCGGTAGTGTGCCACCTAATAGTTCTCGTCAAATCCTAAAAAGACAAGTAATTCAAACCATGCTTTGTAACTAGCCACCTTACTGTACCTTAACAACCCCAGATAAGCGAGACGAAGAACTAGGAATTTTGTATTCTCGCCTATTTCGGAAGAAGCTTACAATATATTGTTTTCCCTGTGCAGGGAGTCCTCGATGATTGGATATATCCTTATATCCAATCATCGAGGAGTACCATGAAGAGTCATGGTTTCGAAAGCACACTGATTCGGATGAATCTGGAAGGTAACAAATAGATCTGCTAAGGAGCCATGGTAATCAACACTCTCGGTTGTCTGTTTAGCATAACACCATACACTTACTTAGTTTCCATCCCACCCCATCCCGTGGCTCACGCCAATGAAAACTTTGAAGAAAGTAGAATGAAATTTTAGATATGAGAATATTTAGCACTCTGTTTTAATTGAGTTATGTCTACTTCCGTAGGAATATATATCGTAGGAATATGTTTTCTTTCTGTCGGGCGTTTAGTTTGTATCTATGATTCCGTGAGAAATATAGAGATTTCTCTGGTTAATATAGATACTGTAGACTATGGAAATTTTCACAAGCAACTACTCTCGCTTGGTGTTGTATGGTGTTGTGATGAAGTACTGTTTGTGAGTGAGTCGACGGGTTAGTAGTTTATTTTATTTTATTTTATGTGGTTATATATATATATATATAGATATACCGCCATATCCCCTTTCCAATGCGTGGGATGTTTTATGTGTGAATCCCATTACACCTTACTGAATAACTGGCATAGATGGGTAGATTCATGGGTCTTGTGAAAGGTCTTTGTTGTACAAGTAAGTTGTAAAGACGAGATACTTCGAGATGGATGTGGGGTGGAGGTTGATGCGTGGAAGACTTGTTTTCTGGATATCCAATTGCCTACTTGGGTATCGACGCCCCGAGAAGTATAATTGTAAGAAGTAATATGGTTAGATGTCTTGATAGCATGTTAGTAGGGGATGATGGGGTTTGGGTGTGTAGAATGGTGGGATTGTATATACTTGGGAGGGAAAAGTGGAGAGAGGAGGAAAAAAGGGTATACTGAGTAGAATGTTTCTTACAGTACTCGCTTGGGAATACTGTAAACACTCGTTTAACATATAGTCCCTTTGCAAAGAAAACTAGATACTAGTGTATCTACTAGTGTATTCCAGGGTATTTTTCATGCGATTTGCTTTATTCCCACAGGTTCTGGGTTCGCGCAACGTTTGGCTACTTCAGGGTATAGTCTGTAGTATAAAAATCCACCCTGGACCTCCATCTTCGACAAATCAACCAATGAAAGCGATTAAACTTTTGCACCTGTAGAATATTGCGGCCAGTGGACTCCAGAATTGTATGGAGAAGGATCCGGTCAAAAGAATCAGGATGAGAGGTTCCTAGAATTCTATACTGTAAGTCTGTAATGAGACGCTACTCCACTCCTCACCGGCCCTGTGATGATCATGATTGCCCCTTCGTCACACGCATGGTGTTGCGATGGCCACAGATTCGGCATATGAAAAGTCGAGCCAATAAAAACATCACCGATGATTCCACTGGTTGGCAATGAGCTGTGACTTGCATGTCCAGCACGCCCATATTCTCAACAGGAGGCCATATCCTGGGATTGTGGATAGTGATTGATGGAATTCTGCTACGTCTGAAGAAATAGATTCTTCAGCTGTAGAGATCTGTTTGGGCTTGTACAGTATGTGGAGCGCAAAGCAAACGGCTAGCGAGGTTGTATACTGCTTGATGACGAACCCCTGAGTAATAACAGGAGAGAGAGAGCGACGAGCCCGGGCTTGATAGGGTCTTGTTGAGTATTACTTGTTTTCACTCGGCGGCTAATGATAATGGGAGTCATATCGATCAGGCCAAGATCGGGTCCGAAGGTTGGGTGGAATCGTAGAGATATATCCGTAGAAAATGTTGATGGGCGCTTAAGGTTAAGGTTGATGTCAGTCGGCGCTTCATGGCTCTCTTCAGATCTGAGAAGGGCCTCCTAGGATCGGTGCGGTACTTGAGCACGCAGACGCGGGTCTCGAAAACGGTCACATATGTTTGTCTGTATTTTCTGCAGGTGTTTGCCGTTCCACCGTTCGGCTGCAGGTGCCTCATCGAATAATAAGCTTGACGACGACTTCATCTGCTACGGGCTCCACCCCTCCTCAGAGAAGCCAGGTTCCTCAATCCCACCGTCGCAGCCATCACAGACTTAATTAACAACACCATATCCCATTCACTTCCAGCCCAAAGATCATGAATCGCATGCATGACGTACAGCGCACGAACTCCTTAATTGCTTCGTCCAGCTAGAAAAAAAAATTCCATCGTACAGCTGTACTGCCCACTACAACCGCATTGCATCCCCGAAGTCACCCCTCTTTTCCGCCTATCGCAAACGCAGCTTAGGTCCCGCTGGACGCTGCCCCCCACGACTTGTCAACAACGTCACTTGTGCAGAAGGGCCTACGGTAGCTGAGCTAGAAGAGTGCTTTGGTGTGCCGCGAGGAGGGAAGTTGAGCTGCGGCTCCCAGGAGCAAAGGCAGGATGCAGGCGCCCATGATCTCGGTGCCTTTGAAGGCGACGAACGAAATAGACTGGATCCAACCTTTGAAGGGATATATTCGACAGACCTATGGAGATGATCCAGAGCGGTACGCCGAGGAGTGTGCAACGCTGAATCGGTTGCGGCAGGATATGAGAGGTGCGGGAAAGGATAGTGCTGCTGGACGAGACCTGCTATACAGATACTACGGACAGTTGGAGTTTTTGGATCTTCGATTTCCGGTGGATGAGAACCATATCAAAATCTCGTTCACATGGTACGATAATCCCCGTTTAGTTGTTCCGGAGTGGGGACTAATTTGTTGAATTACAGGTTCGATGCCTTTACACACAAGCCAACCTCCCAATACTCTTTAGCATATGAAAAAGCTTCTATAATATTCAATATTTCTGCGGTGCTCTCCTGCCATGCTGCTCACCAAACTCGATCAGAAGACTCCGGTCTTAAAACCGCATACCACTCTTTCCAAGCCTCGGCTGGCATGTTTACGTATATCAACGAGAATTTCTTACATGCGCCTTCCACAGATCTGAGCCGGGAGACGGTCAAGACCCTTATACAGATCATGCTAGCTCAGGGGCAGGAGGTGTTTTTGGAAAAACAGATTGCGGATGGCAAGAAGGTTGGACTTTTGGCGAAGCTTGCTAGCCAAGCTGGCTATCTGTATGCTCAGGCCGTGGAAGGGACACAGGAGAATGTCAACAAAGCAATTTTCGAGAAAGTTTGGCTATTAGTTGTTCAGGTATGGAAAACCCATCATTGCCTTTTTTTCGTTTGTGCCATGTCCATTTATCATGTAGGCAAAACGTTGTCTTGAGGACTCTACATTTCTGTGTTACTGACTCCCAGATTTTTTGGCTAATTGGATCTAGATAAAATCAAATTACATGAATTCTTTGGCGCAATACTACCAGGCCTTGGCCGACGACGATGCAAATTCCCATGGTGTGGCCATCGCCCGTCTTCAAGTGGCAGAAACTGCAGCTAAGGAAGCCAACAAACTTGCAAACTCATTCCCATCCAGCGTTCCTGCAAATTCCAATCTTACTGCTGAAACTGGCCCGAATCTTTTTGAACTTTCCAAACGACAGTTGGCCAATGTGCAGGAGAAACTAGTCGAACTTGTAAAAGATAATGACTACATCTACCATCAGACTGTTCCTGTCGAAGCTGCTCTCACAGTCATCCCAAAACTCCCAGCAGCCAAGGCAATTCCAGTGAGCGAATTGTACGCTGGTCAGGATATTCAGCGCATCACGGGCCCGGATATCTTTCAGAAGATTGTGCCAATGTCAGTCACGGAATCAGCAAGTTTATATGATGAGGAAAAGGCAAAATTAATTCGAGCCGAGAATGAACGAGTTGAAATTGCCAACGGTGAAATGGCAGCAAGCTTGGACTATTTGAGACTACCTAATGCTTTACAAATCATCAAGGGCGGATTTGATCAGGAGTTAACAGCAGACGATGAATTCAGGATATGGTGTGATGATGTTGCAGGCCATGAAAATCCTGGACCTACTTTTGAGCAGTTAAGATCGAGGAAAGAGGACGTGATCAATGTGCTGGATAAAAGCAGCAAACAACTGGATATGGAAGAGAGTGTTTGTGAAAAGATGAGATCCAAATATGAAGGAGATTGGACTCAGCAACCTAGTTCGAGACTGACGACAACTCTTCGAAACGATATTAAGAATTACCGAGACGCACTCGAGGAAGCATCGAAGAGTGATAGCCAGCTATACTCAAAGTTCCGGCAATATGATGTCGATTTTGATGAGATGCGTTCAGCTGCCGAGATTGGTGAGGCCGATGTACTATGGCAAAAAGAGCTCATTCAGGTGGGCGGTAAACGAACTGGTGGGAGCCCAACTGACCAAGGGAATCTTCTGGGTGACGATTTTGAGGAGACTGGTGTCAGTGTTATGGATCAGGTCAACAAGGTAGAGGAAATTCTCAAGAAGTTGAATTTGTTGAAGCGCGAGAGAGCGCAGGTATTGAAGGATTTGAAGGAGAAGGTATGTGACTTTTCCTTGCCATACGACTTTATGAGTGCTGACTTTTTCAGGTACACAATGATGACATCTCCCAAGTCCTCATTCTCAACAAAAAGGCAATTTCAACTTTCGAGACTCAACTCTTCCAAGCAGAACTGGAAAAATTTCGCCCACACCAAAATCGCCTCATATCTGCAAATCATAAGCAATCCTCACTCATGAAGGAACTTACATCGACTTTTAATACTCTATTACAAGATAAGAGAGTTCGTTCTGAGCAAAGTAAATATGAAACCATCACCAGACAAAGAAGTTCTGTGATGTCGAGATATAAGCGAATTTATCAAGAATTCTTAGATCTCGAGGCTGGGCTCCAATCTGCTAAGCAGTGGTATAACGAGATGAAAGATACCGTCGATAGCTTGGACAAGAACGTCGAAACTTTTGTTAACAACCGACGGGCTGAGGGTGCGCAACTTCTCAATCACATTGAGCAGGAAAGAGCCACCAATGCCAGTGGACAAGCCGATCGGGAGCGAGAGCGACTTCGTGGTCTTATGGAGCGTATGTCGATGGATCCCTCTACGTCTCCCAGCAAGCCTCCTCGGTCGAATTCTGCATCATTCCAAACTCCATCACCTACCACTCGATACCCTGCAACCAATTTTGCTGGCCAGTATCAAGTTCCAACTTCTCCACAGCAGTCTATCCAGCCATCACAATCCAGCCATAACTCATATGTGCCCAATGGATCGCAATATGCACCTCATCAACAGAAAAGGCATCCTCCGGAAATTTATGTTGCCCAGAAACACAATCAGCAACTTCAGGGACAACCAGGAGGTTACAACCCGAGCATGTATCCTCGAGATCCCAACCAACCAATTTCTCCGCCTCCAAATCAGACGCAATTCGGGCACATGTCTCCACCACCAACGCAAACACACTTCTCACATCAAATGTCTCCTCCTCCTACCCAAACGCAATTCAATCCAAATCAGTATGGTAGACAACCACAATCACCCATGCCCCACAAACAATTCAACGTGCCTCCAGGATATATTCCGCCCCCACCACCTCCTGGACCACCGCCTCTCGGACCACAACAAACATATGGGCAACCTCATGATCCTTATGGCGGTCAACAACACCAGAGACACAGTTCACAACAACAGCAGCACCAGCAACAACAGAGCTCGTCGGCAGATCCATGGGCGGGTCTTAATGCTTGGAGATGATTTGGGCTTGGTTTTCGGGCAATAGGAATGGGATATAGAGAATGGATGGATGGATGGATGGATGGATGGATGGACGAATTGATGGAACAGTAGTCACTTATGGATCAATGAAAATTTTAGATGCATATTATACCTTTTCGTGGGCTTGTGGATATTAGTCTTCATATATCTTTAGTATCCCGGTTCTCAAATAGTTTTCTTGGTAGGACTCTAGTCTCTTGGAGAAATCAAAATACAAGTATAGAACTAGGAAAGTAGGAAGGTAGAAAAGATATGAGCTATGGTGGTACTTCTTGTTTTTCACTTGTTAGAAAAAGGAGATGAAGTTGATAATAGCACCTATTAAAAAGCACTGTGAACGAGGCGAAATCGAGAATCGGATTTTGCTTTTTACTATTCCTTTTGAAGGTTCGCTATATACATTATATTGCTCGCAAGCTCATGGTACGACTATGAGGAAGCGGCGGCATTTCAGAAGCCAATCGGCTTACCAAAGCACATCCCTGCATCATCGGCGGTATGTATCTCCGCCACTCAGCTTTGAAAAAGCAGCTCCAGCTCGGTTCGGTGACGGAATAGTTCTTCGACTCGCAGGTTGGTTGAATATTTCTTCCTCACGCACGCAATAATCCTCTTCTTGTATCCATTTTGTGTTTTGTACATTGCCCATTTCAATTCAGGGTAGATTGGCCTTAAACGGGTCTGCATCTGCATCGGCGCATTACAACTAGACCGCTTCACGCTCTTTCTCCACCGACTCACAGCTCGTCTTCAGACTCGAGAAGAGAAATACATCAACATGCTATACGGCCGAAACCTCCCATGGCGGCTTGCAATTCGAAATACCTCACGACCGGTTTCGTCTGCAAACTCTGCAACTCGGTCAATCTCTAGTATATCCCATACGAGTAGGCTTCACGCCACCTCTATATTATCTCCTCGGCGGCAGCTTTACCCTCGAGCTTCGCCAACTTCGATATGCAGTTCTCAATTCTCGACGAGCCCTTCAAGACGGAAGGACGCACCAAAGGATGCAAAAGAAACGGCTGTTGAGAAGCCCAAGGAGGAGAAAGACCGGACAGATGGGAAGGAAGTGGGGCCAGTTGATGAGGGCGTTATAATTGAAGGAAAGACCAAAAGTTCTGGATCTGCGAAGAGTGACAGTCCAGGAAGCGCTGCAGATGGAAAGGCAAGCGCTGCTTCATCCGGCGCTGGAGGCGAATCTGGGAGTGGCGGCGGAGATGGGAAAAGAGGACGAAGGTCCGATAAGGCTATTATCAAGCCCGTGGTCCCAGATGTCTATCCTCGAGTGCTGGCGATTCCTATTACCAAACGACCTCTATTTCCTGGATTCTACAAGGCTATGACGATACGAGACCCAAATGTTGTGGCTGCGATTCAGGAAATGATTAAGAGGGGCCAACCATATGTTGGAGCGTTCTTGTTCAAGGATGAAAACAATGATGGGGATACCATTGAAAATATTGAGGATGTCCACGATATTGGTGTTTTTGCTCAAATTACCAGTGCATTTCCTGTCCATGGAGACCAGGGCGCTCTCACGGCTGTTCTCTATCCACACAGAAGAATTAGGATGTCTGAACTAATAAACCCAGCCAAGCCTGCTGGGACAGAGGCAAAGGTCGAACCCATTTCTACTGAGCCACCAGTTCCAGAGCCAATACCCACCAAGCTGTCCAACGAAGAAGCGGCGCTGGATAAGAAGGGCGATGTAGTTGCCTCTTTCGAGGAGGGTACTATTCAAAAAGCAGATACACCTGCTGCACATTATGAGCCAACCTCATTTTTGCGAAAATACAACGTCTCTCTGGTCAACGTGGAAAACATTACAGAAGAACCCCATGACCCCAAGTCGCCCTTAATTCGTGCGATTACTAGCGAGATTATCAATGTCTTCAAGGAAGTCGCGAATCTTAACAGCCTATTCCGTGATCAGATCTCTACATTTTCAATGTCTCAAACTGCAGGAAATGTAATGGCAGAGCCAGCTAAGTTGGCTGACTTTGCCGCTGCTGTGTCAGCCGGTGAGGATGCCGAATTGCAAGAGGTCCTCGAGACGCTAAATGTCGAGGACCGTTTACAAAAAGCTCTAATCGTACTCAAGAAAGAGCTTATGAACGCCCAATTGCAATCTAAGATCTCCAAGGATGTTGAGCGATCGATCCAGAAACGTCAAAGAGAATACTGGCTTACGGAGCAAATGAAGGGAATTCGTCGGGAACTAGGAATCGAATCAGATGGCAAAGATAAGCTTGTCGAAAAATTTCGGGAAAGAGCGATCAAATTGGCTATGCCTGAAGCCGTGAAGAAAGTATTTGACGAAGAGTTGAATAAACTTGCTCATTTGGAGCCGGCCGCATCAGAATTTAATGTCACAAGAAACTACCTGGATTGGCTTACTCAAATTCCTTGGGGCCAACGAAGCGCTGAGAATTTTGGAATCAAGAATGCGATGACCGTTCTTGATGAAGATCATCACGGACTAAAAGATGTCAAGGATCGGATTCTAGAGTTCATTGCTGTTGGCAAACTCAGGGGCACTGTTGAGGGTAAAATCTTGTGCTTCGTTGGTCCTCCTGGAGTGGGAAAGACAAGTATCGGGAAATCGATTGCTCGTGCTCTTAACCGTCAATACTACCGCTTCAGTGTAGGTGGTCTTGCGGATGTCGCAGAAATCAAGGGGCATCGAAGAACGTATGTTGGTGCACTACCTGGGAGAATTATCCAAGCATTGAAGAAATGTCAAACCGAGAATCCTCTCATTCTCATCGACGAAATTGATAAGCTTGGACGTGGACATCAGGGTGATCCAGCAAGCGCATTGCTGGAACTTCTTGACCCAGAACAAAATAACTCGTTCTTGGATCAATATTTGGATGTTCCGGTTGATCTTAGCAAAGTCCTGTTTGTCTGCACAGCAAACATGACAGACACTATCCCACGACCTCTTCTTGATCGTATGGAAGTCATTCAACTCTCTGGATATGTCGCAGACGAGAAAATGGCTATCGCAGAACGATACCTCGCTCCTGCAGCAAAAGCGCTTGCAGGCTTGAAGGAGGCAAACATTAACCTTAGCAAAGATGCTATTGAGGAGCTTATCAAATCATATTGCCGAGAATCCGGAGTTCGTAATCTCAAGAAGCAAATTGAGAAGGTATACCGTAAAGCAGCTCTCAAGATCGTTCAAGATATTGGAGAAACAGAACTTCCTGAAGAGGACGCTTTGACCGATGAAGGTAAAGCTGCTCTTGAGGAGTCGAAGAAAGACGAGACAGATGTTAAGGAGACTTCTTCGAACATAGAAAATGAGACTACTGAAAAGCCACGCACCAGTCTTAAGGTACCAGACACAGTCGAGGTTGATATTGGTCGTGACAATCTCAAGGATTATGTTGGTCCACCAATTTTCACTTCAGATCGCCTTTACGAGACTACACCTCCTGGTGTGGCAATGGGTCTAGCATGGACACAAATGGGAGGAGCAGCACTTTATGTAGAATCCATCCTCGAATCTGCTCTCAAGAAATCCTCACGACCTGGTCTCGCCACGACAGGAAACCTGAAATCTGTGATGCGAGAATCTACCTCCATTGCCTATTCCTTCGCCAAATCCGTCATGGCCAGTAAATTCCCCAAGAACGAATTCTTCGACTTGGCAAAGGTGCATTTACATTGTCCTGAGGGAGCAGTGCCAAAGGATGGACCGAGTGCGGGAATTACCATGGCTACTTCGCTGTTGTCTTTGGCTCTGAACAAGCCCCTGGATCCTACTATCGCTATGACGGGTGAACTCACTGTTACGGGTAAAGTGTTGAGGATCGGTGGTCTGAGAGAGAAGACTGTTGCTGCGAGGCGGGCGGGGTCGAAGATGATTATCTTTCCGGATGACAATATGTCGGATTGGTTGGAACTTCCTGAGGTAAACATTTACATCCTGGCCTAAGTTGTTATCACGCATGAATACTAACAAGTTTGCAATAGAATATCAAAGAAGGTATCGAAGGTCATCCCGCGAAATGGTATTCCGACGTCTTTGACCTCGTCTTCCCTAATCTGGACGTCGAGCAAGCAAACAACCAGTGGAAAGATCAGCTGAAGAAAAAGAAGAAGGCTGATAAGGAGAAGGACGAGGACTCCGATGATGATTGATTGACTCATCGAGTGGGATTTGCTGGACAAGCAAATGAAAGGTGTGCGCTGTATAGTACATACTAGGAATTACAACACTTCACCATTCCTCGCTCCGTTCCTCTGTCCGTAACTAGTTCTTCTGCTTTAATGCGGGTTTGCAAGTTGAGGGACGGTCGGGATGAATGGCGGGGATGGTATGGCGGTGTTTGTTGCGATGATGGATGAGAGTTATGAATTGGAATTAATGATTTGGGAGGGGCATGGTATGGTATGGCATGGTCGCTGGCGTTTTTTTCTTCTTTTCTTCTCCTTTCCAGAATCTTCACTTTGTTTGGGCTCTGAAATGGATAGCAATGGAAAGAAAAGAAAACTGAGTGGGGGCACCGAGCGATATAAAAAGAATACTCTCCCCTCTTTTGTAGAATACCTGGTTCTCATCTATCTACTCCCTGAAATTGGGAAATTAGAAGAAGAAATATGGAATGATTTGAAGATTGAGAGTTGGTGGGTTTGTGGGTTTGCGTGAAAGTTGTGATTTTTTGATTGTGATTTTTGTGGATATGGTTCGTGGTTTGTGTGGATATGAGATGAGATGAGATGAGATATCCATGTGAATGTAAGAGTAAGAGTTGTGAGTACTGAAGCTTTTAGGTAGGGAGGGGTTCGGATATTGAAGGTAGGTTGGTGGCATGTTGTAAGTAGTGTTTTACAACCTTACAATAAATATCAGAGTCGACCGGATACTGTGTGAAAGGGGAGAAACCATGGTATGTACAGTGATGGGAGAAAGTCCTCTTCCTCGCATCCCCCAAGCCATCCCTCTCGTAGGCCTATTTTCTACGATGGAAAATCGTTCGAGGTAGAACAAATAAAGACTTCGGCTCTAAAGACTTCGGCTCTATATTGATGCTAGGGAAGGAATTATGATGGGTCGAATGAGGGATGCCTGTAAAGTGGTTGAAAGGGAGGGAAATGCTTACTTACTCGGGCTACCAAAGTAGGTCGAGGGACGTAGTGAGAAGGCTCTATAGACTCGGTCTTGCTACCCTGACATGGTTTGATGGTAGTAGTCCTCGTTGACTCAGCTATTTGTAAATGATACTTGGGATGTTGAAGTAAAATTTCAGCTTCTGTTCTCTACAGTGAACTGTAATTGGCTCTCTACCATTCCTGCCCCGGCCCTCCTTATGAGCGAAAAGTCTAAGGCTTCTAGAAAATTGTAGTATATGTTTCCGGTACGTATTCCCCGAATATCATCCAAATTGTCTAATAGGTTTGTCAAATTAGTCGAAACATAAAATACCTAACCTAATAACTAGTCGCCATGTCGTCACTTTAGTACTCGTACCGTACTCGGTACATCCTCGGCTATTCGATCACGACTTGCAGAGCTCCTCCTCTATAAATATATCATGCTCGTCGCTAACGTTACTCTACAGTACCTCTCATTTTCAATACATACATACAACATCTTCAAACTTTCAAGCTTGAAATAGGGTGATATGGATATCCATGAGAGGTTCCATGAGTGGGCGATTGAGGTTGCGAAGGTGGAGATTAATGGGATTGTGGCGCATCGGTTTGAGGGGAGGGGATTGGGGATTATTGCGGAGAGGGGGTTTGAGGTATGTTTTTTTGTTTTATTTTGTTTTGTGTTGAGGCTGGGGTGGGCTTTTTTTTAAGATCTTCTTCGCTGCGTTTTTCTATGACTTTTCCTGGTTTCTTGTTGTGTGGTTACTGTATCTTAGGGAGTGAGTGGTGATTTTTGTGAGTCATGGGATTTGTAGTTATGTGGTGATCGCCCCTTTTCTGGATTTCTTAGCGGGTTTTATTAGAGGAGAGATGTGGGTTTGCTTAATTTTCTTGTTCAGTTACCTAGGAAGGGCTGTTTTGGTTTGTGTGGATGGAATGGTTACTACAGGATCTTGTTTTTTTTTAATTACGGTGTTATCCTTTCCTTGTCGAGTTATCCGAGAATATCTGAGGAGTAACAAGCATAGGATATCTTCATATCTTGAAATCTTCTCATCACCTTTCTATTTTTTCAAGATATACCAAACATTTCCCAATATAAACTCACAACGCCTAATCAAAACCCACTAACCACCACCCCAGCCCAACAAAAAACTCCTAACAGTCCCCCTCTCCGCCCTCCGAACAATCCAAACAGTTCCAAAATGCATCACCTCCCAACTCCCCAACCTCACAACTCACGGTCTCCTCGCCACAGAACTCTGTCTCGACACCTCACCCACACGCTCCCTCTGGAACGCCGTTCTCCCCACCCGAGAAGACTTTGCCGAGTCCATTCCGTTGATGTGGGATTCTGACCTCCAAAATTTACTCCCAGAAGCAGCCAAGGAGCTGTTGGAGAACCAGAAACGGAAGTTGGAGAAGGATTGGGGGATGGTGAAGGATGTTTATGGGGAGAAGATTGAGAAGGAGGAGTTTGTTTATAGGTGGTTGATTGTTAATACGCGGACGTTTTATTATTTGGATCCGGCGTGGAAAGGGAAGGAGAAGCAGAAGCCGGCGAGGGATGATTGTATGGTGAGTTCTATATTACCCATTCCATTTCATCATCTTTTCAGATTTCTCATTATCATTCTCACTTCCAAGTATCGCACGTGTTCTATCTGAACATTGAAACCCCTTATCAATATCGAAAAAACTAACATCTATCAAAGGCACTCAACCCCTTCGCCGACTACTTCAACCACTCCTCAACCGGCTGTACCGTCTCCTTCGACACCACAGGCTACACCATCACCACCCCACACGCCCTCCAAAAAGGCGCCGAAATCTACATCTCCTACGGAAACCACAGCAACGACTTCCTCCTCACAGAATACGGCTTCATCATGCCCGCCGAGACCAACACCTGGGACGAAATGCCCCTCTCTTCATCCATCCTCCCACTACTATCACCCTCCCAAACCGAACTTCTGCAAGAAGAGGGCTTCCTGGGTAAGTACGTGTTGGATAAGGATGGGGTGTGTTATCGGACACAGGTCGCGTTACGGATTCTGTGTTTGCCTCTGGGACGGTGGAGGAGGTTTGTAGCGGGTGGGGATGAAGGGGTGAGGGATCAGGAGGTTGTGGATGAGTACTTGGTGGGGATACTGAGGAGGTTGAGGAGAGTAGTGGGGGAGAAGATTGGGGCTGTGAAGAAACTCAAGACGGGACTGGAAAGTCAGAGGGAGGTTTTGGGGAGGAGGTGGGTGCAGATTGATGGGTTGCTGGAGAGTGCTATTAAGAGAATAGAGGAATGAAATTTGGTTATAATTACATCGTGACTCTTTCTTTCGTAGAGGGTACAGAGTGTCCTTGCAAGTGCCCATTTTTATCATGTCTTTCATATCATGAGACCAGATCTTCGCTCTAAGTTTTATTTCCTTATGTGATTGACTTCCGCCCCTGTAAGCGACCGTTCTGGTGCGCTGGTATCAATAAATAGACGCGATTTGAATCTGTCTGCATTCGCCTTCCTTCGTGTTATTTCAAGTTCTTCTTTTCAACGCCTCCCTTCTGTCCAGTTTGATACACACACTACTTTACACATTCACAAATTACACCCACCATTCCCCCCTGATACCACGATCTCTTTCGGGTCTTATATATGGCTCTACCACAAAACCCTCATCTCAAAAGATCCCAGGGAGTATACAAAACACCAGGAAATCGATAGAACAGAGGAAAGAGATCAGAAAAAGAAGAAAAAAAAGAAAGACAGAAAAGACAATCCCCTAAAAGAAACCTCAAACTCGGCGTCCTGATATTCAGATATGGACCGATACATGCTGGCCACGTATCAAACGAAGAAGAAGAAAACGCCATCTATTGTACAGCCAATAAACAATTACACAGTTGGGCACGAGACCGAAAATCTCGGAGGAAAAAAGCAACAACCATTCATAGTCCCAACGCCCGTATTGATCCACCCAGATGCTTTGCTTTGAAAGAAATCCCCCATTGATCCGAAAAACTTAGGTAGTTGGTGGTCACTAGACCCATCATGTCATAAATAATAAAACCTTCCACGTCATACAAAGACGGTTAGACGATCGGCTTACTCTGGGCGAGGTCGTTTGGCTCCGTGTGGATTCGCTTGCCAATCTCCACCAGCAGCTTGGTTTTGGGGGAAGAAAGTTGGGTTGAAGTGACCTTGCATGCCTCCGAAGCCACCACCTAACAATTCATGATTAGTCCAAGGCAACACTATCTCTTTGAACAGACTTACCTGGCATGCCATTCATCTGGCCCATCCCCATTTGCATACCTCCCATCCCAGGCATACCACCCATTGGCATCCCGCCCATAGGCATACCTCCCATCATGTTGTTACCCATACCTCCTCTGCCACCACGCATCCCATTGGGCCCTCCACGCATACCGCCCATCATGTTGCCGCGGTTATGGAACCCGCCGCCAAATTGACCAGCCATCGGGTTGTTGGGAAAGCCCATTCCTGCGTTGAAGCCACCACCTCCCATGTTACCCATAGCAGGGCCTGAGAAGTTGCGATTGAAGTTGTTGTTATTCATGTTGTTGTTCATACCGCCGCGAGCATTGTAACCCGGAGTTCGTCCTCGGAAATTGCCTCCAAAATTGCCATTTGAGTTACCCCTCTCAGTGTAATTTCCAGACTGTCCACGATTGCTTTGGCTTCCCTTTTCAGTGCGAGGAGGAGCATCTTTCGGTAACGTCCGAAAGGGATTGGTGTTTGGATTCGAGTAAGTAACTGTATGCTTTTTCGCGTACTGTTGTCCTTCTCCAAACGCATCAATCTTGTGCTTAGCAGCAGTTGCGGCTTGTTGGGATGTAAACTCTACATATGCTTGACTACGAGTTTATTAGTCTTACGGGTGACCAAATTGAAGACCAAACATACCCTTTGCTTTTGCCGTTGACCTTGTGCTCGGAAAAGGTAATTTCCTTGAGTTCATCCTCGACTTGCGCCTGGTTGACCCAACCTCGGACATCATCGTCGGTATTCCACCAGTGCAACTCTGAGATTAGCAGGGCTGTCGTTGCTCCAGGATCTATGGGGCGATCATCTGAACCTTCTTTGCGCTTAACGCCTTGTTGCTGAGGCGCTTGCTTCGGGATTTTCAGCAGGTCAGCACCAGACTCGTCTGTGCTCTTGATCTTTTGCTGTTCGTCCATCTTGCGGTCGCTGTCGTACTTTGAGACCTTGATATCGACATAATCGTCGTCTTGATCGTCCTGCTCCTCTTCGGGCTTGAGGCCGTTAGCAGTGTCAGCATGTCCATTGACAGCCTCCTCAACACCATCGATCTTCACATCACCCTCTTCATCCTTTTTGAAGGGAGTATCCTGTTCAGGGTTGGCATCGCCATAGATGTCGATATCGAATTCGTCGTCTGCCATTTTGGACGCGTTGAAGAGTCAAAGGAGGGTCAACTGAGATTTATTGCTTTAATACACCTTGATATGAAAACCTGTAACCGTAAGTGGTTTCTGTAGAAGGAGAGGAGACATATCAGCGTGCGAAAACATTAATTGAGCCAAAGTTTGCGCTGATATCCAAGCGTGCGCGCTTCTAACGGATCTGAGATACATGGGATAGAATACAAATACGTACTCCTGAAAACCACAACCACCGAAATACTGCTTCAACAACTTGACTGGACCCAGAGTCTGACCGCCTTCTTTGGCAGATACAGATACAATAGAGATGAAGACGAAGCTCTGTGCTTGCAATCTTGAGGGTAAAACCCGAGCGTGATGCTTTTCGAAACTTGACTGAATTGCCCTGTCCTGTCCCAACCTTTTCTCCCTCCTTCAACCGAAGAGAACCACCAACTGCGAAGTATTGAGAGTACCACGTTTGACCTGAAAAGTAAGAAGGTTGAAGCTAGAAATCACCACGCGCAAATTCCCTTCCTGAATCCTCTTTCTCGATTCTTTTTCTGCGCGTTCTGCCCCGGAGCCTTGTTCGCTGTGCCTCCTACTTGAATCGATGGTCGGTCCTGTCGGGGGCTCCTCTGCGCAGCTAATCTATGGTCGCTGAAGTAGAATCGAAGCTGGTGGATGAAGCTAATGATGGTCGCCTCGTTGTCACTCTGGGCTGGCGTCGATTCAATGCTGATCGATGCTTAAGGTGATGCCTCGAGTTGCTTCGCCAGCGCTGAGTGCCTCATCGAGGCAAAGGTTGCAAGGGCAGCATCCGGCCCCTTGGCCAAACTGAGGCTAGTGAGAATGACGCCAAGACCTTTAAGAAGCGGATGGTCACATGACACAGCTATCTGGCCTTTGCCAAAATTGGAGCCATTTTGGGAGCAGGGGTTTGTGGACCACCAGCCTACTGTAGCATTCCACGTACCACAACCAAGAGAACACTTCTCCTCGAGCGACTCCATCCACGCATTTTCTCAACTCTCAATTGCACTTGAACGAAAGCCACTCTTTTCGCCTGAACATTACATTTGATTCCTTTCCATTTCAGCCTCTCATTTTCGCTTTCGGAAGTTCCGCAACGTATTGCAATCATGTCCGACCAGCTTCAAGAGTTTATGGACATCCCAAGGGACTTTATCAAGGATGGATCACAATTTATCACTCGCTGCACAAAACGTAAGAACCAGCATGGGGTCAAACTCTTTGACGCCTTCTGTCTAATGTGCTCATCGCTGAACATGCGCACATTGTAGAAATCGGATTGCTAACCCCCTTTCTCTGTAGCTGACAAGCGCGAATTCATCAAGATCTCACAGGCAGTTGGCGTTGGTTTCCTTGTAATGGGAGCAGTCGGTTTCATCATCAAGCTCAGTAAGCCACAGACCTATTTCATACCTGCCTACCCAACTCGACGCAGTCTGCCATGCCCCTAAGTACTAACACTCTTTGCAGTACACATTCCAGTCAACAATATATTAGTGGGAGGCGCATGAGCTGGAGAATTACTGGAGGCTAGGGGTGTCACGGTTGGGCTGCGTTGAAGAAGAACACCTCGCCATATCGCTCGCATGAATGGCCATTCTGAGGATGCGACCTTCAACTTGTATTATATTGGACTGGTTATGGGCAATGGGAGCATAGCGTGTGATACAGGAACATGGAAAAGTAAACTTGACCTGCTTTCTTTGGAATTTCCTATTACGAACCGCATATGTACAGAAACTCTACCAAAAATAATGGGAGTTGGGTTTGGGATATGAAATGAACCGTCATATCAGGATGCAACGTGTTTCCATCTTCTAATAAGCTCTCGATGGGAGTTTTGTTTCTGTGAAATCTGTTTTCAACTTCCACCTAATCTGTTTATTTCTTGCTACTATATGGACTTGTCCATGGCAGTATTTATGGCTGAATCCACTTGTAAAACAGTTCAACCTTATTTAGCCTACTAACAACATCAGAGTAGAAGTTTAAGCGAAGCTTTTTCTAGAAATACACTTGAATTTGTATGTGACTTCCACTTTCAGTAATCACAGTCGGCACCTAGGTTCTTTATTTATTCCCAGCTAACCTTTGTTTTGTATCATTTATTTTCATCCAATGTTGATATCTGTCACAAATTTTGGATGGTTCCCTATAATGAATTTCTTGTTGTTTGGATTCCTGTAGGAGTGGAACATAAATCTATGCTTAAACTACATGTCTTAGATCACACCTTCCTGCTGTCTGTTTCTTGATTGCGTAGTACTGTACATTCTTTGAGCCTTTAGCCCAATTAGATAATCATACAGGATCCTGGAAAGTGGTTTAGGGGACTCGTTGTTGTAAGAAACAGTGAACACAGACGGGGTTCAAGTAAACTTAAGATATGACTTGCTAGCTCTTTCTCCGAGTACACCTACATGGTAACACAAAAAGTGATGACAGTGACATCCCTAAAAGCCGGGATAAGGTTCTTAAATCCGTTCGGATAACGCTTATCTGGGACCGAGGGGCGGTAACCCCAACTTTCTAGAAGCTATCACTATCAAGCTGTGCAAGCCTCATCTGCAACTTGCCATCATTGCATCTCAGCTAGTGGCAATCAACCATAAGGAAATGGTCTTTTGAACTATCTTCATCCTCATAGTTCAGATAGAAATTTCTCTTCATGGTAGCTGTGTCAATCACATAAAGAGACAATGGCGGACACTCAAAATCCCGCCACCACCACTACTCCATCGGAGGCCGAGAATGACGATAGTGATTATCGACCAGAAACTGAATCCGAAATCGATGATATGAATGCGCAAGCATATCTTGAAGGATTAGCTGCGTTAAGCCCTGATTCCCAGGGGGATGCTGAGGACATGGACGATGATGAGGACGAAGAGGGAGAAGAGGGGGACGGGGAAGACGATGACGACGAGGAACCGGACGAGCGTAAAGTCCCTTGAAAACATCCCGTCTGTATAATGATTGTCGTTTCTAAGAATTACATCTGCAGATGCACACTACATCGAGGTCGAAATCGAAGAAGGAGGCCAGGATGCGACCGAAACAGAGGTCGAACGCAGTGAGCTCTACCGCATACCCTATATACTTCTGTTCCTCGTTCCATTCATTGATATCATCATGCTCATACTTGGAATGGCAGCGGCTCGGCAGCGAAGGCAGGTCATGCGAATTCTTGCACACTCACAATTAGGACGTCTTTTTTTTCATGCCGACCAAGGCGTGGAAGACGATGAAGACGATGAGGATTTCAATCCCATATTCAGGCGGAGAAGGAGAAGGCCTAAGCCTGACCCCAATCGATTTCCAAAAGTCCCTAGTGACGAAGGAACCCGGCTCATGGAGTCTGGAACGTTTGGTACAAGTGATATACAGGATTCTACTACAGACTTGAGAACAAGTTCTGGAAGCAGGAAAAGGCTCACAAGTAGAATCTTTGAACGGGAACTCGCAACAGAGAGCTACAATAGACAGAAAATGAATCAGAGGCTCATGGCTCAGGTATGCCTTTGGGGTAATTACTTGACGTCCTTACTAAATTCTATGTAGGATATGATACCATCCACCACTGCGGATATGATCATTCACTACAATCAGCCAGTCTATTCGGGACAGTTCTCAGATGACGGCAATTTTTTCTATTCTGTCAATAAGGACTTTCGTGTTCGAATGTACGATACATCAAACCCGTACCAGTGGAGATACTACAAAACAGTGGAATACATTGGTGGCCAGTGGTAGGTGATCGTTTTCTTGATTCTTCTCAAATCCGAGGACAGCTTTGGCTCTCCTTTCAAAACTTCAAATTGCAAGTAGATTACATGTAATACCAATATTGAACTCTCTATAGGACACTCACCGATGCATCCTTGAGTCGAGATAATAAATATCTGGCATACACTTCTATCAGAAGTACCGTGTGTCTTGCGCCTACTGATCCAAACGATAAAGGTGATCCCTATAATTTGGATCTGTCAGACAGAGGAACGGGTCGAACAAACAACAATTTCATGTATCGATCAAGATCAGGCTCCTTTGGAATCTGGTCTATTCGTTTCTCCGGAGATGGCCGACAACTTGTAGCTGGTGCAACAGCTGGATCCATTGTTGTTTACGATATTGAATCTCGCCGTACACTACACCGTATATTCGGCCACGATGGAGATGTGAACGCTGTTTGCTTTGCAGATTCGTCATCCCCTCACATCTTGTATTCCGGATCTGACGATACAACGTTGAAAGTCTGGGATACTCGTAGTATGGGTGACAGTAGAGCTGCTGGAGCCTTTGTTGGCCATATTGAGGGTCTAACATATATCGACAGCAAAATGGATGGCCGTAAGTCCCACTTTGCTCTTTATATTCTGCCTATTGTTGTACTAAAAACCCACAGGATATATTCTAAGTAATGGCAAGGATCAAAGTATGAAACTTTGGGATTTACGAATGGTCATGTCTGATAGTGACTTCAATGACCTCCCACCTGTCAGGCAAGACTCCCGATTCGACTACCGTAGGTTTTCTCTGAGTTGCTTGTTCCTTATTCATGGTGTACCAGAATGGTTGGAAATCTACCCCCTCTTAATACTGTCCTCTTCTACTGAATCTGCTTTGTATTTCTAAATCATTGATATTAGGGGCAATGCTAACCCGCGATGTATAGGTTGGGGCCCTTACGATGAAGATTCCTGGTATGTCCATCCAAATGACAATTCTCTCGTTACATATAGAGGCCACAAGGTCCTCCGAACCTTGATAAGATGTCATTTTTCGCCACCTGGAAGCACAAACTCCAGATATGTATATTCTGGAAGTGCCGACGGAAAGGTGTATATTTGGAATATGGACGGTACGATTGCTGGAAAGGTTGACGTATATGCTGCAACGGTAAATTCTCGAGCATATCATAGCGAATTCGGCATGGATGGCTGGGGCGATGATGATGAGTTCACCCAAAACAGTTGGAGAACATGCGTTCGAGACGCAAGCTGGCACCCTAACGCTCCTATTATTGCAGGTAAGTTTATTTGGAGCCGAATTCTTAGAATACTGCTAATAGAACTCAGCGTCTGCTTTGAATGGCTATGGTTCAGCTACTGGAACATGTACTGTTCATTCCTGGAATGATGGCGCTGAAGAGGATGAGGGAGAGCCTCGTATGGGCTATAGTGTCAACCAGAGATTGGAGATGGAGCCATTTTAAAGAGGGTAGGACGTTACTAAATCTTCTGTGGATTTTTCTCGTCATAGATACTTCTCAAAAGGTTGAGTTGCATTGAGATAGGATGCATTGAGATAAGAGTCGATTTGAGCGATGGGCGGTTCCTTTCTAGCGCGGAGTTTGATCGTATTCGGGATTTGGATTGTACATATGATGACTTGAATATAACGATCAATCTTTGGAATTTTATTCTTTTTTGTGTTACTATTGTATATGGAAGTACTAAGATAATCTGACGGCCAGAACGTCGGTAGTTCTCTGGAGAGTTGCTCCCTCATAAGTCAGACTTAAGAAAATCCTACCAACGTGCCGTTTAACCTTCACCATCCATCCAGGTTCCCACGTAACAAAACAACACGTGATTCATTCTCCACCTTCACCTGCACGTTTGTGACATCCTGGTAATTTCGGTTGTCTTCTATCACGATCTTGTAATTCACATCTTCGAACGCCAGATCAACAAACAAGATCATCTCAACATGAGTGCTGAACAGACTCCACCAGTAGTGGCGGCCACTCCCGCCACCGAAAGCCCCAAGGCCGAATCCAAGAACGAGGCAGCTGCAGCAACCCCTGAGACCAGCCCCAACAAAGTCGCAGAGGAAAAACCAAAAGTCCCGGAAGAAAAAGACAAAGCCCCCGAGAAGGCCGTTGAGAAATCCTCAGGAGTGTCTGAGGGCCCTTTGCAAAAATTCGCCGCTGAGCTCCCGGCTCTCATCAAAGAAACCGGCCATGGTGAGATGTGGGGCGTGGAACTTTCCTCGGATCCTAATCATGTCCCGACATCTATCGTCCTGGAGAAGTTCTTGAGAGCTAACAACAAAGTCGTTCCTGATGCTGCTGCGCAGTTGAAGAAGGCTTTCGTATGGAGGAAGGAGATGAAGCCCCGTGCTCTGTTGGAGGATGTGGAGTTTGATAAGAGCAAGTTTGGGGATTTGGGGTTTGTTACTGTGTACCCCCAACCGGATGGGTTGAAGGAGATTGTGACTTGGAATGTTTATGGGGCGGTTAAGGATAATAAAAAGACTTTTGGGGATGTTCAGGAGTGAGTCTTTTTCCTTTTTCCACTTTTCTCGATGGTCGTTGGGGCTTGGCGTTCTATGCTAATGTGTGTTATAGGTTTGTTAAATGGCGTGCGGCTCTTATGGAGTTGTCTCTCAAGGAGTTAGATTTAGGTTCTGCTACTGTTAAGATTACGGAGAATGGCGTTGATCCTTACCGTGAGTTCACCTTTTTTTTTTGCTTTTGCTTTTGTTTCTAGCCAACGACCTTCTCCTTGGTGTATGAGGGCCAAAACTCGCCGTCTCACGTTTATAGGCGTGTAAGTTTGGGAAAACAAGTGTTCAAACTGCCAAACTCTCTCGAACTTCATTTGCTAGCGCTTTCTTTCCTCCATGATGCACTATCACGAGTAGTCACTCTCTTCTCATTCTCTTCATATCTTGCTTTCTTCCACAAAAAACAACAACCTACAACCACCAACTAACATCCACCAGGAATGATCCAAGTCCACGATTACCTCTCCGTCTCCTTCCTCCGCATGGACCCCACCATCAAAGCCGCATCCAAGCAAACCATCGAAACCTTCAGCATGGCCTACCCAGAACTCGTAAAAGAGAAATTTTTCGTCAACGTCCCCCTACTTATGGGCTGGGTCTTCACAGCCATGAAATTGATTCTCTCGCCCGCCACGATCAAGAAGTTCCATCCGTTGAGCTACGGTAGTAGTTTGGCGGGACAGGTGCCTTTTGGACACGAGTTACCGCCTGCTTATGGTGGGAAGGGGAAGGATGTTAAGGAGGGGTTGACTGTTAGGTATGCTGGTGAGGGGCCGAAGACTGCTCCTGTAGTGACTGAGCCGGTTGTTGCGAAGGAAGAGCCGGCTGCTAAGCAGGAACCAGTTGTTGCGAAGGAAGAACCGGCTGCTAAGGAAGAACCAGCTGTTGCTAAGGCTGAACCAGCTGCGAAAGAAGAAGCGGTTGCGAAGGAACCCGCTGCTGCAAAGGAATAAGTGAGGTCTTCACGTTATGAAAGTAGGATGTCGAATGTTGCTCGGCGACGACAGTTTCTTCATTGTATGAAGGTTGATTGGAGGCCATTATTGATGTTGTTGTTTTTTTGATTGCAAGAGATATCCTGTTGCGATCATACATTTAATAGCTTCAAAAAATTTGAGTATAATTAATTCTTCACTGCCATGAAAGAATATCTACATTTACAATGATCTGTCCATCACACCCGACCCGACCCAAAACTCCAGCCCAAAGCCTCCATAATCCATATCATAATTCGTCCAAACATTTACAAACCAATACACTAACATACAACACTGATCAATACTCCACTTCAGTAAACCCCCAAACCTTGGCAATCTTCGTACTAACAGCTTTCTGAATCTTCCGATTCCCAACCAGGTTCCCACACTTATCACTAACCATACTATGCTTCTTCTTCTCTCCCTCGGTACCCTCACCACAAGCTTTATACGCCGCTATGAACTCCGCGGGCGTCTTCCATCGCTTCTGGATCTCCAGGGCTTTCGTGCCACTTACGCCTTTTGTACACATCAGCATTTTCAGGAAGACGTCTCGCAAGATGAGATTTTTCGTTTTGTCGGAATAGAATTGGAAGAGTTGGTACGTGGCGTGGTAATTGGTTCCTGGTTGTTCTTCTTTTAGGTGTTTGAGAAGAGGTAGGTAGTTCCAGTATGTTACAACTGGGGTGGGAATTAGGTGCAGAGGTTCCTTCTCATATTTCTCTTTTAACATGGCTGTTAGACGTGTGAGGTAGCGAATGGTCTCGTCGACTTTCTGGGTCTTCTTGAGGAAGATACCGTGGATGACTTGAGTGGTCGCAATGGCTGATTGAACTCGATCGGCCCATACCTCCGCAGAGTCTTTGCCAGCGCTACCCTCTTCGATAAGATAAACTACATTTTTTAGACCACTTCTGTTAAGCCTAAATTTCTGTTCATAAAACCGTCCGTCTTTGATAGAACTGATCAGATCGTCTAGGCGCTTTCTTTCGACGATATAATCGAGAACCACTTCGTCACCTTCCATGCCGTGTTTGGATAGATAGATGGGGTCTTTGAGTTTGGCAACCCATAGAATATCACCCAAGGGAAGAGGCCGTACTGTAAAAGGACACTTTTTCTCTCGCAGTTGTTCATGCATGTATTGTCGGTTGTTTTTTGCGGCGACTTCACGATTATCGAGAACCATTTCAACGACAAACGAACCAGGTTGTAAGACTATTGGGCTGAACTTAGGGAGGTCGGAATTGGAAGTTACTTCTTTGCCCATTTGGATCAGGTCCGGGCCCTTGTTCTCTTCTTCCACTGCTCCTATTCTAGAAGCAGTTTGTCTCGCCCTTGACGGATTCGTTTCTGCGTCGCTCAAATCAGAGTCGTTCGGTCTTGATGCCCCCACAGGTTTTTCCCTCGATACGAATGTTTCCGTAGAACCTTTTGTCGGGTTATGTGCTTTTAAGAAGCGCTCGGCGAGGTCCCATCCTTCTTCTGTCAAAAAGTATTTGCGTGTTGGGCGTCCTTTTTCATACACCAAATCCTTCTCCAGCAGAGTTTTCATCGACCCCCAAGCTGTGTAATGGCCATTTGGAATTGTGAAAGAAGACGCACTGTACTCCTGTCCAATATCTATAATTTCCTGTTTCAAGATGCCAGTCTTTTCTCCCTTTTCCAGTGTTGCCAGAGCTAGGATTATTGCATATCCACCAGACCTATGTGCCGGCACATAAGGCTTCGTCTTTCGGGGTTTCTTGGCCGGCGTCGCTGGCGCATCTTCGTCGTTTTCCTCTTCGCCACCGCCGCTGGATGTTGCCTTCTTTCGTTTTTTCTTTGGTATGGCGGGCATCTCAATGCCTTCTTCTTCGCAGTACTTTCTAAGCTTCTCCGTCAACCGGTCGCAGAGCTTTGGTCCGAAGCCAGTGAGTTGTATGACTTGTGATGGGTGTTCAAATCTCAATGGGCATGCTCTAAGAGAATCGTAGGCTTTCTTGTAGGTGGTAACTGCTTTTATTCCCCGTTCGCTTTCCTTCTCATACCACTCCTTTACCCAGCTCAGCCAGAGGGGATTCGCACATTCGGTGTCGTTGCGGGGCATGGTTGCAAGGAATGTTGAAAGCAATGGCGATGGTACCGAACAAGCAAGCTTTCGCAGTGAGTGGGGATTAAAAGTGGGTAGCTTCACGCGGGGCTCGAATCGAACTTTCAGTAGTGAAAGGCAAAAGGAATGTACGATTGAAAAGCAAACATTGATCCGTGTTGGGCGATTGGATGGTTTAGGAACAGGTGTTGTGGGTGTTGTTGACTTCCAATGGCAACCCGCCTCGAAAGCTAGAGCGCGACCTCAATCCCTGCAAGATGCGAAAGCATGTGTCGTATTATTTTTAGATCAACCTGGGGCCCCCACTTCGTGCAAGACCCCTCTATTGACACTCAGTTGTCCAGCTCAGAGCCCCCAGACATCAGCTCAACTGCACTATCTCCCTCCGCTCCGCACCACCAAACCCCCATCAGAATGGCCTCCAAAGACGCCCAAATTCTGGCTGCGGCCAAGAAACACCCAAAGCCCGTCGATCGAGTTTTTCAATATGGCACCGCAGGCTTTCGAATGAAAGCCGACCTCCTCGATTCCGTGGTTTTCCGCGTGGGATTGCTCGCTGAGCTCCGCTCGAGAAAGCTCAAGAATACTATTGGTGTCATGATTACTGCCTCGCACAATCCCCCCGCAGATAATGGTGTGAAACTGGTTGATCCTATGGGTGAGATGTTGGAGGAAGCTTGGGAAGCTCATGCCACTAAATTGGCCAACGCTCGGGATGAAGATGTGGTCAAGGTCTACAGAGAAATTGAGGCAAAGGAAAACGTCAGTCAGAGCACCAAGGCCAACGTAATCTACGGCAGAGACACTAGACCTTCTGGACCAAAGCTGGTAGCTGCTTTGGTTGATGCTTTGGAGGCTGTTGGCTCAACAAGCACTGACTACAAGCTCCTCACTACCCCACAACTCCATTACCTTACAAGATGTACAAACACGATCGGTACCCCACTCGAATATGGCGATGTCAGTGAGCGGGGTTATTATGAGAAGTTGGCAAAGGCATTCATCAAGGCAATGGACGGAAAGAAGCCTGTTGGAGGCCTTACAGTGGATTGTGCCAATGGTGTAGGAGCACCAAAGTTGGCAGAATTCCTAGCTGTAATGCAGTCAGCAGTTACTTTGGTGAATGAAGAAGAGAAACAGGCGAAGGATGAGCCAAAGACCTATGCAAGCCCGGAACTGCAGGTCAAGATCATCAACGATGATATTATCAATGCGGCGGTCCTCAATCATGATGTAGGTACCGTATATTATTCATTTGGATACTGGCTAATTTCCGTAGTGTGGTGCAGACTTTGTGAAGACCAAGCAGCGAGCTCCTCCATCTTCAACAGCTGGAAACAACGACCGATGCTGCTCGTACGATGGCGATGCTGATCGAATTGTCTATTACTTCAACGATCCCGAGCAGGGTTTCCGTCTTCTCGATGGCGATCGTATTGCTACACTTGCTGCATCTTTCATTGGCGATCTCGCTCGTGAAGCTGGATTTGGCAAAGAATTGAAGATTGGAGTAGTACAAACTGCCTATGCCAACGGAGCAAGTACAAAATACGTCGAAAAGACTCTTGGCCTTCCAGTTGTGTGCACTAAGACAGGAGTGAAACATCTCCACCATGCGGCAACAAAATTCGATGTTGGTGTGTATTTTGAGGCCAATGGTCACGGAACTGTTGTTTTCTCACAACAAGCTCTGGACACTTTCAAGAAAGCTCTCGCGGATAAGGAGTCTCTTAAATCTCCTGCACAGAAGAGTGCCTTGACAACCTTGGTGGGTCTCACTGAAGTCATCAACCAGACTGTTGGTGATGCACTATCAGATATGCTTCTCGTTGAGATCATTCTTGCCCACAAGCGCTGGACGCCTAAAGAGTGGGATCTTACCTACACTGATCTACCAAACCGTTTGGTTCGTGTTGAGGTCGCAAACCGAGGTATCTTTGTGGCGGATGCCACCGAGAGAAGACTGATCGAGCCTCAAGAGGCACAAACTCAGATTGATGCGCTTGTCTCCAAGTATTCCGAGGGCAGGTCATTTGCGAGAGCCTCTGGAACAGAAGATGCAGTCAGAGTCTACGCTGAGGCTTCTACGAGAAGTGAAGCAGACGACCTGGCTGCTAAGGTTGCTGCTGTTGTCAAGCAATGCTAATAAATTAACGAATTGAAACGACGCAAAGAAGTTTATGAAAGCCCTGTTGGCGTTTTTGTTTTTCAGGAAATTGAGATTGGCGACGGCATAGCTTTTTATAGACCAAAAGTTTTGATTTTTGATGCGTATCGTTCCTACCTAGAAAGTTCTACTTCTATTTCGGCGCTTCTAGCATTTCTATCAACATGAGCTTGCGAGCTCATTTTATTTTTGTAGACCTCTTGCCTGGTTTCGCAAAGCATCCCTATGCTTCCAATACCCTACTGTACCTGTTATTAACTAGCCCCAATGATAATTTAGTTTCCCGCATTTGCAAAAAGATACGTCTTACAAAAATCTATGGCAGTTCTTCAGCTGCAGTGACCATGTGGCCCGGGGAAACTCCGGTGGAAGAATGATGATGTCAATGGATCTCAGAGGGGAAAGGTGCCTTTCAATCAATATCAACGCGTAAGTGAGTATTGTTTTTTCCTTGTTGATCCTGTGTCTCCTTGTACAAATACGCCCTCTCATCCATTTCCCTCTCCAACTTCCATAAATCCCAGAACTTTTAATGTGTTCACCAATTCGCGCCATCTCAACCAAATTCCGTAATAGAACTTCTGCACCTAGTTCCTTCAAATCTTCCACTGCAATCAGAAATATGTCTTCTTCTACGGGAGTTCCTTCTACGACTGCCCCAGCACCGAAGATTGATGTGAAGGCTTCTGAGGCTGGGAACTTGGGGATTGAGAATATGCATTTTAATACAGCTTCTGGGGTGGAGCTTTCGAGGGGTCAACAGGTTATTGTTGGGAGTGTTTTAGATGTAAATATCTTTTCCATATTCAGAAGCTGATCTTAAGACTGACTCGAAATTAGCTCTTCGCCGGCCGACCCTCTCTCAAGAAACTCCAACTCTGGACCGTAAGTCGCTTTAACCCCTTCCTTCATACCCCCCATCCTAACCACCCCAGGACGACGCAACCTTCGCAGACCCAATCACCAAAGCCGTCGGCAGAAAACAATACGAGCCCCAATGGTACGGTCTCCAAACCGCCTTCTCCAAGATCGAACGTCTCTCCCAGAACGTGACATCCGCAGGCAACCCCATCACCATGGACCTCAAAACGCGGTATACGATCAAAGGCATCGGTAAGGAACAAACCATCGAAAGTGTGGTTAATATCTATACCGATGCTGCGGGGGAGAAAATTGTAAAAGTGGAGGATAAATGGAATGGGGAGTTGCCGGAGGGACCGTTTGCTAAGGTTAGTTTTGTGAAGAAGGTGGTAAGGTGGAGGTGGTGGGTTTTTGTTGTTGAGAAGAGGATGTGGTGGCTTTGGAGCTTGGTGTGGGAGACGAGGGGGTGGGAGGTGGGGGCTTTTCTTTTTTTCTTTTGGTCTTTTGGATTTGGATTTGGGGGTGTTGGGGTTTATGGAGGGGATTCTTGCTAACGTTTGATAGGCTTTTAGAAATCTTAATGCAGTTACGGTGCCGTTGATTGTTAGTGTTCCAAAGAACGATGCGGAGGATGCTAAGAGGGGAAATTAGGGGATGAAGAGTTGCTTGTAGTAGGAATGGATTGTATGAGTAGAGCATGGAGATATGGATAATGACATTCATAAACGAGCACAAATGAACAGTCGCTATGCTGATACTATCGAATAAGCGGATTTCTGGAGCTCTTCGCTTCGTAGAACACCCAGAAGCAAAAGGTAAATGGCAATGATTGCGAATAGAAACCCTCTTACAGATTTCAATCTTGAGATATTCTGTTTGTAACACAAATGACCCACTTTGGTTGTACTACCTAAATGAATATTTCTCAAGTAAACCCCATTATGCAACTTGTTCAGGACATCAAATATGACGATGAAGATCCTTTTCACACTCTCTTTTCCGATATAACGTTGGGAGGTATGAGTACTACAGCTTGCTCCCTGTAAACTAAAAACCTATTGACGGCGGATTTTGATGTAACTAGGCTAAGGGGTTTCAGTTCACTTACTTGCAAAAGTTGAGATGAGAAGTACTCGTAGACTCTCCACTCGATGGTGAGATGAATGATGAACACTTGCACATGGAATCCTTCCGTTGAAATCCACGATATACCAAAATAATGAGGACATATTGCATCCAAGTCAAAATTGTTATATCAAAATTTGCCCTTGCTCTCCAATCGCTGTTTAGAGGTATCTATCTGATCTGAAATAATTCTCTAGGTAATAGTGAAGCGAAACCTTTGGAACTCATATAACCTCAAATATAAACGTCAGTCACATCATAGGTCAAAGAAAGTATTAGATATTGGTATTCATCTTCAATTCATCCCTGATTCTATACCTACTACAAAAGGCAAATGTATGTCTCCAGCAATTTTCCGAAATCCGCAAAAGAATATGCGAACGAAAAAATGGGCTGCTACGGCATCCTGAATATACTAAAAGGTCAAATAGAGTAAATACTAATTCGCAAATCGCAAATCGTAAACTAACTCAGGGTTAGGGTTATATAACAGCGCCAGAATTGAAGGTAAATAAGCTTGAATTTATTTCGAACGCTCCTTTAACTCTACCTACTCCTACCCTTAGACTTTACGTGCCTAGTCATTTTCACGTGTACACCCTTACTATCGCCTACGCTTACTATCGTTTATACTCACTATCGTATCCTTACTGTCGCTGTCGTAAGGAATAGAGAAGAGAGAGCGGGGAAGAGCGAGGGGCGCGAAGGTAGGTAGCAAACAATTGTTAGCGTAACACGTGCTAGCCTAGCTATTTTAGGAAGGTAGTATTTAGGGCTAACGATAAACGACGCGTACAACTAATTTATTTCCCTACTTCTCTCTCTCTCTCTCTCCTCCCTAAACAATATTATAGGGCACAACCCTATCCGACAGTAACAATGCGATAGTAAGGGTGCAGCGATAGCGAGAGTGGGCGACAGCGAGGGTGGGTGATAGCGAGAGTAGGCGATAGCGAGGGTGGGTGACAGTAGGTGGCGGGTTTACATAATCAGACCCCCTTCTTATGTACTTAGGGGTGTGGGGGTGTGGGGGTTTGGGCACTCTAGTATAGTAGTAGTAAATATATAACTTTTGCGATTTGCGATTTACGAATTAGTATTTACTCTATTCGACCTTTTAGTACATTCAGGATGCCGTAGCTGCTGAACAAAGATTTTCCGCTATGCTGCTCTCTAAACGCCAGTTGAACATTCCAGTGTGCCCCTTGTCATAAAAAACATATTGTGAAAAAATTTCCAGGGTCTGCGCTCTCAGCCGCGAAGGAACCCATCCCACCAAAAAAAAACATTAAAGATTCGTTTTCGTTAACACATCTTGTACTCGCAGCTCCCCTCGGCTTGCCGGGTTGGATCTTCAGTTTCGAGCTTATATGAAATCTTGACATCCAAATCTCTCTTGTTCTTCTCGTTGGGCTTATTGTCCAAAACACCCTTAACTTGCTCTCCTTGCTGCACAGTCAAGACTTCACGCAGGTAGAAAACAGTTTGTTTCCAATGTGTGTACTTGGTGTGAGGGCCAGTAGAGAATCTGATAGGCTTGTGGCAAGCAGTGAAATCGATATCGAACCATGCGATCAAGGCGTGGATGAAATCGTCACGGCGAGCATCGAGAGTAAAGGGAGAGGTGAATGCAAGATCTGCGGTTGTGCAGGTATAAAGGTCGAGGGTAAGGACGGCGGTTGGGTCAGTGACAACAGCTTTGATTTCTACTGTGTCGACGAGGGGTTCGGTGAGAGCAGTATGCTTGAGTGGGGAGTAGTCAAAACCGTAAACATTGTCCCAGACTGAGAATGTTAGCTTTTTTTGCACATTAAAACAACAAGGCGAGTCAAAACTTACAGCCAATCTTCTCATCCTTGTACTCTCCATCCTCAATACCGGCCATAAAGATGGTAGCCTTGTCGGGGAAGATCAGACCATTTGGCGCAAGGTACTTGTCACGAGCGTAGAGCACAGTGTCAAGCATAGATTCGTAGAGCAAGAAATACCCCATCCATTCGGAGATAATAATATCAACCTTTGGGAATGGTAGCTCAACCTCCTCCATCTTTCCTTGTAACAGAGTGATCTTATCCGACATTCCGTTGACCTCGACAATCTCTCTGGCTTTTTCGATGATTGTAGACATGTCGACTCCGATAACGTGTTTGGCACCAGCCTTGACCGCGAACCTTTTTCGTTTGGGGTTAGAACTCGGCTGGACGGTTGAGGGAGGGGTAGGCATACATGGACAGGATGGAGGTTCCGCAACCAACATCGAGGACAATCTTGTCTTTGAAAAGATGCTTGTTTTGCACAATGGCATTCATGTATGATCGCGTCCGTACTTCATCTTTCTACTCGGAATCAGCGTGTGTTGTGACGGAGAAAGGACGCATTGCTGCAGGTACACACCAACATTTCTTCGTGGATACCTTTGGACAATAGTTAGTAGCCAGATCATTCAGATTTGGTTCGCATATTGACGGGACACATACCATGGTGATTGTAGCTATCTGCGATCAGTATTCGGATGCTTTTGGGGTTGCAGAGCGAGGCAAAACATACCTATTGAAGTAATGGACCTCGGAATGTTCCATTCCCTTCATCTTTTCGTCTGCCATATTGGCGGATGAGCGTGAAAGTGAGAGTGTATTAGAGGAGGAAGATGGAGCAGGTCGAGGGAGAACTTGTGGCTATTTCTGCTTGGATGCTTAATAAATAGAAGTTTGGTTTTTTTCGACGCGCGACGCAGAGGGAGAAAAGAAAGTTGAGGGAAGGTGGGTGGAGGGGGACCGAGTTGGGGCTTCCCAAAATCCTTTTTTTTTTTGACTTTCTGCCGCAAGCCTCTCCGCCTTTGCCTATGGCTGAAGCGGGGCATCGCATTCCAGGTAATATTTTGGATTCACTGGTGTGCACATTATCTACATGGTAGGATAATGCCCAGAAGATAGCCACCAGGGTGCTTTCAATCATGTCAAGGCAGTTTGATTTATAGTTGATGATTAGGTAAGACTTAGGGCCATGAACTACACATAACTAAGGTTTACCTCCACCACCTCTCAAGGCTACTTGACCCTACAGGGATAAGCTTAAGGAATGGTACTTGTTGTACCTAGTTAGGCAATTTGAAGGCTGAAAACTAGCTGGTTTCTGACTTGACTAAAGGACAGTATTTTATTCATGGCTTCTTATATTTTATGGTCAAAATAGCAAGCTGAGTACCTAGTTGGGTAGAAGAAAATCAATACCAGACGGCAGGTCACGTGTGGGAAAAGGTCTGGACATCCATGAGAGACACAAATCAAATAGAAAGAATCGTTGGTTGGAATCTCTTTTCATATTAATGGCATGAGTCTCATCCAATTTATTGAACGAAAAATTAATTAATTGGGTGGTTGTTGAAGGTAAAAGCTGCACAACATAAATTCACTCGATTTTGAGCACTCAAACATCCAAAAGCTGTTAGATTCGCTTAGCCCTGTCCAGCCCCACCTCTATTTCATGCAGGTCGTCGCCCTCCGCGCTACGAGTCATCAAGTTGGAGCCTTTTCGCCGCCCATCTCCTCAGTTTTGAATCCTGCCACCAGCACCACCCCAAAACCACCGATTTCCATCAACGCAAGCACATCTCCATCTGCACCCCACCCTGACCAACCAGCGCGTGGTCATCGTACCTGCTCGGCCCGTACGGTACATATTGGAAGACATCAAAAGTTACATTTGGTTTCGCGCAATTACGTGCAACCCAGACTTGCTCATCCCCAGCCGCGGGGTCCTTGGACCGCTGGGTGAGGCTGCTCTGGGCAGCAGCATCTACGAATATCTCACAGCACAGAATTCCGATACCAACATACGATACCAATATACAATACATTCATTCGCCTTTCATACAAGTCCATTCCGACTCCTTTTCTCCATTGCCGACTTCTTCAGCACAAGTGCGAGGCATTGCATCAAATTTGCCGCGTACATACATTCACCGTCAACTTCATATCCATCCAACGGGTTGACGAGGTTGAGTAGTCACGTCACGTGAACTGTCTCCTTTTCCCTCCCGTCACTCATTACTATTGCTTGTCCATACCTACGACGATTATTGCAAGTACATCTGAAATTTGCAATCATGCCACCCAAACAACAGGCTAGACGTCCAAATCCTACTGCGGGACGAAATCGACACCCACCTCCACCAACAAATACCCCAACAATATTCACAGAAAGAGCAAAGCAGCGTGCACGTAAACGTGTTTGTCCCCAGCCTCTATGTGAGGGTAACGATGAATTCGAGGATGGCGCTTGTATAAAGTGTGGTTATGTTGTCGATGATTCTCACAACATTGTGTCTGAGATCACATTTGGGGAGAGTGGTTCAGGAGCAGCTATAGTCCAAGGAAGTTTTATTGCTGCCGACCAAGGTGCTTCCCGAAATACAGCCATGCCAGGCCAGCGGAGCAGTGGTGGAGGTGGAGGTAGTCAAACGCTCAGTGATGGTAAAGTCCAAATAAGCCTCTTTTCGTGCTGCGTGTACTAAGAATATTGAAAATATAGCCACCAATCTAATGAAGTCCCTTGCCACACAGTTGAAGATTCGAGACACCATCGTCACTGATGCTGGTTTGGTCTTCAAAATGGCTCAGATTGAAAACTTTATTCAGGGTCGTCGGGTCGTAGAGGTTGCAGCTGTTTCATTGTACGTCGCTTGTCGTAGATGCGCCACCAAAGATGCTCCATGTAGGGTTATGCTTATCGACTTTTCAGACAAGATCAATGTAAGAAGCCTTCTTGTTTCTCAAATGCTAGTACTTAATTCTCTTTAGATCAACGTCTTCAGATTGGGTCGGGTTTTCACGGATCTCCTCACAAGCGTTAATATCCGTGGCGAGTTATCGCTTGTTCTCCCCGAGCACTTGATGCACAAATTTGCCTCGAGACTCGAATTTGGTGATGATTTGGACAAGGTTGCCGAATCGGCTATCAAATTTGGACAACGCATGGATGCGGATTGGATCACCATGGGCAGAAGACCTTCTGGAATTTGTGGTGCAGCTCTTCTCATGGCAGCCCGTATGCACAATTACCGCCGTACGCTTAACGAGGTTGTCTACGTTGTCAAAATCACCACTCAAACTCTTCAAAAGCGTCTCGATGAGTTCAAACGAACTGAAAGTAGTAACATGACAATCGCAGAATGGGAGTCCAGCGAGTTTCTGTCCACTGCCCATGACCCCCCCTCCTTCTACGAAAAGACTGCCGAATTTCAAGCTGGAAAGAAGAAGAAGAAGAAGAAGAGAAAGCGCGCTGAACCTCAACCACTTGAAGAAGAGCTAGAAGCCGAGCAGATGAAGCGCAAAGAGTCTGAGCTTGCCATTGTTCTAGAAAAGCGACTGGATGCTGATGGCTTTGCTATTCCTGCAATCCCAAGCTCATCTAAATCACGACGACCAAACTTGGGTAGAGGCGATGAACCCAGCTTGCAAGCCCAAACGGACCTGGTTGACCAAGCAATTGTCAATGAAGGGGACCTAGATGCGCTTGTGAATACACTTGACGGACGAATGCGCACCAAGGAGACAGAAAGAGAAAGACAAGAGGAAACTGAGAGAAATGAGGAAGCTCGCAAGTCCAAATTCGCCCCCTCTACTCGAGGCACTCCGTCCAAATCCACTTCGGGTCTCCGAGAAGGGACTGTAGACGGAATCAACAGCCTCATGTCACAAATTCTTATGGATCCGTACTCTATCGAGGGAGCTATGCATCATGCTGAAGCAGAGGAGCGTGTTAAGAAACGCATGATTCTTGCTAGAGAGAATGAAAAACACGTCAACATGGATGTTGAAATTGGTGAAGACGAATTCGCGGACGACCCAGATGTGCAGGGCTGTTTAGTATCTGACGAGGATTTTGCAAAGAAAGAGCAAGTCTGGCTTAATAGCAACAAGTCATATCTCTTAAGAGAGCAGAGGAAGAAACACGAGGCGGAACTGGCTGCGCGCAACCCACCGATTAAACGAAGAAATCGAGTCCCGAAGCCTAGAATTGGTGAGGGCCAAACCAAACCAGCCGATTCGCCTGCAGCTGCAGCACAGGCTGTTGCGGAAAACCGAGGTTTCTCCAAGAGACTGGACTATACCAAGGTTCCCGGCATGTGGAGTCATGGTCGTCGGGCTGGAAGTGTTTTGGGCAGCCGAGCTGGAAGCATTCTCGGTTCTGGTTCCGAGCGAAGCGACAGCGTGCAACCTACCGTAGAACCTCGCCGAGAGGGTACTTCAGCCTTGTCTCGAGCACAGAACGAAGAGGCAACTGCACCTGAAAGTGTAGCTGATGAGTCGGATTTTGGTAGTCGTGATAGTCCTGCTCGCACCAGTCCGGTCAAGAATAGTCCTGAGCCAAATAATGAAGATGCAGAAGTGTCAGACAGTGAGGAGGAGGAGATTGCAGAAGAGATCGATGAATTTCAGGATGCTGGCTACGACAATGATTCCCTTCCAGACATCGATGTTGATGGAGACGGTGGCGATTCTGATGTTGCTGATTATGACTAAGAAGGGTGGTGTTTTAGATGGCAGGGGATTGGGATGAATTGCATAATCGGCGTACTGTAAGATACCTGGTCATTTGTACTATTCCGGAGGCGTTTCTTAAGATTTCCAGGCGGGAACATATAGACTACTGTAATGGCGGTTTGTGCCTCAAGCAGCTAGTGGCTGCTTAGATAGGCACAGCGACAAGATGACTGCTTAGATAGGCATAGCAATAAAATGTGAATCTTGATCACCAGAACTCTTATATTCTTGCTTATCAACCATGATTCTCCTTCTCACTCTTCTCTGAACCCCTAACCATCAGCACCATCATCATCCAAGACGATCTCCAGTAAGTCGGGGTCTCGAGCCCAGTCAATGCCACTTCCGACAATTGTCCCACTCGCAGTGCCTTTCATGATCCTCCATTTTTGTCGACTAGACTTGACCTGGGCATCTAACTCATTCAACTGTGCTTGTGCCTTTCGAGGGATATCATCTCTCTTGTGAGTATTGGCATCTTTAGCTAATGCAACCATTTTCCCCGTCAGCTCAACATTTTCCCGTGCAGTTCGAATATGCTCTGTCTCAACCTTCAACAGCTCATTCTTTGAAGATAGGACTTTCGCTGTCAAGGCTGTTAGGGCTACTGATAACTGATCACGCTGTTCAAGAAGAGGAAGGAGATCCCTACGGCCTGTCAGCAGTGGAAATAAGTTACTACTGAATGTGAACTGTGTACTGTTCAGCTATTGTTGCATTACTGCCAGAATGAACTGCTTTCAGAATAGGATTCGCTATCAGAACACTCTCTACAATGTTATTCCGTAGCTGGTATGCGGTTTTTGCATTGAGAAGTTCTTGCTGGGCGGACTTGATGTCTTCCTCAGAGACCTCATCTGGCTCATCGGAACCTAACGATAAAAAATCAGAACGCGCGACTTGAGACGATAAGGAAGTGGAAGACCATGATTGTGAAAGTACCTTGTGACAAAGTTCCTTGTGACTTCAGGAGAGCTATCTCCAGCTGCAACTCTTCCATGCGGTCATAAAGGTCCAGCACTCTTTGCTCTTGCTCCGTGAATAATGGGGATGGTGATGTAACGAGCGGTGCGTCTTTCTCAACACCCTCCATCGCATCAACTTGTTCAGCTTTAGCCATATTGATGGGTCTTTCGTCTTCAACCAAAGCTCTCCAAAACACAAAACACTGGTACACAGTTGGGTAACGCGCGTTGACAGGTGACCTTAGGTGGACGTGCATCCCTGTGCCTGGGTTGGCCTAGCTGTGGCTACTGTACTCGGCTTCTCTGGCGGAACATCGGCCAACGCTTACTCGTACTTCCATTTGTGATACCATCCCGACCTCTCTATGTGCTGCATGCGACCCCGACTACTTCCACACTTTCGCTGTTCAGAGGAAGCTCACAACTTTCGATAGTTGTAGCGGAAACTGGCCAGCATGGCTCTTCAAATCTTGCTGGCCCATACAGGCCAGCGTCTGCAGATAGACCCACGTTCCTTTGAATCGTAAGTCAAGTTGCGTAGCGTTGCGCCTTGGAGAATGCAGCACGCTTTTACTTATTTCCATGCTGATTACTTTGAAGACTAGATGCCTTCAAGATCTGGGTCTCCAGACATAGCTCAATATCTCCGCAGGAACATACGGCCCTCATCGCGGAAGGAAAACCTCTGAAGCTGGAAGCATTATCCTCCGAGGCAAGTTGATGTTTACGCCCCACGCGGACGGTAAAGCTGATAGTAAATAGAAAGAAGTCTTCGTGTACGATCGCCGAATAACTGAGAAAGCTTCCTCGAAATCTGCTGCCTCGGAACTGATCAGTATTCCTTTGCCTCCCAGATATACGCCGTCGAAAGCTCCCGACACGATCGCCAATTCAAATGATATGCGCGCATGGGAGGATTTGTTCATGGCTCGTAGGACATGGGCTCTAGATGTGGTGAAGGCTTGTACAGATATGTCCAACGAGGCCCAAAAGAGATACGACGAGCTCCATGTCATTGCTCGTAGTATCGATACTGTGATCATTAGTTATCGAAAACATGTCAAGACTTTGGATAAACAGAATAATGAGTTTCAGACTGGTACCAAAGAACTGGAAGATCAACGAGCGCTGGCGACAACAAACTGGCCAACCATTTTAGCCTCACTACCTGCCACGAGTGCTTTGCTCAGATTCATCACTGGCGACGAGTCCCGAAGGATCCCAATAAATCCTACCCTTGCAGATATACTTGAGGCGGAAGATTGTAGAAAGGCCTTGGAAATCTCTCAGGCCACAATCAAATCCTTGAACCAGAATGGTCCCATAGTCGGAAGAAAAGTGGACGTGGTCATGGCAAAAATGGATGCCCTGCAAGACAAAATAGTAAATGAGCTTGCCAGGAAGGTACCTGGACACGCATCTGATCCCGCCCAGTTGATTGAAGACATCGAAGCACTTGCCAGAAAGGTCAATAATGATTACGAGAGTGTTCTGACCTTCCCAAAGAACTCCAAGGGTGTATCACAAGCTTCCAGATCAGCACTTCTTCATACCAAAAATTATCTTCCAAATCTGGCAAAAAGAGCTTTGGAAATGGATGAAATTCTACGATCCGTAACCGAAGCGCGCAACGCCATGGCGGAAAGCTCTCTCGGTATCATGCACGATCTTTATTCAATAACTGTGCTGATAACCGAGGCGAATTCTCTATTTGAAAAAATGGACCCTAATGACAATGCAAGACACGCAATCGATATGTTGAATTATATAAACATCCTCCCTACAACCACTGCCTCTTTGATGGCCGAAGCAGTTCGACGGAGAGAATGGAACGAAAAGGTCAAGTCAGACTCCTCCACGTTGGCCGTTGAAATGTCGACGTTCCAGGAGGAGGAGGCCAAGCGACGACGAAAATGGCAAAAGAATAATGGAAGCCGACTTTGGGGTGACAGATCCGAACATGGTGTGGCGAGCTTGGAGGTCAATCTTCGAGGCGAGGAAGAAGAATGGCCAGAAGTGACCCGTCCAGATTTGGAGGAGTTTCTCGAAAATTTGAAAGCTCACAACTCAGAGTCTCAGGATGTTGCGAACGTTATTAAAATCATAAAGGATCTTAATAGCCCCACAAAACAACAAAGCAAGCGTGCCAAAGCTTTCAAGGCTGGCAGCATGCACGAAGCTGCCCTGGGTAGAAGTACACTTCTTGTACGGGGTGATGATGACTTGATCCGTGTTCTGCAGGAAGAGAAACAAAAGGTCGAGTCACAGTTGAAAACCTCTCAAAGTCGAGTGCGGAGATTGGAAGACGTGCTTCATCGACAGACTCAAATGAGCCGGGCTCCTACTTCCAACGCCTTTCATATTTCAGGTATTCCAAGCCCCGATACACACGTGACGGCAAATCCTCTCGCCTCCCCCCATCTAATTGATGATATTTCTCGAAGATCTTCTGTATTGTCACGCCGGTACTCATCTCACCAGAATCCCGACGAAAAGGCGATGCAACAGAAGTTGCTATCTGCAGAGGCAGAAGTTATTGCCGAGCGTGAAAAAGTGGCTGGGTTAGAACGGGAAATCTCTGCCCGCAAAACAAGCGCCGAAAACTTGAAATCTCGAATGGATGAAGTCAACATAACTAAGAACGACTTATTCCAGAATTTTGAGGCTCAACAGCGGGAATTCATCGTCGAGCGCAAATCACTTGAGGAAGATATCAAGAAATACAAGGCAACAATTGAGGAACTCGAAAATGAGATTGAGCATTTTATGGGATCCCGCGAGCACGAAAAAGCAAGTGTTGACGAACAGGTCCGAATGCTGCAGGATGAGCTGGAGAAAACTCGTCAAAGCCATATTGCCGAGAGTCAGAAGGCACAAGGTCAGGTTGATTATCTCCGTAACGATGCAAAATTACAACGCGAAACCAATGAGACGTTGGAAAGACAGTTGCAACGAGCCAGAGCAGATAATCGGGAGCTCTTGTCCCGTGTCGAGCATGCTGAATCAATAGTGGGCGAACAATTTAGAGTCCTACAGGATATTCATTTGCAACTATCCCCTCGCTCCAAGAAGATACCTGATGATCTCCCGGCTCTTGCAGAGGTACTGGTCGGCCTGTCTGGAGATCTTGTGGCCGAGTTGAAGTCTGTGAAGAGTGATGCAACCATTGCTAGATCTGATCGAGATACAGCTCAAAGTACCATACTGGCACTCAAGTCAGAAGTGGACGAGACCAGAACCAAACTGCAAAAGGAGCAGACCGAGAGTGCACGCCTCAACGAAGCGCTGGCTTCTGGGAATGCCAAATTCGTGGCTTTAGAAGCAGAGTTGGCAAATGAACGAGGTCAACTAAGTACTTTGAGAACCAAAATCGCTGATGGAGAAACCGGATCCGAAAGCCTCCGAAATCGTTTGGAAGAAGAGGAGCGGAAGGTTACAACCATGTCGGAAGATTTAGCTACTCGACAGTCTCGTATCGGAAGTCTCGAAGAGGAATTAAGAGATTCGAAGGAGAAGTATGAGTTTGCACAAAGCAAACACGAGAAGCTTGCCTCTCGATTTGAGGCTCGGACTTCTAGAGCCAAAGATCTCACGCAACGTGTGTACATGCAAAACGATCGCCTATGCAGACTCCTTGAGCGCCTCAGTTACTCGGTTACCAGAGATGGTGGCTCAATGACTATTCAACGCATTCCCAAACCCGAAAGATCCAATGCAAATGATTCATCAGATCCTGGGTCATCACTGAGAAAAAGTGTATCTGGGGCCATCACAAGAAAATCCATGGTTGATAGTGGTGATCTCGATTTACTCTATTGGATGAACAACGACGATTCAGAGGTAGAATCTGAAAAGTACGGAGCTTATCTCAACGCCATCGGTTCCTTTGACGTCGAAGCATTTTGTGACGTTCTCACGAAGAGAATCAAGGATATTGAATACACAGCCAAGAAATACTCCAGAGATGCGAGAAGCTACAGAGACAAGTCCCATGCGGCGCAGAGCGAAGCACACGAGAAGATTGCCTTCAAGCACTTCAAGGAAGGAGATCTTGCTCTTTTCCTACCCACGCGGAACCAGGCCACTCGGCCATGGGCGGCTTTCAATGTGGGAGCACCTCATTACTTTCTTCGTGAGCAAGATTCGCACAAGTTACGGGCTCGGGATTGGTTACTGGCTCGGATCCACAAGATTGAGGAGCGCGTAGTAGACCTTTCCAAATCAATGACGGCCTCACACAATGCGGCAGATGGTAAATCCATAGGTGGCGACTCTTTCGAGGATGACAATCCTTTTGAGCTCTCAGATGGACTTCGCTGGTATCTGATTGACGCCGCCGAAGAAAAACCAGGTGCACCATCGACCCCGGGACTTGGCAAAAGTACCGTAGCCAGTGCCCACATCGACGCAACTGGACAAATTCGAAAGTCCAAGAAATCCTCTACTGCAGGCGTCGAAGGAATTAACAAGACCCTCAGTAGAAGTCTTGATAGTCGGCGGAGCAGTGTGAACTCAAAGAAAGCCATCCCCATCGCGAGTACACTCATCAAGACAGGCTCTACGGCAACTGATACGGCGTCCTTAAAGGCTGCCTCTACCACGAGCATCCAACCACCCGGGGAGACGACTGATGCACAGATCATTAGGCCGAGTAGTAAACATGGTCCTGCGAACGGCGGTGAGACGGCAGCGGGGAATCATTCAGAGGTGCGGAATAAACTCATTGATGATCTTATGAGTGGTTACTCGTAGCATCTTGGGGAACTTCTTCCGTGTTTTTTCCTTGGATTGACTTCACTTGAACGAAATGAAGACTGATGCGTGTTGTTCTTGACAGGCATCTAGCATGAGGGCTATTGCTCCCACGCCGACGGGGACGGGAACCAGTCCTAGCAAGAGGTCGGTGATCTGGGATTCCCTTTGGAGTATGGATCTGAGTCTCGAGAGCGGGCGGAATAGAAAGTGAAAAGCCTGGTATTCAGTTTCGGGTGTTTTGCGTGCTTTTTCTTTTTGTGCTTGATCTCTAAAGACGCATCTGGGGGAGTTCTTTCTTCTTTCTCATATTTTTTCTTTCTTCATACAATACCTCATGGGATGCGAGGACGGGCGGGAATTGTAATTTATGGGTGGGCGTGGAGTGGGATGGGTTGGGTGCATGTATGTATTGTTGATGAGGAGCGATGCTTTGGGTTTCTTCTTCTCTTGTTCTTTTTTTTCATTGGGATAGGTCATTTTCTTTTTTTTCTTCTCTTTTTCTCTTTTTCTGGGAATGGGGGTTGGCGATGATACCACCGAGGTTTTTATTCTTAATTTTCTTCGGTTTTGTTGTTGAGATTTATGTATTTTTTAGATGGGTTGATGGGGGTGCGGGGTTTGATGAGGGAGGTGGGGTTGAGGGGGTAGATTTGATGGGAGGAAGGGAGGGTTCGGGGGTTAATGAGGTATATAGAATGGTAATTATCATATTAAATATTATACTTTGGATATGCGATGTGATGTCTGATGTCTGATGGTAGTGTAGATGGATAGTTTGATATTTTGATGTTTGTGTTTGGGTAGGATGAGGAGATTGTAAACTGTAGAAACTGTGATAGATGATGGGTTCTTGTGCTTGATATGTTGGTTTATTGGTTTGTTGGTTGATTGTGTATGTGGTGTTGGTCTACCTTGAAGGTTGTTTCTTCTTTTGAAGTACTCTACCGTGTTGAGAGAGATTTAGATTTGTGTAAATTGTGTTGGTTTTTAAGGAGACTTTAGGTGTGGTTTTCTTTTGTGTAGGGAATGTGGGGGATGTAGAGTCGGGAAATGGGAAAGAGATGTTTGAGGATATCGAGCTAGTTACCTTTAGCGAATTTTAGTTATACTTGTCTTTTACTGGTTTTTAGAGGCAAGAAGGTTAAGGTTTTTGGTACAAGAACGGGTGTCGTTCTTTATTAGTGTATAACTAACGATGATCTTAAGCTAAAACTTAAGGGAACAATTTATTTAATGGTGTACTAGGTAGTTGGAGTTTTGTAATTATATTTATAACACTATAAAGATAGCGTAATTACCTATAGGCGAAGAGTATGTCGAAGATGTTCCTTCGCTAAGTCAAGTTCTCTGTTTAAAAAAGTACATAGGTAGTTGTAATTGTCTAGTAGATGGTATGTACCTTGTTAGATTTACAAGTTGTGGTTTAATTTAGTGATATTTTGAAGGGGGGGTGGGGGTAAATTATAGAAAGAGGGGGTGAGAGGATAGGCAGTGATTTGTGGGTGGGTTAACTTGTCGTCGTGTGAGACAGAAAGGGTGACTGAGGAGAGATGAAGGGGTGATGTGAGAGGTAGTATAGCGTAGGTTACGGATGCTTTGCGAAGAGTGGTCGTGGGAGTGTAGCACTACTACATCAGGTTGTCCTTCTAAGGTACAGTAGTTAATCATCAACAACAGCCAGAGTATAATGTACTCGATGGTAATTAAGTAAACCGCAGCCGAGCAAGTAATTCCTTACTCCGCAAAGTGTGCCTCATCATTAAAGTAACTTCTACTTCTGTCGGGATAAGTACTGTACTTACGCCAACCTATGCTTACGCTTACTCCTACTGTACTGTACGCGCATGGCAGCCTTTCTAGAACCCTCGGATTTCTTCTCCTTCATCTCCGTGGACCAATACTGGAATCAACCCGGGCCTATCAAGAGGTATCATGGAAATAGGACCACGTGGTGTCAGTACTTTCCATCCGTAGCGCGATATTGCTTCTTCAACCTTCTTCATGCATGGAAGCATTCTAATTTCTAAAAAGATCCAGAAGAGAAAAAGGAAAGAGGTCATCATGTCCTAAACGCCGATGATTCATCATGGAGGAAACAAAAGATATACAATAAACCGGTTTGTTTCATCATCCACTTCCCAAAAAGGAGAATGATGTTTCGATACTACTGTACCCCCACATCGCCTTCATAGAGAATAAATCAAAAGATGTTTCAACTCTTGCTCGCATCAAAGTAATACCGGTACTGCACTCGCATTAGCACAGCCACTCTCCGCCAACACACCACTCGCCTCTCATCGACAAACATAATCCTGAAAACGAAACAAGTTGGTGGGAGAGCGAAGATCTCCTGCACTTGAGCAGCTGCAGCCACTGAGGAAATGCATGAAAGAATCAGACATCCACCGTTCAGCTGTCCTAGGATATGCCACCTGGAATATGCAGTTCATCCTTAACTAGCGATGCGTAACCAACTTATTTCATAAGGAGACGTCTCCTTGAGCCTTGTTTTGACCCACGGATAGGAATACTACAGTACCTGTACCAAGCAAAGCGAGAAAGTGACAAAAATAATGATAAAGAAGGGGAAAAAATTCTGCTCTGTTCATACGAAGTACAGAGTCATGAACTTGCAGACAGGAAAAGGGGGCAGAGAAACCGGCAAGAGAACGGGGACGGGGTATAAAACGCCTTTTATACCTGCACCGGGGATTTATCCGAGCTGGATTGGGGGTAGGCAGGGAGCAGGGTTCCAATGACTACCGTCTATCGATAGGCTCCAGGATAAGGACTTTGGGGTGTCTTGAAACTTGACCTCGATGTGAGGACGATCGGTTCTGGCCGAGGGGTTACGGTACTTGAGGTGGATGAAGCTCATACTGGTAGTGCCATGGTGTCATGGTGAGGAGCTTGGTTTAAGTTTGAGGGGAGAATTGTACGAGCGCTTAATTTTTGGAGACTCGGGAGAGGTGAGATGCCATAGAAAGCAAACCCGCGTTTGCCAACGGTTTATTTTCCTCATCGCATCACATCGGGTTTACTCCTCCCTCTGTCGTTTGTGTACACCGTACGGCAATCCATGGTTAGATCTCGGGAAATTCTTCCATCCCAACTTCTTGACCGCGTCCTTAGGAGTGGGATAATATAGCCAGACGGAGAATATACACCAAAGAAAACGGGGATTGGTGAGTCACATGCGAAGAGTTTTTTCGTGTATGCATCTCTCTTTTGCGGCTGTCGGGCTTACGACGGTCATATATGTGCTTCAATTTGTTACTCGAGGGGAATAAATGAAATCTGTACGCTCTCACGCTTACCTGCGTCCATTCTCCTTCCCGGTTGGGAGGTCGCGTAAAGGGTCTTCTACAGGTCAGAAACATCAGCCTCACTCACTGCATTGGGTCACGCCTGCATGAAAAGACGATCACAGGATCTATCTCGTGACGGCGATTCTAGTGTTGACCGTCTTTTTCTCCATCTGGACAGATTTCGGGTTTCCTGTTCCATGGTGGGAATCGATCAAGTGATTTGGACTGCAGAAAATGGTCATAGTGAGGTGTTTTCTGTTTTCCCGTGTTTTTCAACAGCACAGAAAGTGCGTGTCAAAGTGGGAAGTGGATCAGGGATCGAGCTTTTTTCAGATCTGCGCCGGGAGGGAGATCTCTCGGCTCGCTTTGTGGCTTTGCCTCTTGTCTTTGGAAAATGGGGAAAAATGTAAGGTTGCCTGTTGAAACTTTTGGTTGATTGGCGATGTAAAGGTCGGTCGAGTTGGGATATGCTGGAAGTCTTTTATACGCTCAGACCGCGCTTGATTGCGCTTCAATGAGCTTCATTGCGCCTGTTTTTCTCTTCTCTGGTCGTCAGTGGTTCGGATGAGCACGGAGCTTTCGATAGCACTAAATATAGATGTTCATCTTTCTTGTAACGCTGACGCACAGAGAGTTGAAGACGCCTCAACACACAGACAGTTCACGATGACTAATGAATGCCTCGGCTCTTGTGCCTGCTTGGGCGATGGAGGTCTGGTACGTTTGGTCGTTTGGTCGGTCTGGCCCCGCCTTGGAGCACACGTTGACTTTGCCACACCTCGCGCATATTGCATCGCCACAACAAGTGCGTACTCGTACGTATCGAAGCATTGAAAAATCCATGCCACTGACGAGAATCGCCGCTGCCGTGTCGTGTGTGCTGGTGGTCGGTGTCGGTCTCTGTGCTTGTTTGTATACCTGCGAGCCTGCGTAACTGAGTTCGGTCCTCGGATGGTGGTGGGATGCAACGAGCCGCTTGGGAGACTTCGCATTCCCAGTCGAGAGTCGAGCCACTTCGACTCGTTACGAAGTAGGTTCCGATGTCAAGAGAGAGGGCGGGCGAGAGAGAGGGGGAGGGAGAGGGAAAGGGAAGACGTTGGTGGTTGTACGCTAGTGGTTTGGCTCTACCCTTCAACGGCCCAATGAGGGTGCAGAGGTGGCATCTCTTGGCAACTCGTTCTCGCTAGACTTCAACGTCCAACGAATGAGCAGCCCAAACGGCCCTTCCACCTCACCTGACATGGACCTAGAGAGACCCTCAGCCAGGATGAATCCATTCCCATCAGCCATCTACAGGTCACCAGCGCTCCTCAGCTCGATGAATGCTCTTTACTCCTGACTTTCGCCCAGGGCCAGCCCGGCAATGCCTGGGTATTCGTGGGAATCGGCGGGACCCAGGAACCAGAAAAAGGACATCCACTACCACCACCACCGAGACCATTCTGCTGCGTCTGAGAAAGGAGATTGACGGCGACAGCGCGTCGCGGTTGGTCTTACCTAAAATGTACCCCAGATAGAGCCGAAGCTATTCATGCAGGAGAAGCTCTTGGAGCCATGAAGGTTCAATAGATGGTCCTCAATTCAGCCAGTCCAAGGCTATGCGCGACTCGACATTGATGGGACTGCTACACTTGAACCACCCAGCGCTATGCAGTGGCAGCTAGACCTGGCAAGAGGTTCATCAGAGCAGCGGAGATCAACCGACGAGCAGCAGAAGACGCAGGAGAGGCATCAGATGGAAAGTGTTTCACCCTTCGAGAATATGACATGTGCCATTGCGCGCTTTCTGCGCTGCAGGTCATCGACGTCGTGTCGAAGCCACCCACCCCTCGCGGTTGCAGACGGAGTAAAGGATGTGAAGGTTACGTTCTAAAGCTGCTCTCGCAAGTATTCAACCCCATTCTTTCAAGAGTGCTAAAAGGAGGTGGGGGGTCGGTTGGAAAACTAACCGAAAATCCTATCATGAGCGTCAAGAAGGGATGACCAGGCCACCATCGTAACACAGGCCTCGCGGCATTGAATCGCGAGCGAGATGGGATCGTCAGCCCTTGCCACGTTCATGCTGGTTTCCGAGAAGACGTCCAGAAGGAAACTTTATAATGTCCCAAAACGGAAGTCGATGTATGGCTGTAATTTTGGAGAAGTTACCAGACGCAGCCGTTAGAGGCGGATGGCGTCAAATAATCTCCTGGCCACGCGAATGATGTTTCTACAAAGCTACGGCGATTATTGACATAATCAATGGCCCTGCGCTCACTGCAGCGCTTCCAACAACACTCGACTATGCTAGCCGGTAGAAGTGGACCGAAGTGGCAGAAGTTTGAGGACCCATTGATGGGGGTGGTGTGGTGTGGTGTAAATGTCTTTCCCGAAAGCATGTTCCAAGTGGAAACCATGGCCATGGTTCGAGGAATAGTCTCATTTCTTCTTCTGGACGTTCTGTGACACTCACCTAGCATGTTCGTGCCATGCGATGCCATGTTGACGGAGTACGGCTCTGTCATCATGACTGGTTCTGGCGGCCACGATGAAATGACACACGCATGAACGAATATTGGGATGCAATGGCATCATGGCTTTGGGAGCAGCAGTACAGCAGTACAGCAGCAAGCAGGAGGCAAGATTCTGCCGTTGCCCTGTGCAAGACTGCTGCAGCTCTCAGCTTCGTCTGTGCCGGACTATGGGCAGTGTCTTTTGCCCCATGGGAGAGCGAGATTTCTTTTACCACACCTACTCGCTCGCTTATCAGTTCCTGCGGCGGCTGCTCCTTTTTCAGTGGGCTCTTGGGCTGCAAGTGCAAGCAAGAAGCAGCAAGCTAGCAAGCTCCGAGCCTCCAATGCAAGCGTCGAAGTGTATTCGCGTAAAGACTCTTTTTTCTCATTTTTTTCCGTCGGCTTGTTTAGCTGGTGTTTAGCAGAGCATGCACGTCGTTGCACCGCCTCGTCTTGTCCCGCCAGCCCAACACCCACATCCATCCACATTCTCGCTCCCATTGACAGGGGTCCTCCTTAGCTCTTCTCCGCTGCCGGCTCCACCCACCGAAAAGCGCAAAATGGCGGACCCACTCTTACCCATCCTTGCCCACCTACACCAGCCAAGATCGGCTCCCCTGTCACTCTTGCATCCGCTTGTCTTCTCCTGGCCATGCCGCTATGCCCCCCTAGCGAACATCAGCTGCCTGCTATAACTCCCCCGCCATCGCCTCTCAGCACTCCTCTCTTACCCTCCTTCTTTCTTCACGATCATTGATCGGCATAAAAATAATTCCCTGATCGTTGGGACCCTTATTCCTACTTATTACTTCTTTTATTTGTCTTCCATTTGTGTTCCCGAATTTGTCAACTACCCCCCCCCCCCCCNCCAATCCCATCGTCACCAACCCCACTTGTACCCGCTCTGCCTCAATCCGGAATCCAACGTCAGCTTCGATAAATACTTGACATAGTTTCGCCCTACCCGCTTGGTCGTCTCCATCCCACTCACTCATACACGATACGATGCCTCCTCAATTACTACCCGCTTCCGCGGCAGCTTTCGCACCTAGAGCCAGTTCAGTCAATGTGGTTTTAGGCTCAAAAGTGGAACCCTGGTTAACTCAGACTCTCAAGCGCATCAATCGTGTCAAGCGACCTCTGAATAGCGTACCGCAGCATCAAAGATGTTTGACAGAAACACTATCAAATGCCAATGCAATCTGGAATCTCACCTCGATTATGTTGCAAAAAGCACCCGAAGCCGATTCACGTCAGGATGACAACCCTCTGGTTGAAGCACTCTTCAACTACCAGCTCGTTCATGTCGAAGCTTATATTGTGCATGTGGATATGGTTCTAAGAAATGAGGTCGCATTCAAACTCACTCCCGACTCCATTGAATCATTAATCGAATATCACAAGGAGGTCCATTGCGTGGATATTTCAGCCAATACATACAGCTGGTCGGAAAAGGAGCAACAAGTCAAGAAGATACACGAGGAGTTCATCCAAGCCATCAACAAATTTGTTTACCGAACTCACGTGTCTGCCCTGGAAGGATTGGAAGAAGACGGACAAGGAGAGCTATTATGTGGCAAGAGCGAAGAGGTCAAAACCAATATCATGAACCTCTTCCTCCCATTACTGCCTCCTCCACCACGCGTCGTTGACGTCGTCCGTCCGCCAACACTGTTGCCAAGTTCACCTGCCGATGCACAATGGTGGTCACAACCAAGTATTCCAACATCGATCCCAGCACCGGTCGACTCATGGAGAGTACTGCCTTCAAGCCCAAGCACCACTTCTTCCTCCGATACGAACATGATGTGGGCCAACATGGCGTTGCATGAGATTCATCAACTTCCTTCTCCAACGCCGTCGTGTAGTCAACCATACTCAACTGCCGGACTCTATTACAGCTCACCACAAGTTAGCGCACCTATACCATGTCTTCCGTTACCCAGTATGCTAGCGCAGCAACCATGTGGCATTAGTGTCGGGTATGGAGGATTTGGATGGGATAGTCGTTTCCAAGACTACGCGACTACCATGTGACAACCAAGGCCCAGTAATTTAACCAACTACTCTAGTATCCAACATAACGGGTACTAGCCAGGGCAAAAATGAGCATCACGATTTCCATGAATCCGAGTCACCACATCACAAGAAAAGGACGGACAGCTTCTACAAACTTTAGCGGGCATTTTGATACCAGTTATTCATCCACCGCAAGGCATACGGTACGGCGTTCAGCATCATCAGCGATTGAGCGACATTTTTGGGACACAAACAGGACCGCCATCATTTTCTCCCCTCTGAGTACATAATCGGATACGTTTTCTCTTCATCTATTTCATTTGTCGGGTCTTTTTTAGCGTAGCGGGTTTTGTTTTTGGGATACCGGATTTTCTTTACTTTACATATGATCTACGACAGCCGCTAGCTCGGTGTATTTCCTTTTCCTTTGAGCATATGGCAGGACCGGGCGGGGTATTTTGTGAGCATTTTCAAAGCAAAACGGGGACCTCAACAAAGGCTTTTCTTTTTTACATTATCATCAAGAAAGTACCTAAGAAAAGGGAAAATACGCAGCAATGCAGGAAATATCGGCGCGCGCGGGATACAATTTTTGTTTTTTGTTTGGTTGTATTGTTGCTTTTACATCGACATATCTGTCCATGGCACAGATTCTTTTTCGTTTGTCGTCTGCGATTATTATACCCCCGACAGCATTTACTACAATCATCGTTACGACCTTTTTCCTTTTCTCATCATGGATATACGACCTCTACCTCAAAATACGCCTCCTTTCTTCCACCAGGCACGACGAATCTCTCCGTTTTTGTTCCGCCAAAGCTTCTGCCTACACCATAGATGGCTCGATGTCTCTTTCGTGTTGGTATTTGCATATTTTGGGGAATACATATGTGGGGGTAATACCGGGTCATGGGATGGAGAAGTAATAAAGCAATTTTTTTTGGATACGATACATGATGGGAAATACGAATCGGGCTGGGATGGAATTTTGCACGGAATATGATAATTGGGCTAGGACCTTTGGGCGAACATTGATTGTTAGCGCGAGGGGATCTAGTGGGACATGCTTGCGTGTCGACGACTGTGAATGGAGGATTGAGAAGGTTCTCTGGTGAAAAATACTGGGCGTGTCTTGCTGTGCGGGTACGCTTTGGTCTTTGATTTGGGGAACCATCAGGCTTGTCTCTTTTCGAGATATTCGGGTCGGGGAGGTTTACTTGTGATGGAGGACTCAATGCACCTCGATCGCTCCTGAGACGTCGCTGGGGATCTCGATTTGGAATCTTCTATATCCTGCTAGTCAGGAATGAGCTTCCACGAAATGTACCGCTTCGTCTCTGGTCCGTCTTGGATTCTGGGTCTCTCTATTTGAGTACACTTCTCCTTCCGGTATCGAGGAAAGGTGGGGGTATAGTTTCCTTTCATCTCGGGGCTATGTTTTCCCTCAGAATCTCATCGCCTCTTCCCTGGCGGGATCCAAGAGCTTTGTGATTTCTGGAGGAACGGAAATCTTCCATCTGTTTTTCTCCTTTTTCTCACTTGCTGTGCAAGATGGAAGGGGGATACGATGAGATGCTGGTTGTGTGGAGAAGAAAGGGAGATTCTTGAACTGGTTTTGGGGTGGGATTGGACGGATGGACTGGATCTTGATGTCGGTTTGTTTGCTGTGCTGCTTTTAATTTATAACTCCTAAGTAATTTCGGATTAGTGATTTTCTGATACCAAAAATAAAATTGCTTTCTATAACTTGTGGTTTGTTTTTTTGCGGGGTGGATGTGAGTTGAGGATGGTTGGAATGTGTTTGTTTATTAGGGGTGAGAGGAGGGGTTGTGTGTGGGTTTGAGAAGGGTGTATGTTAGATATTTCACTGGATGTATGAGAGGAGTGAGGAAATGTGGAGGAGACTGGATGAAAGTAAGTCAGTGGACTCATAAGTATGTAAATATACTTTTGCTTATACTCAGGTTCACGTACGAATGAGGATATATCATTTGGGTCAAACAGCCCCAGGGGCACTTGTGAGACTATTCGCACCTCATCAACTGGAGCCCAGGCTACCAAGCGCTTAATTGAGGCCCAACTATCTACCTATTTCTGGTGGTTCTCTTGGTGATGGTGGAGGGTTAAGAAGAAACTCCTACACGCTAGTGTACAACAATCCTACTGATTGTAGGTTGTTGTTGTGGACAAGTGATCATATATAGCAAACGGTATATGTAAGGTTGCTTAGTCACCCTCGATACGCAAAATACATCCTTTGAGTGATGTGGGAAGTGAAGAAGAAGAGCTGTAGCAAGTGAGTATAGTGTGTGTTGCAATAATCTTAATTGAATCTTAGGAGTGATTGTAGAATAAGTGAATTGATGGTAGAGTAGCTATGAAGGTAGATCAACAGAGGTAAATTCAGTTCGCTGCAAGTCATGAATCTCGGTATACAAGTACTTTAAATTTAAACACCACGAATATCTTCAAGTAGCTCAGTAAGATGACAGTTCTTTTACGCAAATTATCTTCGAACGTATAATAGAATCTCTATCATTCATGGAATGAATTCTGGAAAGAAGGAATTCCGCAGTCTGGAGAGGGAGAACGGAGTGATATGCCACGGATAATTTGTCCCGATGTGTGCGTGCAAACTAGTGGTAAAGCAACTAGTATCCAACCCAGTTCATTCTCCACACGAAGAGCTCGTAGTAAGCTCTCCGTAGCAAGCTCCAATAGCAAAGCTCGCTTACGCATCAGCTGTTGGTACCAACAACCAACTGTTGGAGTTTTGCGGGGCATTATAGAATGCACGAATCGCAACTTCACAAGCGGTCTGTTAGCTCATTATGTTAACCGTGCACTTGTTACCCAGTACAAATAGTTCTGCTGCCTTCCATTTTTATGAGGGATTTCTTTCTGATGCTTGCAACCTGGCTTCCTCCTTTGACACAGATATTGCGTTGGTTGTCAAATCTTCAGATTGTGAGAGCTATGTGAGCTTAGCAGGTTTTGGGAACATATTTGAATTGCCACGATTTCAGCTACGCGTTGTTTCAAAGACACACCTTAGATATGGGGCTAGACATTCAACCCTTCGGAATAGCGATGGATGCCAATGGTTTTGGGCAATGTGCCATCATCTTCATTCTCAGCGTAAGAGACCCGACGCATATATAATTGACTCAAAACTAACGAATAACTCCCAGTATATTTCTTGTTTATGCATGAGTGCAATTTACAATCTCTACTTCCATCCGCTCGCCAAGTTCCCAGGCCCAAAAATATGGGCAATCTCCAGAATCCCCTTCATTACCGAGATGCTCGGTGGCAATCTTCCCTTTCGCATCAAGAGTCTCCATGACGAATATGGCACTATTGTTCGAGTGGCTGCCGACGAGCTGTCTTTCATTGGCTCCGCGGCTTGGAAAGATATTTATCTAAAGAAGGAATTTGTGCGGCCAAAGATTTGGGGCTCTCGTCCTCCTGGTGTGGAAGCTCATAATGTCATCTCAGCGCCCGTGGCCGACCATGCTCGGTTCCGGAAAGCTTTTCAATCCGCATTTTCCGAGAAAGCAACTATTCAACACGAACCTACGGTCCAGAAATATGTGGATGTGTTGATCAATAGACTGAAGGAAGCTACAAAGAAGAACGGCCAATCGGCTGGCAGAATTGATTTGGTTCAGTGGATCAATTTCACGGTATTTGATGTGATTGGAGACCTGGGATGGGGAGCTTCTTTCGACTGTTTACAGGACCAAACCTATCATCCTTGGATCTAGGTTGTGCTTCAATTCAAGCAAGTTCTGAAGGGGACTTCTGTACGCTACTATGCCTGGTTGAACTCGTTCTTGATGAGCATTATGCCCAAGTCTGCGTTTGCGGACTTGGAAAGAGCTCTCTCTCATGCCCATAATAAGGTTAAAGCTCGTCTAGCCAGAGAAGCAGATCATCCAGATATCATGGCTCACATCATTGAGTACAACAAAGCGAACCTCGATGTTGGACTTACTCCCGGAGAGATCGAAGCAAACTCCATGGCAATCGTCGTCGCAGGAAGTGAAACCATCACCACTGCTTTATCTGGAGCCATCTATCATCTTCTCAAGAACCCGAGCATTAAGGAGCAAGTGGTGGATGACATCCGTTCCAAATTTGCGTCTGAAGACCAAATCACAGCTTCTGCGGTAGCTTCAATGCCATACTTCACAGCCATCCTCAACGAAACCCTGCGCATATGTCCACCACTCCCCGACAACCTCCGACGGGAAGTTCCCAAAGGCGGTGCCACAATATGTGGCCACATGATCCCCGAATGGATGACGGTTGGCGTTCCATGTTGGGCAACATTCTACTCCAAAATCAACTTCGTTTCTCCAGATACCTTTTTGCCGGAGCGATGGCTGAATGAGAAATCCGATTCGGTCTATGAGAAAGACAAGAAATCGAGCTTCCATCCGTTTTCTGCGGGGCTGCATAATTGTATGGGGAAACCTTTGGCGTGGGTTGAGTTGAGAATCATCCTAGCGAGGATTCTTTGGAATTTTGATGTTAGTGTACCGGTTGGACGGACGTTGCCTGGCTGGACTGAGCAGAAGATTTATTGGACTTGGGAGAAGCTGCCACTAGAGGTTCAATTGGAGAGGGCTTCGTGATTGTGAAGTTTTGTGAACCAGTGTCTTATGAAATTCTATTAATTGGAAATGACATCCAGCTTTTGTGGATTATTTTTCTTTCTCCTCTTATTATTTCCCAAAAGATGAAGTACGAATCTTAGGATCAGTCAAATGTTGTCATCTCCAAATCGCAGAAAATCTACCACAGTTTTGGGTGACCGTAGCATACTCGAATCCTTCTGAAAATACCAATCCAATGTAAGCTTCACAGAGGCAGGTCACCGCAGGGGTTTGGAAAGGTATTCAATTGAAGAATGTATAAAACCTAGTGTGCTCCTTCTTAGGCTCGCGCAATCACGCCACGACGACCTCAATGGAATGGGAGGAACTAGCGCGGCAGTCTCTTCAAGGCATACTCAATGAAGAAATACCCCATGAAATCTTAATTTTATACTTGGAATCAGTCATTCTGTGAGCTGGGTAGTCGCCATTTGATATTATTGAAGGACATGGGGTTCAATATAGCCCACAAACTTGTTCAAACACAACATGCTACCTCAAAAGGATTACTGGTGGATGGCTCGCATGTGGATCTTCAACTTTTCATTCAGTTCCTCTCTCAAACACCGAATCATAAACTACCTCATCAAATCAATAATCTATCCCTTGACATCCTCTTCCTTTGCCAAACTAAGAGCTTTCTTAACACTCGCTCTTCCCAAAATAGAGTCATTCCACCGTTTAAAATTCAGATGGTCCTCGATATTCCATTCCTCCCTATCCGACAGAAATAGCGGCAGTGACGAACCCCACGACACAAAAGCCAAGTCCGCGTACGTGATTTTATCTCCAACCAACCAATCACGACCCTCCAATGCTTTGTCCAACACCTTGACAATACGAATAGCTTCATCAACATATCGCTTCTTGGCAGATTCCAAAGGCTCGTGATGAAATAACTGGAACCAAGCTAATTGGCCCCAATACGGTCCCTGTCCAGTACATTGAAAGTGTTGCCATTGCAGAGTGTGGTATTTCTCCGGCGCGGTGATATAGCTGATCTTATGTTCGGTGTCGTAGTTTTCAATCAGATAGTTGACGATTGCGCCGGATTCCCATAGTGTGATGCCAGTGTTGGGATCTTCAATAGCGGGGACCCTCCCATTGGTGTTGATGGCTTCGAAGGCTGGTTGTTTCAAGTCTGCGTGCTCGACGAATTTGCCGATGTATGGGATTCCGAGTTCTTCGAGGGTGATGATTACCTATAGGGCCTGTGTGAGAAGCTATGCTCAGGTATCGCTTGCGAGTTGATTCAGTAGCATACCTTGGCGGGATTTGGAACGTTGGCTGTGGCATTTCTTAGCATTGGGTGATCGAGAAACTGCTCTCATTTCTTTGGGGGTGAACTTACGTCTCCAGTACACAGTGATTGGCTGCATTTTCTGATTTTCTGATTTTTGGACTTCGAAGAACCTTCGGACTGGCTGCTAAGAAGAGTGAAAATAGTTTGATTTGAGCGGGAGCTTTATATGATGAGCTCTTGCAAGTTGTTGGTTGGTTTGGGACCCTGGGTTATCTGTATATGCAGAAACGGAAAACCAACGTTCTTCCACTATCCACTAAATGTTGGTTGGTGGGAGGCGTGGACATTTTCACCCGCACACCTCTACAATGAGACATTGTTGGCGAGAATCGTATACGGAAATCAGGTACACTGTACGAGCGTTCAAGCACCGCGGAACCTTGGGGCTCTTCGTTAACTTAAGTACCCTACAGTTACTAGTTTTATCGTTCCTGGGATTCTAGCACAAGATCTCTTCGAAGCGAGAATCAGATCTTCATCTTGTGGGCCAATATACACATACATACAAACTTATATTCCCAATATATTCTATTGCATATCTACCATGAGAAGTGGATTACCAACAGTTGTCAATTCTTACATGCAGATATGAGCTAACCTTATTCCGCTTCCTTGTTGGATTGACTAGCTCTCAACCTTGCCCAATCCTGAGAAGCAACCATCCCTTACTCCTAACCTGACAAACTGGTCGGCAAAAACGCCTAATCACGTTTGGCCCTAGCACTCTCGCCAATCCAAGTGTAGGTGAAGCCATTCGCCATCCACCCAGGCCCTGCCTGCTTAGCCACATGTGGCACTACACTCCCCAGTGCAACCCCTCGCTTAGTCATCCCAACTTCTACAATTCTACAATCCCCAAAACTCGCCAATTCATCAAAAACAACAACGAAAAAGATTGAAGAACCACTTCACAACCACACCACCATTTCAAATGCCTAACCCTTCAGATATCCCCTAGGAAACATATAAACCTATAAGAATACAAAAAGAAAATTTTATACTTACTTTTGTAGGGGGGTTGGAAAGTTGGCCTGAACATTTTTGGGCTTGATGAAAGAACGGATTGCGATGTGCAACAAAACTTTGACCCCTGTTACGCTCGGGCGTGTGAGTGGCTCGTTTAGCGCTCTCGCTGGTTTTACGGTGCTTGGGGCGGCGTGGGGCGGCAATGAGTTGAAGTTCGATATTTCGGAGTTAGGGTTGGTTTTTTGAAGAACTTCGTTGAGGATCGGCGTTAACATTTTGAAGAATTGAAGAACTCGAGGAAGGTAAATCTTACGTAAGCACCCACCACCCACCACTCACTCTCACCATACTCGCACTTGCACCTCCCCTTGCTCCCCTTGCCCTTGGATGTGGAGCACCAACAGAATACCAGCATGTGCGAAAGCGGATAATTGGCGTTATACATAGTCATTTTCCTTGTACATTGTGTTGGATACTCGTAAGAGATGCATTTAGCCATACACTAGCAAAAATACGCCTCTAATGTGCTTAAGCGAGGCCAACGACGTAGGTACCTAAGGTCGTGGAATATTTGAGCGCCTGCCAGTATTGGCAATATACTCGATTGTCAGCGGCTACAAAGCAAGCTGTCAAGGTCCCTGGGACTGGGAGTCTCTGCGAGAACTTTCTGCGGGGTTTTAATGATCTTTCATCTTTGCTTCCTCTGGCTACAAGTCTTGCGACAATCTTTGAAATGAAGGTGAGCGACCATGGATGCTTGTTGAGAATACCACCTTAGATCTCTCCGGTCTAAAATTTCCTTTCTTCTATGAGAAGGCAAATGGAAAGTAATCTTCAGTTCCTACTAAATCTCTTCTTCTCATCACTAAATTCGTCCCCATATTATTCCTGGACCTTCCACGAAGGAACATAGAACAATACCGATATCCGAAATGCGTATCATTTGATTCAATCAATGATGCCGCCTTGTATGAACCTTTAATTGGCGATCCTGCGGTAGAATAAGATAGTATTTCTACCTAATTCTTAACAAACACGCAGACAGACGATACCCGCTTGCCTACTCGGTATAGTAACACACAAGATAGCATCAAGAATCTAGATATTAAACATTCTCTTTGCAACTTGCAAGTTCAACTAGACAAAAATCACCAACTTGAAAGCTAAGCTGATTCATACCCGACATCGAACCAACTCTTTTACTGGAGAACTTCCTCCCGTTCTCCTAGATCCCAAGAGACTCTTCTACATACGCGAGGTTTCTATCACAAAAACAGTGAACACCACTTCCATCCATCCCCTTCCCATTCGTCTAGATTCTTATAGCAACACCTTTATTCTACTAAGAACCTAATACATGGTTTATCTATAACTTATAGAAATCTCGAGAAGAGGGTCCTTCATATCCACTTCACATATCGATATTGAAACACAAAGACTTGACAAGTCGCCAAGTCATCTAATTACAAAACGAAATCCGAATCCAAATCCACGAGGACACCATAAATCCCCCAGTCCTGTCAATATCCCAGTCGTATCATCTATACCACATACGTTAAAAGGCTAATAAATCTCAAAGGCAAGACCACAAGCTAGCTGGCTCGGCCACATTCCTTTCTCCGTCCCCTTGAAAACAATGACAAAAAAAACTCCCAAACACAAAAGCGATAGGTACTAAGAATAGCCTTTCAATCCTTCCAGCACCCTGACTCTTACACACAACAACAGTCTTAGTCTTAGTCTTCTCTTGACCCTTTGACAAGCTTTCTTTTCTTTTCATTTCTTTTCTATAAGGGACATCAAGATCCTATTCAGGATTTTTGGTTGTATAATTCATAGTCGCACGGAATCCCTAATTATTCTTATATCAATTTTTTATGCTCTGTGCTTTATAGCGTGGAGGGTTGGTTGGTAGATTGGTTATTACGGATGATATTTACTAGAGGGAAATGGATGGTGGTTTACGGGGAGGTGAATTGGGATGGTGGGTATGGGTATGAAAAATGAGGTGTGTGTGGATTTTTGGAGAATCGAGTAGGTTGATTGCTGTGAATTATGGGTTATACATTCAAGTCCATCTAGAAAGCTCAGCTAGGAGAATAAGGTGATGTTATCTGGATTTTTGGAGAATCAAGTAGATTGATTGCTGTGAGGTATGGATTATATATTTAAGTCCTTCTGGGAAGCTTAGCTAGGGGAAGATGGTGATGATGATATGTGGAGATTTTTGTAGTATCGAGTAGATTGATTGCTGTAAATCACTCCTCCTGGAAGCTCAGCCAGGAGGTCTAGTAGACTTCCCGGAATGTCAATGCCCAAAATGATTTTTATGATTTCAACGTGGTATATAACTAAATGCGAATTCTGCTATGGACTGCAAAATCATTGAAGATGTGCAAGAAATCTTCTTATACATTTATTCATTTCCAACCTATTATTCTGATTTCTCATCATCAGATGAAAAACTTGCTCCACCTGCCGCTAGGGAGAGACCCTCCAAGATCTCGCTACCCATTATGTAGGTCATGTACGTCGAAAGAACAATCCATGCGCCACTAATTCAAATTAGATATGGTTACCCAAGGGCGGGGGAATGGCTTACTTGGGAATGATCCATATGAAGAATAAATCAACAGCCGTGTTATGGCCGATATTCGAAAACGAAGAATAGTACTCGTTGGCCCAATACAATACCTACTGCAATTAGCACACAAATCCACCTTTAGTCTAGAAACAACATACTGTCTTGCTCAAAGTCATGACTGCAGCACTGAATCCTACAAGCACGGCCCCCGCACCTTGACGTCCACCAACAGTCAACTCCCCGACAATCCTACTACCAACTGGCCTCTTCTTTCCCAGCACTTTTGTTTTTTGTCCATGCGACAAGACCACGTACAAGTAATACAAGTACATGGCCGTTTCGATAACATTCAGAGTTCCTTGCGCGGCAGTAAAGCCATTTCCCTCGTTGAATGCTTTCCATCCATATACATAATCAATTTGTCCGTACAATTCATACGGACTCCAGATTGGCCAGTGCAAAGAGCCGCCTGGCATGCTATGAGGACGCAGGAGAACATAGCCAGTATCCCAAATAACAAGGGGCAGAGAGACGAATAGCCAGAGAAGCGTTGTGGGCGTGGCCATGTGCGCCCATTGTGAATTAGGCACCGCTGATTTTGATTTGCGGGTTGCGACGGATTTGGATGGAGTGCTTGCCCGAATATTCGACCTTGAGGGAGTGTCGAGTTGTTCGGGAAACTCCTTGGTGCGGCGAGTGGAAACCATGTTGAGGAGTGGACGGAGTTGTGGTCTCGCTGGTTCGGAGGGGTGAGCTGGGCTTTATTGGCACATGCGGAGATGTGGTGAAGTTACATGCTGAATTGAGAAGGTGTTGTCACCTGTTGGTTTTCTTGAACTCTTTTTGGCGGGGAAGAGCTCTGCCTGGTCAACCAGTCAATTCTCGGCCCGTTGGACTTCCGATCCGAATCCTTCGGTACTGAATTAGGCGCGAGCTATCCTTGGCACGCCTTTTTAGCGTCACGCAAGCCACTCAACGCCACATCAGAATCGGATGACGTTGTGGAGGTTCCAGTCCTTGCCTTGGACTAACGACGATGGAATTCTGTCCACAACATCACTCTGGCTGCCTACACTTGCCACAACGAATTGTCTATCAACCTGCCTCATTTCCGATCGCGTATTACCCAATGTTATAATCAACACAGAATGGATTCTCCTGCCTTGACACCTCGACCCTCACAACGCAATAAAAAGTCTCCCTTACAAGCTTCCTCAATATCGTCACCTACATCTGGCAATATGCCAACACTAAAAACGATGTCTGCACATACTGCGCGAAGATCGCCAATTCTTCCTACCACTCTCGAAACCTTTCTCCTCTCAATATACCCAACAATACTCGTCCTAGGGTCAATATTTGCCATCCTCGACCCTTCAGCAAGAAATGCTCCATACAACGCACAAACACAATCGCACCACGCGGCCACAGCCCCCTCTTACTTTGCAAAGAAAAGCAACGTCTTTAACCAGTTCTTTGTCAAAATAGGTTGGGCATGGATAACGCTCAGCTACTTCCTCTTCCTATTTACGCATCCCTCCACGGGACCGCCTTTAACCTTTGTCATAACACCAAAAAGGATACGAGGAACGTTGCGGTATGGAATTGTCACTTTATGGTGGATATTCGTGACACAATGGTTCTTTGGACCGGCGATTATTGATCGTGGGTTTGTGGCTACGGGGGGACAATGTGAGTTGGTGCGAAAGGAGGGAGCGGATATGGATGAAGTGAGGAGGTTTGTTACGAGTGTGGCATGCAAATCCGTTGGAGGGAGTTGGAAGGGCGGACATGATATTTCGGGACACGTTTTTCTGCTGGTGCTGGGGAGCATGTTTATTTTCGAGGAAATCTTGCATGTGGTTTTGAAAACGCAGATGACCAAGGAACAACGAACGGTGTCGATGGCTGATGGAGCGGTGAAGAGTGCAGAGGTTGAGGCGACGTTGGGCGGATATGATAGTACAGTTGAGCGACCCAGACAGTGGACTATCGGAGCAAGGGTGGGCGTGGGGGTTGGTGCATTAAGTGTGTATATGTTGCTAATGACGGCTGCATATTTTCACACTTGGTTTGAAAAGGTATGCCCAAGTTTGTTGATTGTGCTTTTGAGATTTGACTAACCATTAATACAGCTTACTGGGCTTCTCGTTGCACTCAGCGGTATATTTGTGGTATATTTCCTCCCAAGAGCGATACCTGCACTGAGAAGTGTAATTGGAATGCCCGGGGTTTAGATGCGTTGGATAAATGTACAACAGGAGGAATAATTCTAATGACCCAAGATCGTCCGAAATAGAGCTTCTACCACTTTCATACCGTTTCTCCTTTTTAAATTATATACCACATATGTTGTGCAAATTATGTCAATCTTCAGCAAGGAGATTGGATAATAACGCCTGTTGAATTCCAGTCCGTATCTTGTACTATGCAGTGGTATTTTGGGAAACAAGCGCGGAGGCTCCCCAAAAGCAATCAACTTGACGTGAGTGGATGCCGCCTTCACCTGAGGATGAAAAGCACTTTACGCGAAAGCACGTGTGTTTGCTGATCAAAATAAATAATGGAAGGTCGCGGTCGAGAGGATGACAATGTATTCATTGGACCTTCGCCTCGCCTCCGGCTGCACCTGCAAGCCGAAAACAATAGATCGTCAGCCACTCGAGCTGTTGCTTGTTGTCTCTGGAGGGCTTCCCGGCTTTTCAATGGCATTGCATGGTGTTTGCCAGGGCTGGTTGGAGTCCTAGGTGGTCTGCGCTCCCATTGCCCAACCATGCAGCGTGCATCCTTCATGCATGATAGTATTGTACTGCCAGGCAGGCAGCGCAGCATTAATGGTTGGTAGGGCAGGTTGATGAACGATTAGGTTACGCCGTAGAGTCCTCGTACGTTATGCCCATAGTAATACATCGTTTTTTTTTCGCGGGTGCAGGCGTGATCAGGTCACGATATGGCCACGTGCCTGAGGGACTATTTTAAATCAGATGGGCTCTTTGATTGCTGGTGATGCGTCTCTCGGTTTTCTTGTTTCCGGGTCTCAGGTCTGATGTATTCTTGTTCTCAGGAGCCTTTTGCCCCATTCCTGTTTAATGGCAGTGGTGATTGTCAGAAAAGAGTTCCGTACCTACACGGTAAATTTACTGAGCCCTGAGCCCTGAGTAGGTCCTATCCGGCGTCCAGACTCCAGCTCAAACCAAAGTCAATGTGCATCCCGAATCCCGTCAGTCCCCAACCACCTGCTTTGTTTGCTTCGGCGAAGAATTGGCGAGGCGAAGGAAGGGCGATGATTGGCCGGCCGTCACGGATGATGGGGTCCATGGCGTTGGAGCTGGATGGAGTAATGGAGCCGCAGTTTCTTCAGCCATGATGATTTACCTGATTTACTTGAGAAAGTACTGTTTGGAGAAAAACGCGTGATGAGACGCGAGCTTAGACCCGACGCGAGATATCACAAATCCAAATGGGAGGTGCTTCTTTCATCATGACGCGACCGTCGCGACTTGAGGGCCAATAATGACTGCCAATGGGCATTGCGGCGTGGCCATGGGCAGCGCGTGGGACGGAGGGTACGGATGGTACGAAGCACGCTTCAGGGTACGCTTATGCTTCCTTGAGGTTTGGATGTTTCGATGTTCCCTGATACAGAGGCTACGCCTGGAGTGCACAGGCCGGGGGAGAAGTGAAGCAATCACCAGTAGCAGAACGGAGACTGTACCAGCGTGGAAGTACTGGCCTACCAACCTACCATCTCCGGGACCTGGATGCCCTGTAATGAACGGCCCAGCTTCCCAGCTCAGCTCCTCCACCCAAATGATCGGGCCATGGACAGCCTATAACAGGCGACAGCTACCAGTGCTGCTACCAGTGAGTGGATAGCACTGACGGACGACAGGGGAAGAACCCCCTTTTTAGGCCTTAGTCAAACTGCAGTGCAGGCTGGAGCAAGCAGCAAGCAGCAAGCAGGTTTCGCAACACCAAGATCTCGTAGGTGTAGGGGAAGTGTTGAGTTTGGAGGTACCGGTACCAGTAGTCCACCGTAGTCCAGTCTAGTCTAATCTAGTCCTTCACTCTCTGTCCACTCCTCCTCCTCTTCCATCCCCACAACGAGGCTCATCATCCAGGAGGACATTCATCTCACCCTCTTCCTCTCTCTCTCTCCCTCTCTCTCCCTCTCTCTCTTTCCTTCAACTCCTCCTCTCCCTCACCGTCCGATCTCTGCCCTCCCAACCCCCGCTAGTCGCTTGTTGGTCGGCGTGAGAAGCGAAGCCTAAGGAAACCCTCGGCTCCGCTCAATTGATTCTCTCGACAAACTCGGTTTTCCGTCTCCACTCCAAAGCTTCGACACCGACCGTCGAAATTTGGAAACTTCTCCCCTTTTCTTCCCCCCTCCGCCTCCCCAGTCCCAGTCCGCAGTCTCTGCTCCCCTTGGAAAAAAAAAGTGCCGTCTTTTGATCAGACAAACTCTTCCAACCACCGCATCCTGCACCCATCCTTCAATCGCCAGACAAAGACCAGCAATTCCTGTTCTCTCTGTTCGTGAACTGCTTCGTTGTCTGCTCAGTCGACCGCCCCGTTGGGATTGCCTCGTTGGGACAGCACAAGACAGCTCCTCTCCCCACGCATCGACGCGAATTCCCATTTAAGATTACGCTGCTGCCAAGACCACCGCAGCCATAATCCATAATCCATACCTATCCGACATAAAAGGTACGCTGCCACCTCTTCTTCCTTAACACCCTCTTTGAGCCCACCCCAATTGACGAAGCTTTAATTCTTCACGCTTCGCTTCATTCGTTGTGGGCAAGATCATCGACCATTGCACTAGTTGGACTAACTTCTGGATCTCCCTGTCTGCAGCATTCTGGCATGCCAACGGTCGCGTCCATCGAGCATTCTCCCCGATCCTCAAGCCTTCTCTGACCTCTCGCCGAAACACGCACAGAACATCACCCTACTAATCCCAATCTCAATTCCAGCATCCAAGGCAGGAGACGTTCACTCGTTCATCCAGCCCCCGTGTCTCGTCCATTTCACCGCATTACTGCTCACCTCGAACCTCCAACCTCTCGAGTCTGGTAAAGGGATTGTGCCGTTTCCAGAACCGCTGGAGAGACAATTGACCGTTTCTGCAATCTCCCGTTGGTACGTATGAAGCCGCCGCCATTTCCCCACAACATTCTCTACCGGCGGCACTTTAACCTGCTTGCTCGCTCGCCCTTGAGCCGTTATCGAGACCGTTTGGGAGCCACTCCCTACCACCCACTAGACATTTCGCTAATCACTGTCTCATCTTTAGATCTTCAACATTCATAGTCGTCTTTGAACTTGCCTGTCACCACGATCACCGTTGGATCCTTCTGTTTTTATTTTTTCGCGAGGCCAGTTTCACCGCTAGCCATTGTCATTCTTTTTCTGCTTTGAATATAATTCCCCCACGCTCTCTAATATTATAATCTCTCGACACACCGGAGTATCGTTCACCTCGAACCATACAGCACATTCCTTCACAGCAATCCAGTGAACCCGAACAATATCGGTCGAAGCTCCTGGCGAACTAGACGTCCATTCCTTGCCATAACAAGAAAACCTCTTCAAACCTCACTTTTCACTCTCGACCTCACTCACTACTACCTCACTCAACATGGCGTACCAACAACCCGATGATACCTACTTTGTCGAGTCCGACTCTCAACCTCAGTTTAGCACCCGCGATTACCTCCGAATGTCGGGTCGACGGAGGCAACAAGATATGGCAAATGAGTTGTCGAGGCAGGCCTGTGAAACTTATATGGAAGACATCGTCAAACACATGCATCAGATGGAGGTCAATAACACTTGACCTTGTAACTTGATTCTATATACCGTGCTAACAACCCCCACAGGGCGAAACTCTTCCTGACGTTGCCTCGATTGACATCCAACAAGAGATTCAATGGTTCATGAGACCTTACTTAATCGATTTCCTAATTGAGGCTCACGCCGCTTTTCAACTTCTCCCCGAAACCCTTTTCCTCGCTGTCAACCTTCTGGACCGATACTGCTCACGACGAGTGGTATACAAGAGACACTACCAATTGGTTGGCTGTGCCGCTCTCCTCATTGCTGCCAAGTACGGAGATAAGAAGGATCGGGTCCCCATGATTAGAGAGCTGAAGTCAATGTGTTGTTCACTTTACGATGAGGAGATGTTTACCCAAATGGAATGGCACGTCCTGAACACCTTGGAATGGGTCATCGGACACCCCACCATCGATACATGGATGCAATTGTGCACCAAAGATGGAGCTGAGGACCTCGAGGTGGAATACATGGCTCTATACATTTCCGAGATTGCCATGTACCACAAGGATTTCGTCTCCAAGAAGCCTTCCGTGATGGCACTTGCATCACTAGCTTTGGCCAAAGGTATTCTCAACCGACATGACGACACCTTGGACTCGAACGATGCCGAGGTCAGTTTTGCGTTTGTTGAACTGTCACAGAAGCTCGATCGACCATCTCAAGTCCTCTTCCGCAAGCATGCTACACAACACACTTCTCGCGTCTCCATGACTGTCGAGGCATGGTTGCGCCAACAAGAACTCCGCCAGCAAGAGATGATGAACCGTAGCCGAAACCCTCCCACACCGCCTGCGGAAACTGTCGCCCAAAAGCACAGTGGCAATCAAACTTTGTTCCCCGGTACACCACAAAAGTCATATGGAAACAACATGGTCAACGGTTACATGACGCCTCCGATTACACCAGAAGGAGAGTACTTCACTGGTGGTAATGGAACCGAGATTAAAGGATACCAACCGGCACCCCGATGTCCCGTCACCCCAACTCCACAAATGAATCAACAATACCAGCCAAGCAATCTACATTACCAACCCTACCATACGGACATGGAAATGCAATGATTTAATCGCACACTTGGGTCGGCCGTTTCGATGACCTTTTCTCCCAAATATCAGAATACTCATATGTCCAATTTGTACCGAATGTGCGCCATCTGACACGATTCTTCAAAAAGAAAAACTTTTCGTATGTTGGCATAAGCGTTTCCTCAATTTTCGCATCTCGTTATCATCACAGCATTAGCGAATCGAGTCTTTTTTTTGTGCCTTGAAAGTTTAGCGATTTCCTCATTTCTTTTTCTAGTTTCCTTTCTGTCAACCTTTGACTTTTGTACCCTACTACAAGCTAGGACGAAAGAACATAACATTCGTGCACACAACATTTGGACGGACGAGAATTTCTTTTCAAACAAAAAAGTATATCGAGTGGACAGATGATGTCATGGCGGGCCCCGAATGGGTTTTCGGGCATGGGGATTAGATTGTTACACGCCTTCCGTCGAGGTTCAGAACTGGAACCAAAAAGATTACATAATCTGGATCGAGATGGGGAGTGGTGGAAAAGGGTATGGTGGGAAGGAGTGGTAGTGGAAATGGGATTTGGGGAGTTCACTTTGGGGTCTTTTAACGGGTGCAAGCCGAGAATAATAATGCCCTGGGGTGGGGGGATCTGGATGGATGGAAGGGGGAATTTGGTGGAGGAAGGACGAGATACCCGTTCTGCTTGTTGATTTGATCCTTTTTTTTTCATGCCGCAGAATGGATATATACAACTGGTTTTTTTTAGTTTTCTTCTTTCCTTAAAAAAAGGAGAACTGGAAAATAGTTAAAAAAAGGCATTTACAAGCAAATTCTTCTTCTTCTTTCTCTGTGTTGTTCGTTTTTGATGTGAATGAGTGGGAGTGATGTGCAGTGATGTACGTTTTCAAAGGGTTGATGTAATATTTACTCGTAGGTATAAGGCTTTCTCATTTTTGGGGAGTTCGGAAGTTACTATAACGAAAGGAAAGAAAAGGGGATATGTACTAGATGAACTATTGTTTGACATCTGATTTATTGGTTTATAACAATGTACTGACGTCTTTGAAACTAGGATTTTTGTAAGAGTAGGTGTAAGAGGGATTCACTTACGATGCTTGTTTGATGTATAGAGTGCTTTTGGTGGTACTGTCTAGGGAGGTGAGGGGGTGTTTATTTACTTTATTCACTTCTGCTTTCTTGGGAGGGTTGGGGGAAGGGGGGTGGGGGTGGGTATAATAGGTTTTGGTGGTTGGATGGGAGATGAGATGGGATGGGATAGTAGGGTGTTAATTAGTCTCGTTTTGGTTTGGTTTATAAGGGGTGTTTAGGTGTTTGGGTGAGAATGGGGGTATGGTATTAAGATAGAAGGGGGGAGGCGATAGGGATAGGGGTACGGAGGGGGGGTAGTGTGTAGGTGATAGGTGTCAGGAAGGGAGATAAGATGGGATGGGATGCAATGGGATAGTAGGGTGTTGATTAGTTTGGGTTTGGATCAGGAGGGGTATTTGGGTGGTTGGGTGGGAGTATGTGTGTACGGAGTGTGTACTTGCGTTTGCAGGATGTAGTCTACCGTAGTTTCTTGGTAGTGAACAATAATTTCAATAAATAGTGAATAATGAATAGCGAAAAATGGATAGTGAATAAATCAAAAACGTTCCATAGAGGAAAGAGGAGAGGTGGGTGAATTGGATTACGGAGCTTTACCTCTGGATTATTATGTTACGGAGTAGATGGATGTTCTATTTACCTTTGGATATTTGGGGGGTTGTTTATGAGGAGGTGTTTTGGGGTTGGATACTTTTTTGGAGATGTTGGTGTGTAGGGAGGAGGGGGTGGAGTAGGTAGGTGGTTGTAGATATATAGGGGTCAGGGTTGGGGGTATGTGGGATTCGAGTCCACTTTTTTAGGTGGTTTTGGTGGTGGTTTATTCACTTCCTTTGTAGAGCTGTTAGTACGTTTAGAAAGGAATATGAGGTGCCAATGGAGGAGAGGAGGAGGAGAGGAGACGTTTTAGGTTATGTGGGATAGGTAGATAACTTTTTCTTAAAGAGGGTGATGAAATTGCTAATCTCTTGTCTCACTACCAGATCTATCCGATATTAATATTGGTTTCGTGGTGGGATGTGAATGTTATTTAAGTACTTATTCACCTTGATTTTTTGATGGTGTCTACGTTTGAAGAGTTGTTTTATATCCATGTTCGTTATGTACGAGAGACGGGGGCATTTATATAGGTTCGAAGAGCCCCAGGGTATCACCACGCTCTTTCTATTCCTATTCCTTCGATCTTAGAAACAAAAGGCTGGCTATAAATGATGATGTGCAAATAGGAATGGTGACGGGCGAGAAAAAGAGAGCCCTAGGAATACTCTTCCTGCTCTCCGCAAGAAACATAAAATTATAAATGAATCATGCCTCCGCTACTAGCTCTTGTCAGTTATTTGTCCTCGCCCTAAATCATGATAAAGATCTCTCTTCTGCGACAATCCGTAGAACAAGACTACCAACCCACAAACACCTAGTAATCCTACATACCCCTACCCTCCACCCTACATTCCCATATCCTAATGCTGGTAAGACAGTTGGGCAAAACTCTGGACACATCTAAGGTGGAACAATACTACCCAAAAAGCCCCGTACAACGATAATACCTATACAAGTGATTCAAACAATTCAAACAATTCAAAACAAAACATCTCCATCAGCCTAGTTAATTACAACAACCAAGAAAATCATTTTAAAAATTCCAGCCCAACAGTCTCTTAGTAAACATCCCACGTTCCACCCAACCGCTTACAATACGAATCTTTCCCCCACCAATTCACCCCCTCGCTTAACCCAAACATCCCACACCTCCCAAAATCACATTCAAATACCCAAACAACACGTCCATCCATCACAAAACCTGATCCTATACACCTGGTCAGGTCAGTCTCGTGTCTAATGTGATTCCCAAAAGCGACAAGCACACAGAGCTGTTCCGTTTCCCACGATCGGAAAAAAATCCACTGCGATTTCTCTAGCCCCCTAAGCACCAGCCCCATCGCGCCTTGCTAGAGTTTTGCTATTTTTCTTTTTGGTCTTTTTTTGCGGGGGTTTGGGTTAGGATGTGTTGTAGTGGACTGCTATTGCTGGTTTGGATGAAGTGGATAAGTGTGTTTTGATAGGGGGTGTTTTATATCACGTGAGGATAAGGAGAAGAGCAATGGAAGTGTAAGGTAGGACGAGTTAGGGTGGTAAGACAGAAGTAACGGTGGGAGTAAGTAGCAAGTTTTCGGTCGATTTTAATCTAGAGTTGTATATTCTAGAACCTATACTTAGGTTCCTTCGATAAATAGAAGAGGCTTCTTGGTTTAGCTGGGGCTAGGGAGATTTAATTGGCCTCTTACTCCGTAGTCTCACGTGTCTTGCTTCTTATTTGATTTAGCGAGTGCTTGATCTATGCTATTATAACCCATAAATCGACGAATTGATTAACACTACTAGTGATTCGTTAATTGGTATGTATAGTAGAATAGACAGTATTAATCGATCACTTCTAGGATGCGAATTATTCGTTACTTAAATCAATAATTGAAGTTAATTTTTAATCAAAGCACACCCCTCGCCTAAGAAAGTTAATAAAGCAACCCAAAATAAGAAGCAATAAAGCATAACGCCTCGTAAGTCCTCTATACCTGAACAAGTAAAAAGTCAAGCTATTCCTAAATACGATTATTTCGCCTTTTCTTTACGTCCGGTACTAACTCCCCCTCCACCTTGTCCTTTTTTTCTTTTAGTGTTGTTTCCTATCTTTTAGCCATTTTTTGTCGTTTTTGTAATAATAGTTAGTACCCGTGTCTGTCTAGCTATTTCCACCTTATTATCGGTTAAAAATAAAGGCTCTTCCTCTACCTCTCCCCCGGCCTCTATACCCTCCACGTCTCTTCCCCCGACGTCACTTACTCTCCTCCCACGCTTCCGTCCTTTTCTCTGGTACTAGGTAATCAAGAAGGGGCAGGGAATACAGGCACTTATATAAATTTGTAAGCTGTTGTTGTGTTTACTTACCACATTCCTTTCCTCATTCCACGCCTACCACCCCACTCGTTCCATACTATAACAAGCTACAACAAAAGGTTATTATAGAATGGATTATCTTCTTTGTGACGTCCACAATAGTATTCCGCAAATTTGTTGTACGGCGGTTGTACTAGTCTAAATGGTTATACCAGCAAATTAGGGGTTACCATAGCACAGATCTATCTTTCTCTTGAAGCTTTTTCTAAACGATCTGATGGGAAATTTGGAATACCGTGAAATTTCACAGGCAAAGACGTTGGCAAGAGTCTTTATACAAGCTCTGCAGTCGTGTTTATTTGGCCAGATATAAATACCGTTATTTATTCTGAATTTTCTCAACTTACCACTGAGAAGTGAGTTCCTACTCAGCGATCGTCACGTCGAGAAGGTTTAATCCTCGCACTACTCGTTATCGTCTCAAACATCTCAGCCTGCTGGACAAGATCTGAAGGCTCCTCAGCACTCGTGAAAAGTACCCTCAAATCGCCCTCTAGATTCAAAACCATCCTCTCCATATTCCCCAAAAACTGCGACCACTGGCCCTCTTCACATAGAAATCCACACAAATCAATTCGATCAATAATCATCAAAATCGGACGTTAACCCCGAATCATCACTTCGAGAATCTCCCAAAGCTCGGGATCGGCCGCCTGGGCTAATACTCGTGTATTGAGCAAATCCGGTATCTCGAAAACGACCTTTGGGAAATATTCCATGATGCGGATTATGAGGAGACAGACGAGGGATCTTGCGGTTAATTGCTCGTTTCTGTAGACACCTGCGAAGACGCAAATGAGGGGTACTTCCCCTTTTTTGAAGGAGGCTTGGTATTCTGTTATCATTTGAGTTACCCAGGTTCCTTGGTTGCCGGCTATGACACTGAGCCAGAGTAGAGGCTTGTCGTCAACGGTTCTGGTCCAGAGGGATAGGTCGTCGATAACGCTCAACATTTACCATTTGGATCTTTGTGATATCTCTGGGTTTTGGGTTCGGGCAGCATGCAGCTCCGAGACCCATGGTTTTGAGGAGGGTAAAAGGAGGGTGGATAATGTGGAGAGTTCGCGGTAGGCGATTAACATGCGATCTCCTAGGCCATATTAGCTTCGGTATCGTGTGAAATTGTGGGTGACTATACTTTTGGCCTGCTCTTGATAGTTCATCCACAGTTTCTCAACTTGGTCGATTTTGGCAAACATTTCTTGGGATATGAGTTCCACTTCCTGACGCACAATTGCGAGAGCTATGGTCGTGTCAGGTATTTTGTGCTTGTTCCGAGACACACAGTGGCTATTTCATACTTCCGCTAATACCTTTGACTGATTTCAAAGTTTCATCTTGTTGGACTGCGCTTGCCAATGCCTGGAAATGGTGCAATCGAGCTGAACACTGCTTGATCCGTGTCATAAGGTCTCCAAGGGATTGCTCGTTGGCTTAAATAGGCCATCCACTGCCTTCTCTATAGAGTTCTCAGTGTAGCAGAGATAGCAAGTGAGCAATGAGACATACTCAAGTTATTCCGGCGGCAGTGCATTGTCGCTTTCGCCAAGAACTTGAGAACTGTTACATACCTACAAAAGTCAAAATCTAGGCCTTACAAATCATGGTGTGCTTACATTGAGATAACCTCTTCCTTGATTTGGCGGGTATTGTATAGTTCAGCGTATGCTTCAGCGATGGGCAGAACTTCCACAATTTCGACAAGAAATGCATCAAGCTTATCCTTCCGTTCCTTACTCCATGTAACTGCTTTGAATAGTAGTGCAAGACATCCGTACGGTATTGTAAATTTTGGATCTTGGGGTACCATGACAGCAATAATCTGAGTGATTTTGTCTGCAAACTCACAGAAAGTCTTCACCCGATTTAGAAGTTGTCTTCGGAAGCCGGGGTCCGAATTTTCAAGTTCCATTCTCTCCTGGTAGAACTTGACGAACCCTACTAGCTCTTTTGCATTGGTTGTACATTCCAATGCATACCTGCTGTCGAAATCATCTCCAACTAGTTCTAGCAAGTCTTTGCGCGCTTCCAGACACGTCTTTTTTGCTTCTAGACATATTCTGAGAGAGGTCAGAGGAGCTTGGTGTTATAGCTTGTCGGCGAAAATGTTCTTTGAGCTTCACTTACTGGCTATCATCCGTTTCCATATACCACTTCACAGCAGTAGTCGTTGCAAGCGGGTTCGAAATGGAAGTACTGTTTCGTCCAAGTATCATTGTTTCCACTTTGATGGTTGGTTATGATCTGAAGACTCGAAGTCTAGCTTGAAAGCCTCGGATTTTTTACTCGAGTAAGCAGCCATTTTTGGAACGAGGCTGTATGGTCGATATCGAGGTGTACATGTGCTCCGCCACCATCTGCAGCTGATATGCAACCTAGAGGCGGGTAATGCATCATGTAAGTTACCTTGAATATCTTCAGGCGTCGAATGTTCCTGTCAACTCTCATAGAGCAGCGAGGAAAATTTTCAAACAGGAAAGAGGCTACAGTATCTTTAGCCGCTTATCAATGTAAGGGATCAATATGCAAGTTATAATTAAGGCTAAAAAGGCGGAACTAACCATATTTTTGATGAGTAGTCATCATGGCCGCAACTCTTGAGAGCATTATACTTGGGAACGCAGCTGATTGCATATAGTAGTCCTCGCATATATGTTCGGGCTGAATGTCACAACATGACGGTCCTTGTCCTTGGGATAGTTGGGGGCGACAAAATCTGCTGTCCAGGCACCAGCACAGCCGCTTTGTTGCTGATATAAGGTACATCTCCCCCCAACAGCAGATTGCTATGCTCCCATTTAGCTTGAATCTGAGTTTCACAAATTACCCTCTTGTATGAGCATTGTTGTGTTTGCGAACTGCGTTACTCTGTGATCCATTTGGACGACCAATCAATACCATCTCACGCCTGGAGCAGTTGATGTTGAAGACGACCCCAATTGAACTTTAAAGAAGGTTTCATTGTCCATTTGAATTGAAACTCATCCAAAAAAGTCTCAGGCACGATCACCACCTGGCGTTCCTGCAAATCTTCGCCGTTCTGATGACGACAAAGAACTTTCACCAGGAAAAGAGAAAACATCCCTGAAACCTTTATCTCCAGAGGAATTGAAAACATTGGAGTCTACCGCTGATTACAACTTACGTAAGAAGATTGGTAAATGGTGGATTGGAGACCTTCCAACAGATACTGGTTGGATGAACCACGTTGAGTGGGAATACAGGATGAAGTCAGGTCGGGACTCAGAGAAATGGGTACTTACGATTGATTCATTCACAAGCTCAACTGGTCGGAAGGAGACCGGTATAGATATTATATCGCCCTATTTGAAAAAGGTGATTTGCGGCGTAGTCAAATTTGACCCTTCGCTAGACCGATTTTCGGATCGACTTTCGTAAGTCTCCTTCCAGTACATGTACAAATTCTTGAATCTAATCTGAGGCAGCATGCGTCATCCATTCCAACCCTTTTTCCACCACTGGAATGACATAGAGAAAGCCATAGGAAACGACATAGGTGTGCAAGAAGATGAAAAGGAGGCTTTCGAAATCTTGAAGTGGGTCTACGAAAAGTATTTGCCAGTAAAAGACCCACAAAGTACTCTCAAAAGTCAACATGAATCTATCCGACAGTACCTCGAATCAAGCGAGATCAACTACGAGAATTTGTGGGCAGTTTACGAACCTGGAACTCGGGTCCTTGTTCGTGACAAATTGGGGGAATGGCAGATGTTAATGGTGGTTTCTTGCGAATTGGACCTGGAGAATGAATCTAATCATTGGTCTAGACAACAGCGAGCACGCCCTAAGTGGAAGGTTCGTATGTGGCAGATGACCTGGAATAGCGCGAAAGAATGTTTTACAAGAATCTTGTGGCCCCGGGCAATACAACCATTCCTGGGCACGAGACAAATATCAAATCTCCAAGTCCTGCCACTAGAATATTACGAAGATAAGACCGGTAAACTCTCCAAAATGCAAGCTCAAAGCCAGCTCCAGCAGGCCCTCGAAAAACGTGGCAATAAGTGGGCTACTTTCATCAAACAAAACGACCCTACCTGTTTGTATTACGAGGGGCCAGCGGCGAAACTTCCTGACCCAGAGCCCTCTTCTTGGAACTCAGAGCCTCCACCGGCGACAGTCGTGAACGTGAGTTGCTTTAACCAAATACCACGAAATACACTGACAATATTTTTAGCTGAAAGGTAGAGTCGTTATGGACCAAGATAGAGACTTCAATATTGGCGATTTGCACGAATTCCCTCGCATACCGTCTCCTTATGGGCCCGTACAAGATATGGTCGCTTTTGAGAACGACGTTTTAGCGTCAGATAACAGACCGGAATATGCAGCTTCTGATGATAATCCTCGGAGCAAGCAGTTTCCTTGGGAAAGTTTCCAGGCGCAGCTGTGTCCAACAGCAATCTTAAGCTTTCACATGGAATCCAACGGATGGCATTTGGTCCCTGTTGAGCACCTTCAAAAAGTCCCCTGGCGTTCGGATATGTTAGAGAACCTTGTTATGTTGGAAGAAAAGAAAAGTCTGCTAGTAGATCTGCTTGAAAGCTATAAAACCAAAGAAAACGCGGGTATTCAAGATATCGTCAAAGGCAAAGGAGAGGTAAGCAGCAGACTGACTATAATTGAAGGCAATCTGATTGTGTGTCTAGGGTTTGGTAGTATTGTTACGCGGACCTCCTGGAGTAGGCAAAACATTGACAGCAGGTAGAACTCCCATTACTTGACCTGCTTAATACAAACAGGATAGTGCTGACTTTATGCAGAGGTTGTAGCAGAGAACCTTCATCGGCCTTTGCAATCAATAAGCCTGTCAACTTTACTTGACCAGCGAGGCGATTTTGAAACTTCCCTCATAGAAACGTTTCAGCAAGCTTCACGTCAAAAAGTCATCTTATTACTTGACGAAGTCGACGTCATCTTAGAGGAACGCGCTTATGAGGACGTGAGACGAAATAGTATTGTATCAAGTAAGTACAAGGACATAGTTGCAAGCATCTACTTACAATAGATCCAGTTTTTCTTAGAAGGATCGAATATTTCGACGGGATAGTCTTCTTGACAACTAATCGTCCTGGGACAATAGATGAAGCTTTCGAGTCCAGGGTCCATTTGTCTATCGAATACCCGAAACTCAACTCCGCATTAAGGACCAAACTTTGGCTTCAATTCCTCAAAAACCTTGAGCCTCAAGTGGATTTCAATATCGCAGATGTTATAGATAATCTCGATAAACTGAAGTTACACGGTCTCAATGGACGTCAGATTCGTAACGTGATTAACGTATCGGCTGCCATCGCGAGGGCAAGAACTGGCGGGGTGTTAGATGTTGAGGTTGTGAAGAGGTTAGCATGGGAAGCTAGTGGCCTTTTCGAAAGATTGTCCGGAAATTCTAACAAGTCGAAGAGTATAACTAGTAGAGGGGAGAGGGGTAGCTTTTATGGTGGAAGTGGCTATAGGTGATTCCAGATAACATTATCTGACTCATTTATTGTTTCAGAGCAATGATTTTGGGGACATATGGTCGCAAATACGTCTTTATTTACTGGTTTCATTCCTAACATATAGAGCTTCAGTCTCACCTGTCCTAATCTCTCTCAAATATCCTGTGATCAAGTAGCCTACCTGAGGTAGTGGCTCACGATGACGCTAACTCTTTTGAGGAATTTATTTCACAAATACAGTATAAGGGACCAGAAGAAATACACTACCCTCAAAAAAGAAGAAGAGCTAACTGCCTCATTATATAATACAAGGACAGTACTTATAATCTATCGGTAATGGACAACAGCATGCTAAGCGAGCCTCGAACCTGGTACAAGGAAGAGGGTAACGCACTTACCTACAGCTCAATGTATTCAAATAAGCTGGCGTGTGAGTCGTTAAGCTTATGATTGAAGCTAGATTGGGAGGCACACTCGCCGGGTTTCTGTATTTGGTGGTGGGGTTTTCCGTATTTTGGTGAGGTTTCGATAAGATGCATCAATTTATTATAAATATTTACTAGCAATTCCGAGGACGAGAAAGGAAATAGAGTGGTTGGTGGAGAGAAAATAATTTATTGATGCTCTTTTCTGTCATTTGGGGGCGGCGCAGCTGCAGGTGCTCGCCGGGGATTCCTCCTTTCGGACAGCCCTGCGATGAATGCAACACTATGATTGGGCGGTCTTACCCGGAAGAAGATTCTAACGATTTAGAGCCCGAAATTCAAAGCATTCGTCATGCTCCTTATCTGCAGGAAATCGGTACTTCAGATGTTTTACCCGGCTCAAGTTACACTGCGCTAAGAACGGAGAAACTTCTCTTAGGCAAGACCCCCTTTTTTCTTGACAGAGAACATCTACATTTACTTTACACTTTGCCTTGGAATTCCTCTTGTTTCTCAAAATCTCGCCATCCTATAGCTAGCTTTTACAATAAAGAGTCTACTTATACAGTAAGTTTCGCAATTCGAAAGTGGTAGAAAGGTGATGGGGCTAAGTTTGACATTAGGTCTCTACAACAACGACGCCATAATCCATGCACAATTGTTGGCTTTTGAATCAGCGACCTTGATTGTCTGCCTGAACAACAATCGTCACTATCAAAAGGTGGCTCTAATGCCAGCACACAATGAGTCAAGCATTCGGGATGATTTTGGATGGGTTCAATCCCCAGATGGCCGCGGCACTCTTGACATCATCTGGACTTGCCTTCTAGTCATCTTTACAGCTGTTTATACGGCAATACATCTCAATGTCCCAGCACCCACAGATACCTTCTTCAAAATAGCCATCCGTAAGTTTCGCTGGATACTTGGTGCCATTCTTGCCCCCGATGTTGTAACTGGCGTTGCTGGTTCTCAATGGCATAGCGCTCGTACATCTGTTTTTGCAATGCGTTCCCTCGGCTACAACTCCTGGACTATGGAACATGCGTTTTACGCAGATAGTGGAGGATTTCTGCTCCACGCTCCGGATATGCGTCCATTTCCTATCAACGCGGCCTCTGTCCATTTTCTAGTGAAGAGTAATTACCTCCCGCTGCCAAGTATTACGCGGGATGAAATATGGGATCGAAGCAAGTCCGACAAATTCGCTAAAGGTGCTGCGTTAATCCAAACTGGCTGGCTAGTCATCTCGTCGATTGCTCGCTTAGCAGAAGGTCTTCCCCTTTGTCAACTTGAGATATTTACCCTCGCGTTCGCTGTGTCGACTGTCATGACCTATTACTTCTGGCTTCACAAAGCTCAAAATTTGACAACTTCAACTGTTCTGGTCATGGAAAGTACTCTGGCGAAGGTATTAACAGACGCTGGCACAAGAGCTGATAGTCCCTGGCGAGACACTCCTATGGACTTTGTTGAAAAACCATTGACAAACTGGAAACGCAGAGATACATTGGAAAAGTTCGACCTTAATGAAAGACCTTTGCAAAGAATACCAGACGATGCACAACTACCCCATCAGAGTTGGGAATTGGCTATGACACTTCTTGTTGCTATGCCATCTATGCTACACTCTGCTCTTCACTTAGCGGGATGGAATGTTGAGTTTCCCACAACTGAGGAATCTTTACTTTGGAAAGCATCGGCCATCACTCTAACAGCAATTGGATGCATCTCATTTGCTGTAGTAGGAGTACTTAGACGACGCGGATATTGTTACGAGTACGTTTTGTGCTGGATATGGGTTAAACCCAACCCGCAGCAGGCGAGGTGGCACTATACTGCTCCAGAAATCTTTCTTACAATTTGTACCGTGTTGTTGGTGCTGGCGAGAGTTTGCCTGGTGTCGGTGGTCATTGCTAGTCTGCGATCAATGCCAAAAAGAGTGTTTGATACACCGAATTGGACGAATTATCTTCCTCATGTATAATAGAATCTTGAAATAGACATCAAAGAGAATCATAACAGAGTCTCATGCTTCTTGTATATGCTGACCTAGCTGTTTCTCATATAGAGTACAGAAAGCATACAGTGGAAAACTCCGATATTGGCCTTCATAGCACCCATTGAATCGCTTAGTGTTGACTTCTAAAGTGCCCGCTTCAACAGTGTGCAATGGGCAGGTAATGCTGGACCCTGGATGTGGAAGCCACTTGATTATGTGAGAGTTCGAATCGGTCCGAACTTCATCAGTCCCGTCACTCAATCGCGACCGGAAAGTCGAGATTCTCGAACTAATCCTACCTAGGTAGGTAAGTAGGTAGGTATCTGGTTGCGCAGAAGGCAAATGTCGGAGGTCGCTCCTTCCTTTGGTCCCTCTAGACCCCAACCAATTCAGGAGCATAAATCCTACCTAGGTACCTAGTTGAGGTAGAGGCTGTGGTTCACACGAGAGAAGGAGTGAGGTCGATCGAGCGGGTACCAGTATGAAGCTCGGGTCGAGTCTACGATCGTCTCTTAACTTGTAGTCGCTTCGCTCCTTCCCCTTTATCCCGACTTGGTTAACCTCCTCAATGTCTCAGAACTAGGGCCACTAGGACAGTGCCTGGATCTAGAAGGGAAAGTGCGAGTCTCGTCCCCTCAGAGTATAACCCCCCCNCCCCCCCCCCTCGCCTTCCCTCTCATAATATACTTTTTGACCATCGATAATGAATTGCGGGGGGTGAGAGTTAGAAATGGTAGTTAGGTATAGCACAACCACCAAACATTGCTTCCAGATCAGCTCCTGGATTCAAGTGGGTACAGGAGGAAGATGAGCTCACTCTACTTAATTCTTTGAACGCAATCATTTGTTTACCTCTAATCTACCTACCCAATAGTACATTCCTTACAAGGCCCTCAGGACCAAACCACAACCTTCAACGCATGCTACCTACCTAGCTGCTCTGCCCAGCATTCTGGTTGCAAAGATCATCAAAACACGACTTACAACACACTGCTTCGCGATAGCCCTGGGGGAGGAGTATTAAGCCTGGGTAAACAAATAATCAGCGGCTTGTTTTCATAACCGCCACCATTGCATTCTACTGTAACTCATACGAACAAAACAAACAAATATCAAGACCTGCATAAATACACAGAAATAGGACTCAGCCACATACATCTGTTCCTCACCCCATACTAGCAGAATCCTCGGTACTATCATACTGTAGAAGTCAAAACACGAAACAGCATGTCACCAGGCTCTACTCTACACCATAGCCAATCCCGTGTCTCCCTAAGAAGAGTACTCATGATTATGTTCCCCTCACCATTCATGTTCTTTCATATGTAATCGAACAAGCCTCTGCCGACTGTGCTCAGCCATTATTCCCAAGAAATAAGAAGATTATCCGAGTTTACGAGTACTAATATTGTTTTGGAGTAAATGTCCATTTCTTCGGGGTATAGTAGCTCTTCTTCATGCATAGAAACATATTGAAACTCCCCGTATCGGATGACAAAGAAGTATCTCGAGATATACTATATCATCCTATAGTAGTTTTCACGGATATTCAACTCTCAACCGGGCCTCTCCTGGGTGTGTGACTGGGTAGTTGGGTCTATCGAGGATAGTTCTACCCTCAATCCATCATCATTACAACTATCCTCAGCCTCCCTAACATATGTAAGATTTTACGATATCTCCTCACTCCCCCTATCCCCTTGAGAAAATTACCCATACACTTATCCCAATACACCATAAAACTCTAGGAATTACCTCACCTTTCTCTCATTCTTGTATTCATACCAACCCCACTCATCTCAATAAAAGGAAACAATGCCTAAGACTTTTGATTTCCGTCTCTCGCCCAACCTACAAGCTCGATAAATCGCTCTCCCTCCCCTCCAAACTCCCTTGAGATCAAGACCTATGTTTGTATCATATTAAAAACCATCCAAACCTCCTCTAAAAAAATGACAGTTTACTCTTGATACGCATAGTACACGTCCAGATATGTATAAACGAGGAGAACTCAGACCTTAGAGCGCGAAAATACTCTACATCTACCCCTATAGAATATTTCCACCAAACTTACAACTAGGAATACATGATAACCAAACAAAAACGAGTATTAGACCATAGTCTGCGGTTAGTTGATCGGGAACCTCAACTGTCTGAAGCGAGTCAAAGTATTGGATCGGTATAAAATTGGTCTTTTGATACCGGTAGGTAGGAAGGTCTAGCGAGATTCCCCCTTTACTACCTACCTACCTACCTACTTTACCTCGCTTGAACGCGAAAGCAGTTGATAGGATTCTATATACATCACTGCACCGAAACTCCTTTAACGTTCATTGGATCTGAGCGTCCCGTAGGGGGCCAGGTTTGAAAATAAAAGGATTCAGTAGCTCACCTTTTCAAAACTGGATATTGAGATGTATTCAGATGATTAATATAGGGAAATGATGTTATTAAATTCCCTCACTTTGATTCTGAAAGCGACAGAGAGATGTCCATTTCCCAAGAACCTCACATATTCCTTCGTATATTCTCATCCCATTACGAACGCCAGTAAGATTACACCCCGAAACCAATTACTCCCAACATCCAACGTAAGAAAACGCCCTAAGTACCCAAGTCTACTTAGCCAGTAAACGCTCGCTTATGTGCATCAACCAAACCATCCAAATCCATACATTCCCCTTAAGAACATCTGAGATCTAAGATGTCTCCCCTAACTTACTACCCTCCTTACTCCCCCCACTACCTCCAGAACGAAAACTACTCCGTGTCTCACTCAGACCCTTCAAACTACTCGCCCGACTCCTAACCCCCTTCCCCGTCTCCTTCCTCACATCCCTCAACACCTCCTCACCCAACGCCCCCAGCCGTCCAACCCTCACAGCAAGCGCCGTATTCTCCCTCTGCAGATCCCCTACCTGCGTCCTCAAGATCTCGCGTTCCTTCCTCAACATCCCCACCTCGCCCCTCAAATCCTCAAGCTCTTTCGCGACTCTCGTCTTCTCATCTCTCTCATCTCGCTTCTTGCGGCGCTCCTCAACTTTCCGCTCTTCCTTCGCTTTCTTCCGCTCCAACTTGTCGAGTTCTTTCTTTTCTTTTTCTTCGAGCTTGCGGAGTTCGCGTTGGTGACGCTCTTCGTGTTTGCGGATGGCTTCTTCTTCCTTGGAGGTGTCGGCAGAGGATTTGGATCTCTCGCGTGATTTGGCTTTTTCTAGTTTCTCGTCGAGTTTACGTTTCTTCTCTGCGAGTTTCGCAAGTTCTTTGGCTTTGATGGCTGTTGCTTTCGTATCTGGATCATCGGATTGGGTGGTTTGCAGGGAAGAAGTATCATGATCTCGATCTCTCTCCTCCGAGTCGGCACGTGAGAGTGCGGATGCAAAACTTCCAACAGAGGAGACACTGCTTAGTGTAGATGTCGAGTCCCTCCTCAATGAGGCTGGTGCTGTTGTTTCTTCTAGTTCACCTCTCAATGGCTCTTGCGATGGTTGGTGGATGTATGTCGGGAGGTGATCAGTGACCACTTGCGGGGCGTGAGAAGCGATGAAGCCTCCTGCCATACCAGCCGCACCGTTTATCATAGAATAGAGACCACTGCTGTATGCATTGCTATTATAGGCAACTTCAGCGTCCTTTTCCTCAAAAGGGCCATTTTGAACAGCTACAGGCCGAGGTGGGAGAGCGGGCAAGTATTCAGACTGTGGAGAGGACGATTCTTCGATACCAGCAAGATGGCCGTTCGTTTGGTAGTTATGCAAATCCCGTTCATGATCATGCTGTCGCTGCTTGTACTCTTTCTTTTCTGCTTTATCAGTTTCTGATTCCATCTCTTCATCGCTTTGTAAATCGTCGATGTCTTTGGAACATGCCCAGTCGAGAAATTTACTGGCATCTGACACGATTCCTCCTGGTGTTCCTCTTTCAATCATGAATCGTGGTACGCTTCCTCCAGGGTCACTCCTTGTAATCATGATCCATTCAATTGGGTTGCTCTCGATATCCTCTTCAGGAGGAACATCCATGCGCTCTCCCTTCGCCGTAGCACCCCTCGAATGGTCAAAGGAAATAGTATGTCCACGAGCTCGTCCAGAATCGCCGTGAGCAGCATCATCCTGTGGCCCCGTCTCATTCTCACCTCCCCCAAAATTCTGTGATGCGTTTTGAACAATAGCTTCCCTACTCAACAAAGAAGAGGATCGTTTCCTTGCATTAGAAAGTCCAGAGTTCAAAAAATTAGTAGTAGATGACGATTTCTTCTTGATAATTGGGATTTCCCGGATAAACTCCACTGATTCATATTGACCCCGTATAAAGCCATCTCGAGCAGGTGTATCGGGATGTATACACGGCCTTGAAATGACCATAAAATGTCTCGGACATTCACCATTCTCATCCTTTTGTAAAGCTTGATCGGAAGTGAGGAACATCGTAACGAAATCTCTCGGTGTGGTTGGTCCAGGGAATTGAGCAGATAGTAAATATACTGTTCATAGTCAGCATATCTCCATATCCAAAGCTCCGATCAAGTAACCTTCCACCTTTCCAACTCCCTCAACATTCTCAAACTCTACCCTCCTCTCTCCCCCAATGCCTCTAATATTACCCTCTCCCGGACCACCCTGTACCTTCATCGTCTCCGGAAACTCCCTCTCAAGTGCTCTCTTCCACTTCGAAAAGCCCAACCCCTCATGCACACTCCTCCTCGCAAACCACGCTCCCTTCCCATCTTTCCCACCACACTTATAAACACTCATCCCCAGCGGATTCACATTTGCCGCTACCTTGACGGATTTCCACTCCTTCTGCAGCGCCTCAACATTTGGAGGCGGCGGTGCAGAACGCGCTTGTGAGGGCAGGATTTCCGAGGCCGAAGATGCAGAGGAGGCACGCGAGCGGAGAGGTGACGAGTCGGTAGGCGCGGGGATGGGGACAGAGTCGACTATTAATTGACCTGCGGAGAAAGCTTCAGTGAGGAAGGGTTGGAGGTTTTCTTTGGGCGCGGAGGAGTATTCGAGGGGACCCAGGGTCTTGAGGGCTTCGTGGAGGGCTGCCATGATGCGGTGAAGAAAGGCGATCAAAGACTATGGTATGACATTCGCAGAGATTGCAGAGAAGGGGAAACGAATCGCGGAGGAAATATTGATTCGGAAACTGGTGGGCGAAATGTGCGGGTGATTGCTTAGAAAGCTGATATGTAGGCTCGTTTGTTTGTTGGTTAGTAAACAGGAAGAAGTTGCTGCTGGGTGTGCATTTGCGTTTGCTTGGAACAATGGACAGTCTGGCTATAGTCTATAGTGAATAATAAGAGTCGCACAAACAGAACAATGACGGCAATCTATTACATATATGAAGTAGGCTGTGGTAGTGAATTGCATTCGAATTCTACGACTACATCATCGTTGCATCGTGAGCTCTCACAAACAGGGCTCGCCCGCGTACTTTCACCCCATTGGCCGTCGACCATTCACCATGCACCATCCATCTGAGCGAATGCGATTGAAAATGCGGGGATTCTAATTTGGGATAGGGAGCATTGGCAATGACGTGTGAGCCGGGGAGCTTGGGGACTGTGGCGCCACGGATGCGGGCGGCTATTGTAGCCTCGGCTATTGCTACCCTGCACCAGCAGCACCAGGCAGTGTCCAGTCGAGCTAGTAAGATAGGTACAATAGCTATTCCATTCCAAGTGGATAAATTTACGCGAATATCTACAAATACTCGAGTACTGGAGAAATTACCCACAAGAAGATAAATACACGGAGAGTTGATGTCAATGATTGATCTAAGCTCAAATGAGAAACTTGATAAAACCCCAATGGATGCTACATAAAGAGGGACCAAGTAGAATGCGATGTGATGCGATGCGATGCAATACAATGCAGGCCCTCAACTGACCTATGAACAACTCCCCGACGCCTTGCTCAATCAATATATCCAGCTTCCCTTTGTACATCTTATACACACGCCTCAACCAAAGGCCAAATGTCTCCTACCCTCGAGCATCAACTCCTGCTCACTCTTGCAGCTGCCACAATATTCGTGATGCCATTCTCGCATATCCTCTAGCTTCTCGCTTCTCTCTCTCTCTTTCGCTGAAAGAACTTGCTGGGTGCTATCCCTTTTCAAGTTCTTTCCCTTCGTCGGCCGCGCGCGATTTTCTTGCAGGATAGTCTGGACCTGTTTGCATCTCGCGTTTTCGTCAAGAAGCCAATTCTCCCACTCAGCATTCATCATTTCTCTCTCGATGCTGTTCACCACACGCATCGCTACAACTAAATCATGTCGATATGACCCAAGATGTTGTCGAGTTCGGTGCAGACGACGAGCAGTGGCCTGAGTTGATGTGTCTGAGAAGAGCACCCCTGCTGTCTGATGCGAGGCATCTAGATCAGTCAAATTTGCAATCTCTCTAAAATGATCGAAGCTGTGATGATTAGCATAAAAACCGCTTTCCAACTTAGGGTATGTACTCACCATTGTCTTCCCGGTTGCTCCAAGAGGTTAGTCGGTGGTGACATCAATGCCTCATCGAGATCCTTCAGATAAATGGCCTTGCTCATCATATTATTTGGTCCTACCCCAATTCGGGTCATGAACTTGGCAGCGTTTCGCTCAGACCACCACACAGAGGTATCTCTCGACGTGAAGAATGCATTCGTCATAATGCTCAAAATGAGTGCTATGAGAATAATGCTGTTAGCCGTCGCAGCTTTCCATACAGAGCGGATGATAGCAAAGGTCCACATCATGACCGACGAAATAGCGCTTTCTCCGAATGAGCCAATTGTCTCAAACAACATATTGGTGAGCGTTCGCTGCTTGATCTGTGGCCGCTTCGAATTTGCACAATCCGTGGCGGAGAACAAGGAGACGCCTGTCTGTTGCCCAATGTGTCCAAAAATGTGGATGGCCTTTTTCGTTCTGCTCTGCGGTCCCAATTTTCGAACTTGCTCACTGACCACATCGATCAAATCAAGAGCATCGAGCGCAGAATCGTCAAGCGCTTGTCGTTCAACCAGGCCTTTCGAGAAAGTGGGGGCCTTGGACCAGTCAACCTTGGTGTATATCGCCAATTTACACTTTGATTTCGCAACGTGTGTGATGACTATCTTCGAGACCAGCATAAAGTCCTTGTGGTATGGCAGGTGCCATGGCGTTTTCAGATCCGAAACGACGTAGCAAATGTGATCATTCATGACATCAATCACTTGGTAATCAACCACGTTTGCCTGCCGGACTCGGTGAAATATATCAAAGTAATCGATCTGGAACTCACAGTCCCGACGCATGTGTCCCTTTTCCAATGGGACCCAAGGGCCTTGCGCAATACGTTGAGCCCGACGTTCATGGTATAGCAGTTGGAAAACTGCACTTTTATCGCCAAACATCACATGAAAGAGAGCCTTGGGGCTGATGTCGAAATTTCTCTCTACCACCTTTCTTTGCATGTCCTGGGGTTCGTACACTACTGGCTGTGACGGTAGCTGAAACTTTGTGATTTCTTTGGTAGCTCTCCCTGGATTAAGAGACCTTTCAACGTGAAGCGACGATCTCAGATCTCGATCCTTGCGGGTCCTTCCAGAAAGGGTACCATCATCAATAGGAGTATTCATGGAGACATCCTCCCAGCTTTCCATACTGGGGCTTCTAGTTGGGTCCTCGTTTTCCATTTTGATCAAAGCTGCCATTGTTTCCTCGAGGCCTAGCCGCTCTTCAGACTGAGAGATATCGACGAGATAATTGAGTCTGGATTGCAAAAGCCGAAGAGGTTCCAAAAACGTCTTTATAGTAATGCGAGTGAAACCCGCATTCGTAACATGTTCTCGAAGATGGAGGAATATGAAATCACAGTCCCGTCCCGGAGCAGCTGTAACTTCCAGTATACTATTCATGCCTACACCGGTAACCAAGACAAGACCAAGATGGTGACTGTAGAAGAAAAAGTTCTTTTGGGTGACATAAACTCTTCCGGGGAATTCTTGCTGCTCATTGGGATTCCAAGTTGCCCTAAAGACAAGTAGTAGCTTTTCTTCGCGTGGGACATTAGGAAAGAGCATTCGGAATTGAGCCTCCTGGGTTTTCAGCTCCAACGGATAATTACTTGGGAAAGATTCCGCTTTGGGGGCAGAGGCCGCCATACGTAACTTTGTCTCGGCATCAACACTAAGTGTTTTCCGATGCGACGGTCCTGGGGAACTCACCGATGGTGCTAATGGATCCATAGGCACACTAATGGACGACTGGATAATGTTAGATGATGCGGAGTCAGGCTTGCGATTTTCGTCGCCGGCGAATTTCGGGGATGGATCGAGTGGTCGTATGCCAGGGCTTGGGGGCACCGAAGAGTTGGAGTTTGTCGAACTTGGCACTTTGGCTTCATTCTTCTCAAGTCTATTGACATAACCCCAATTGGCGCTGCCCCAGACATTTGCCATCATACCGCTTGGCATACCTCCGGTCGCATCACTGCGGCCAATACCAACACCACGCTCCCCACCGACAATTATAGCAGATTTGCTCAAATTGGTGGGTGCAGGCGGATTAGCGAGAGTATTTGGTGCTAGTGTATTTGTGTGAACATCAAGATTCTGGGGCAGTATCAAGCTAGGCTTCGTGATGGCTGCCTGCGTGATCACCGGTGTGTAGACTGGTAGCATATTATGGCTAGCAGATATAAGGCTTGCAATACCACCTTCTGCCCTCGAAGAGCTCTCACTCTGACCAGTCGCTTTCCTCAGGTCGAGTTTTTGCATAATTCTAGCGGCATGATCACGACTGCTTTCGCCTTCTTCTCTGCTGGTCACTGAACGACGGGGTCCACCAACATCAAAGCTTTGCCTTGTTGCCAGATTTCCCATTTCAAAGCCTGGAACCGGGAGTGTGTTGACTTTGTCGATTTGTGGAAGTGAAGATATCTCATCGCTGCCATGAGAATCGTGGCCGTGTATAACCTTGATAGCAAATTCGGGGACTGACGGAGGAGTAATTGCAAATGCGGGATCTATCCCACCAGGATAAGAGTGATTGTCGTTGGCACTGGCTTGAAGCGCCTTGTTCTTGGCAATTTCAAAAGCTTCCAACCATTCCATGAGCTGGCCTTGCGTTTCTGCTTGGAGTAAGATCGCTTGATTCTTAGTCTTAACCTCGAAACAGAACCGTCTCTCTTCTTGAACCGCTGGCTTCACATTACATAATAAGACGCCTATCTTCTCACTTTCTTCAACTCCACCAGACTGCACACCTTGGACAAGCCACCCAAAGATACCGTTTTTGACATAGAACCAGCGACGGACCCAGGAAGTCCTGGCTGGTTTGCCAGATGTTATCCGAAGAAAAAGCCAACCTTGCTTTTCTGATCTTTCCCCTTCCTTTCGTTGAGCTGAAACGTTGACTGTGGATGGTCCCCTCGAACCGAGGAAGGCAACAGTTGAGAGGTTATAATCTTCCAATTCCCGTGAAGGTTTTGAGGTCTGGGAAGCTGTTTCTGCTATCTCTCGCCTGGCAATTTGCAGCTCTCGTCGAAATACGCCTTCGCCGTGCTCCATTTCTTTACTCCACCCTCGCACACGATCCATCTCGCCTGTCCATTTGGACAAATTCAAGCTAGTAACATCTCGGGAGCGTTTCATTTCTCGCCATTGATCTGCAGAGACCCGGACCAACAACTTGTCGATGGCATATCGAAGTTGCGGTGCCAGTATGCAGAAGTCTAATGACGCCTTGAGATATGCCTTCCTAGTTTCATGGACCTGAAAAGCATCCTCCCGCAGAGAGGAAGGCTCCTTCGTTTTCGACTGACCTACGTACCTTGCCAAAGTGTTATCGAACGTTTTTTGTGAAAGTTCGAGATATCTTCTAGCATCCTTGAAATTCCGGAGCCTGTTGAGAGTCAGTATCCTATTTGGAAATACCTGGCTAGCATTTTTGTCTTACTCTCCCGTCATGAAAGCCCGGATGGGTTCAACGACATTGGAGTCCATCCTCTTCATGCCAAATATGACCTGCGACCACCATTCTCTGTGTCCCTCCCCAAACCTCTTCATAGCCAGCAAAGTATAATCATGATCCAGCACAGCTTCGGAAACATTTGCAGGGGGCACGGAACGGAGGAGAAAGGCGTTGAAGGTCTCTTCGAGCGCTGCGACATCGTGGACGAGCTTCGAAATCGATCTTACATAGGCTTCGAGCCATTTCTCAATAATCTCGACCTGATCGGAAAAATGTACAGCGGTTGCTCGGAAGGTTGGGGAATCCAGAGCTGCCTCTTTCAGCCCAACTGGAATCAAGCTCAGTGGCTTTTCGGCTTGCTGCAGGCCAGACTGGGTGACGACTGGCTCAGCCATTGCAGAAGGATTTGCAGAGGTAGAGGGGGTTTTGCTAAGAAAATGGGATCATCACGATCACCTATCAAACAGGTACCGTGAGTAGCTTGAGCTAGTGTCGTGAGGCTATGATTCAAAACACAACGTCAGACTTGCATCAGCCCCGTTCCCCCTGTGCCTGAGGCTGACATCCGTCCACCTTGCCTTCCTTGCCTCGGCTCGCTCACTTTTCTCCTTTACCTAATTATCTCCTATTCTCTCTCGCTTCCGCACATCGGATCATGTCAGACCAGCAATCGCTCCCTGCCAGCAGTATGGCCGGTTTGGTTGCGCATCACCTCGGTTGAGCGAAGTACGCAGTACGGAGGTACTACGTACGCGTCTACACGTCCGTTGTTATCTACTGTACGGTTATCTAACCTTCAGTTGTCCACAAATCAGCGTACTTCGTAATTCGATCCACCTTATCTTGGTTGAATTTGGTTTCGGGGACACTGCCCTGCACCCCCATCTCCATCCTCATCCCCAGCTTCTCAATTGGAATCGCAATCCGTTGTCAGCCTTGTCTATAGGGCCAGCGTTAAGAAACGTGGGGATCTCTTTGATACTACGAGTCCGAGTCTCCGATCCAGACAACCTGGTGCAGTGGTGTCTCGCTTGAGGACTAGAAATGCTTCAGCCCCCCCCGGGTACTTGTAGGGTTGAATACACCTGGCTCGAACCTTACGCTATTATTTTCATACCTTTCTTCTCCTCTTTTGGTTTCCTCTCGTTGTTTCAATGGCAAAAGGGGGAGGGTCTCTTTTCGTTATACCTCGTTAGCATTATCGATGTCACTGATTGGCCTCGCGAAACGATCAGTCATTTAAAATCTGCAGGCATTATTACAAGCTCACCACGGGTCGCTCGGGTTGTTTTTCAAAGCCCTAATCATCGGTTGCGTCCTCCGGTGTAAGCATGCGTCTCCAAACCATAAACAACCCAGCATTATTAGCCGTCAGAACCACATGCAGGGCTCGATTTAAGTTCTCAACCTCTCCGGTGGCTGGTTTTCTGTCACCCTGCCAAGCGGCGGCGACGATGGTTGTATTCCGTTCCCTAGGGAAGTCTGCCCAAGGAAGTCACCTGCCCGTGAATCTAACGACATCGTGTGTACCCTTCTTACCACTCAACTTATGATAGAATTTCAATCCCCACCGAAACATTCTGACCAAATCGAGGTTCCCCAGACAAACAAGTACAAGGGTTTTTGCAAGGCATCTGGCCCAAATTGGACTGGAACAACCACTCATCCCTAAAGAGTTTTCGGCATCTCGTGCTATCCTGGGAGAAATGCCATTCGGTCATATTTGATAACGAAGCAGATCCAAGCGAGCAGGTCCATGGATGAAGACCGTATGGATGAGATGGTGGCCCCTGCAGTCTGTGGTAATCCCCCGAGCGATAGATTAATATAGTATATAAAGTTGGCACGAGATCCAGACTGGCTCTGCGTCAGTGTGACAGAAGCTTCCCCGCCATCAATTGGATTTATGAAGAAGATAAATTTGGTCACGGTGATGTTTTGGAGTTTTGATCTGGTATCACCTCTATTTTGATATGAAACCGCTCTATCTTGTTTTTGCAGAGTTCGAGATGGTCCTATTTCAGACGAACGCGTGGAAGAGGCGGGGCTGGTCTTGTTTGCCGGAGGAGTCCAGGATAGCCTCGCTTGGAACTGGCACTTTTCGACAGGCCTTTCAAGCCTTCCTCATGCGGCCTGGTTGAGAGAGCACAGTCAGGGGATTTGTTGTGGCGATCCCCCTCCTTGTCGCCTCAGCGTAACACAAGGAGATGGATGTGGTAGTGGGTCTGTGCAGTTACTTCGAAGTAACTGTTATTGAGATGCAACGATATTGCGAAATCACACCGCCGCAGGAATATAAGGCCAATGGTGGCCATGTTTTGAAGCAATTGCTGCATTGTGAGCCGGAAGACTGGTTCATTGCTGGTTCATTTGGGGAGTTTTTAGCCCAACCCGTGCCATAAAGTGCCCCAGATTGATGCTCGACCACTTGACCTTGGCCAACCCACATCCATTATGGTTGGCGGCGGGAGAATGCGATCACACAAACACATATCCCTACATGACGTGACTCCTCGGTACTCGAAGACTACCCGTCACAGAAGTAGAAAGTACTTTGTATAGTACGGACAGTAAGTACTTGGATAAGGGGATTGGAGTGAGTGCATTCCGTACACTCGCCGTAGTGGAGAACACTGTAGGCGAAGGTGGGCGCCCGACATGATAGCTACCTAGGTTAGGTTGGGTGCAGATATCGCTTGCACTTCGTATTTTGTACATACACCTACAGTACTCGCTGCGAGTATGTACTTCGTACTTGGTACAAAGTGTAATGGCCCAAATTGCAGCATGGGGCTTTTCCACTTCCACTTCCCTCTGAGCACTGACACTGGATGCTCCGCAGATGGGTCCGCAGCAGACGTTTCTTGCGTTTCCTTATGTGGACCTGGGGACCCAGTGTTCTGAGGTCGTGCTTGCCCCGTGCTACCGTTGTGGACCAGGAGCCGTAGCCGCTGCGAATTGGAAAGCCGTTTGGCTCCACCTACTTCTTAGTTCGAAGCTTTAATCTTTAGGAAGGTTTCTGGCGCGTTCTGGCTCCTGGCTTCTGGCTAAAACTCTCGTTTTTCGTTCAAGGTCGGGTACACCAAAACTCAACGGTTCGGCTCTCATAGCCTTTCTCTTTTTCATTTGCGCTACAATTCCGTCCTATCCACATCCACTTCTACCACCACCGTCACCTCCACCAAACGACACAGCCATCCCAACAGGAAGATCATCGTTCTGAGCACCGCGAAGGCAATCATTGGTGGCTGTCTTCTCGAGAAAGCAACCCTCTCACTTCGACAGCAGCATCACTAACAAACAACCTTCGCATCCCTCTGCCCGAGTTTTCTACCTCCAATATCGCTTTCGAGCCCCGCCAAAACGAAGGTCCACCGATCAGAACCGGTCAAAAGACTGCGCCTGCGGGCAATGCGCTAACAAACTAAGGAGTGGAAGCTTCAGCCATTGATTATCGGCAGACGATAAATCTCGAAGCTTCAACGAGCTACAGTGATTTTTCTTCTCCATACAGTAACCAAATTCTTCGCCGTCGTGGTCGCAAGGCCTAATTGGGAGTTGAATCACTATTTCAATGAGTGCGATGTCAAGTCAAGCGCCTCACAACTACCAAGCGCTCAATGCCCCAGACTTCCGGTCGTTGGGAGATTCCATCGCAGTAGCACCGCTGCAAACGGATTCTCTCGAGCTTGATTTCATGATGGATAATGGAAACCAATCGCAGAATACCTCGGTAGTCCATAAAACCCCACCACAGCTCGAGGGCATCAGCGGTCCACCGTTCACAGATTTCTCTTATAACTACCCGAATATGGCAGAAAACGGTTTGCATATCGACACGCAATTGGACCATGCTTCTGATCCGTATAGTCTTTCAGCCACTGTCTCTGATCATCAAAATTCAATAAGCTCTATCGGCCCCGACCATCGCACCTCGACTACGGTTCCTGCTGTGCCCCGTAAAGGCTTCGCGAGCGGCGCAGTAGGACAGGGAAACAGAAGCACAAGTGGATCGGACGGAGCGAGTCCATCGAGTAATCGTGCTGGTGGAGGTTTGGATAAACAATATGGGGATGATTTTGGGCTCAACAATGGAGGGGCAGTGGATGGTAGCGATATGGGAAGCAGGTCCAAAGAGGACAAGAATGACCCAAATCCACCCTGGAGCGAATTGAAAACCAAAGCCGGAAAAGAACGAAAAAGATTGCCGTTGGCCTGCATAGCCTGCAGGAGGAAGAAAATCCGATGCTCGGGCGAGAAACCTGCATGCAAACATTGCTTGCGGTCGCGAATAGTATGCGTGTATAAAGTCACTGCCCGGAAGGCTGCGCCTAGAACTGATTATATGGCAATGCTCGACAAGAGATTAAAGAGAATGGAAGAGCGGATCATCAAGATTGTACCGAAAGAAGAACAAGACGCTTCTGCGATGTCAGTCACAAGAGCTGCTGTGAAACCCGCCATTCCTGGGACAATTCCGGCTCGAGGCTCGTCAAAAAAGCGCGCTGCGGATGATGCGTTCGGTCCAGAACTGGAAAACTGGTCGAAGACTACGACTGCACAGCTGGAAACCCGACCAACTTCGCTTATGATTCAGGAGGCGGAGGAAAGCAAGCTCCTCTCAGAAGGCGCCGAAGCTTTGCCATCTAAAGAAATCCAAGAACATTTGGCAGAAGTATTTTTCGAGAACATTTATGGCCAAGCATATCATCTGCTTCACAAGCCAAGCTTTATGAGGAAACTAAAGTACATAACATATCCTATGATTAAGTCTGACAAGTACTGACGATGAGAATAGAAATGGCACGGTTCCTCCTGTCCTCACACTCGCTGTTTGTGCAATTTCCGCACGATTCTCGACACACCCAAAACTTAATGGGTCACCAAACTTTTTAAGGGGTGAAGAATGGGCATCCGAAGCTCGCGATATCGTCATGAGACGCTACGAGTGGCCAAACATAACGATATTAACCTGCTTGCTGATCCTTGGTTTACATGAATTTGGGACCTGTCAAGGCGGAAGGAGTTGGTCTCTAGGTGGAATGGCCATCCGGATGGCTTATGCACTTCAGTTACATCGGGATCTCGATTACGATCCTCTCAAACGCAATGGTACCGCAGAGCTAAGTTTCATCGATCGAGAAATAAGACGAAGAGTAATGTGGGCCTGTTTTCTCATGGACAGATTCAACTCGTCTGGCACTGACAGACCAAGTTTCATCAAAGAAGACACAATCAAAGTTCAGCTGCCAATCAAGGAGAAACTCTTTCAACTGGATATGCCAGGACCAACGGAAGATCTACGTGGAAACGTGCCACATCCTGTCTCACCAGGCTCAGGCCAGCTATCAGATGCGAGAGAAAATATGGGTGTAGCAGCTTACATGACCCGCTCGATTGCATTATGGGGTCGAATCATCAATTATCTAAACTTGGGTGGCAATGAACAAGATCCACATCCCATGTGGCACCCTGAATCCATTTACACCGATTTAATCAGGCAAACGGAAGAGTTCGCTCCCGCACTTCCCGAATGTCTGATGTACACAGCAGAGAACTTGCATACGCACGAAACCGAGGGATTGGCTAGTCAATACTTGTTCCTCCACATATCTTTACAGCAATGTATACTCTTTATGAATCGATTCGCCGTTCCCGGTCATTCTGGAGCTCGACCACCTAATGACGTTCCCAAGGAGTTCGTTACGAAAGCTGGATCAAAAGCCTTCGAGGCTGCGAATAGAATCTCGGAAATTTTACGAGACGCTGAATCATATTTTGTCACGGCTCCTTTCGCAGGATACTGTGCGTTCTTGTCAAGTACGGTTCACATCTTCGGGGTTTTCTCCAAGAATTCAACCATGGAGGCAACGTCCAAGAAGAACCTAGCCACGAACGTAAAGTATCTCTCAAAGATGAAGAAATACTGGGGTATGTTTCATTTCGTGTCCGAAAATTTAAAGGAACAGTTCAAGATGTGTGCGGACGCAGCACATGGCACTGCAAACAGTAATACAGCGCAATCATCCAATATTTTTCAGTATGGAGATTGGTTCGATCGATATCCTCACGGAGTCTCTCGATCTGATTTTGAAGATCCACTCGTCGGCATCAAGAAAGAAAAGGGTGACGACGCTGTGCTGGAGCAAAAGTCGGACTACCATACAGTTGAAGAGTTCTTCCACACCCTCTCTCCCCTTCAGCCTCAAGATCGCGAACAAGCGAAGGTCCCGAAACGGAAAGTCAAAAAGGTACAGACGAGCCGTCCAGAAAGGCCACCAGAACGACATCCTGACCGACTTAATACGAACATCCCAAATATGAATGCCGCTACTTCAATGCACATGCATAACCCACAGATGGCCCCGGGTTATAATCAAATAAGCCCAACAACTCCAAATATGTACAATCAATCATCCCATTTCGGATATGATGTAATGTTACCCCCTCACCAACAAGGAATCCTACCACAATTAGATCGCCAACTCGTTTTCGGTGCTTACGCGGGCATGGACCCTACCTCACTCGGTTCTCAGCATCTGATGGGAGGTTCAAATTGGGACATGCAGATGACGGGCATGACGGGATTCGTTACTGAGCCAAGTAGCGCGTGGTTTATGCCTTTCAATATGGAGCCGCCTGAGATAGGACAAGAAGTCGATCTTTTCAATGCTGGTCCTCAATATGGGATGGGCGGGATGCATATCAACGGCCATGGGAATGGAAATGGAAATATGAGCGGTCATGGTAGGCATTGAGCGTTTTGTAGGTTTATTGTATCTTAATTGGGATCAAGCGAGCTATGGCGCATTTGGAGTATTCTGGAGAACTAGTCGGCCATGAGCGGGCTGGATTGGATGGGGGGTTCCATGTATATATATATACTATGCGATTTGGATGGGGATAGGCTGTACTTATGTGGGGATTAAAGTATATTAATAGTGTGATCATCGAGGATATGTATACTCGAGTATCTATTTTCCTTTGTAATTAGAGTTTTAGTTTATCTTTTTTTATTTGGTGGGATACCGGGGTGGGAATTTAAGCACGATGTGCATGTTTGATACCCAATGAAGTCTGGAATGAGGTCACAAGCGTTGAAGCGAGGATTTTCAGGAGGTGAGGTAACGTAAGCGAGGTGGTTATAGGGGAATGGAAATGGTAGGTGAATTGTAAATTGTAAATTGAATTAAGTGAGGAGGGGGGGTGAAGTTCTAGTAAATTTGTTTTTCACCCTCTAGCTTCCCCCAGGCAACCTGTCAATGATAGGGCAACTTTCAGAGGCCCTTTTCTTTTGATAAGTCGTAGTGAGATAGTAGTTTGAAAGCTCGCCGGGATTAAGATTTTCCCCTAGGTACAGTACTTTTGCTTCTCGTTTCTTTTGTTAATCTTGTTGGTATGGTATGACGATTGGTTCGTAAGGATTTGAAATTGGAATCGTCCTCGTTTGTGAGATGGGATCTTGGTTGTGCTTTGATGGGGATTTTGTTGTGTCTCCGTTTTGCTTGATTGTCCACTGAGCAGCGAGCTGTTTTGGGGCTTCGTTTTTAGAGCTGATTAAACTGGAAATGTAGCAAAGGGAGAGCGAAGGAGCCAGTAAAATGAGTTCCTAGTATGTGATACTGGGTATCTGCTTTTGATCTGGTAGCATGACGGTTACACATATAGTCATGTCCAACTCCTACTACATGAAACCTTAGACCCCACCAAAAACACCCATTTTACCTACTTTAGAACAATATATATTTAATTCCTCCTTCAATAGTTTTCTCAATAACTAAGAACATCAACTAATAGTAACCCAATCTAACTTAAAATAGAATGGGCTTTACCAAAACGTAGAAAAAACTCAATAGATTTAATACATGTAGGGTAGTTATATTTATAAGCGAATTTAGGGTCATTTTAGGTGTAAAAAGTGCACTTTGCGATTTCACTTAACTTCCCTGCCCAATAACTTTATAACTGTAAATATACTAGACAAACTATGTAGATGAAGTTAATCGCAATTATCTAGTTCTTAACCATACCAACGTATAAAAATCTAAACAGTGGTGGAGTGGAAATAACGTGAAGTGCTTACCCTGAGTTTGGGTGGTGTTCTAGGGTTCATGCAGTAGGAGTTGGATAGGACTGTAACTGGACAGAAAAGATGCTTGTTTTTGAAGCATCATCCTAGTAGCTTTGTGGTCAGGGGAATTTTGCGAGTCTTTTGCCATGCTTGGCCAATAGTCGTTTTTGGGGTTCGCAACTGTTTGACCGAAATGTTTTTACGGAGTACTTTGTCTGCAACTGCATGGAAATTATAAGTATTTAATCGTCAGTGAGGTGGTATAAATGTAATCCAATTCAATATTCACTAAGTTCTATGTGAATAACTACCACTTTAGAACAGTGAATCTCAGCTAACCGTAAACAGCCTTTATGTTTCTAGATAGGAATAGAAAGGGCGTTGTGACACCCTAGGGCTCTCCAACTTCTAGGTGCTGGTCCCCTATATGTGCCCCCTTCACCCGTGACCAGGACGAAAGTGGATATAAAAGTGTTTGAATCTTTGATAAAGGCCTACGGAAAATATAAACTCTACAAATGTTAATAGCACTATTGACTACGCCATGTCACCTCCAGAGGAGATGCCCCAAATAGTCAAGGTGGGGTGTATTGAAACTACCAGCTGCTAGTACAAGACACTCTTGAGCAAAATAGCAAGTGGCGAAGTATGGCTTACTAATACGTTAGTGTATTGGTATAAGAAATCAAAACTATACAACTGAGATACAGAGTTACTTGGTTGCTAAAGTACAACACTTATCTACACAAGTACCACTTTTCACTTTACTAACATATATGCTATATCTTTTTTGATGTGAATACTAAACTCATTTTGTAACATTTGCGTTCCAAATCAGTAGAGCGGAGTAGTGTAGTGATACCTACTCTGCTCTACTGGCTACTTACTTGAGTATAGTAGAGCGCTACTTGTGGAGTGCGGAGAAAGTCAGCCCGAGACTTGGTAGTGCGCCTAAGTGTTGTTTCCACCGGTCCGACTATTTAGAGAATACTTATTAGCGTAGCATATATGCCTGAGTATAGCTAACCTAACTACTTATGAGTTGAGTATTTTGTTCGACCGCTGTTTCAAGCAGAATTTTCTCATGTTGGACCAGGATACTGGATCTCGTCAGACATTACCTCGACGATGAACAAAGACGATATTAACGGACTGATTATATCTTAAAAGTCCGAAATAAAGACACATGACTTTCTACTCGGTTCCTACTGACGACAACGGGGACAGGATCAGTTAGGTTTGTTCCACTCAGTTAACTTTTGCTTGTAACACTTTACTGAAATAACCTAGGCTTAGTCTCAATATTGCCCATCGTGTTTATCTTATGAAGAAACAATAAATCCCATGGTCGAAAGTCTGGCTGTAGCCCGTGTCCTACAATTAGGCCAAAAGAGAGAGGATGTCAGAGTAGTGCGATATGTTGTGAACGGGGCAGTTGAACTGATACGTACCGATCAACGTAACTCATAGAGGGCTTCTCTCTGACTTGAGCTTGCAGTATGCGGTCACAGCAAACACCCAATCAAACTGAATTTAACGAAGTTCGGTTAGAGGCAAGAGTCAATTTGATCCAGCAAACTCTGCGAAAAGTTTCGCGAAAGGTAAAAAGATAATCTGACATGTTTTCGTTTCAGAAAGGAAAATTTCTGGTTAAAAAGAAGCTTGAGTTCGAAGTTAAGACGTGGATTCGACGTACCACGGTACCGGCGGAACGATATCGGACTTGAGTAACATTGGCGATGTTTTCCAAAGTCTTTCCGAGGTAGTGATGACAATGTTGAAAATCCCAAAAACCAATTCTTTGGACAGAGTCCATTGGATTTATACCTAGGCTTTGAAGTATTAATGCTTCCCACTTGATTATCTCCAATATCGAAATCTATCTCCAATGAAAAGTGAGATATCCAGGGGTTCACCGAGTCACCCGTATTTGTGGATAAGGTTTGAATTCTTATTCAGGAAGGTTGATAGCCCATCTCCATCGCGCATATCAAATCTACCCATTGTGCCGAAATTTATTGCAACATTTTGGAAAAAACTTGCTTACGAACCAGATACCATTCCACAAGTTTTAGGGGACCAATTTGACAGCTTCTTCCACAAGAATAAATAAAAATTTGTGCGAGGTTCCTGCAGCAAGGGGGAGCTTTCCCCGCAGAGCTTTGACCTTTTCATCCATGCACGGACTAGGTACAGCACAATAGCACATGCATATCATTTCCACCTTTCACTGAATCCTGTTCATGATCCATCCACCTACAGTAGGGATTTGAGGGATTTTTATTCTCAGCAATCGCCTTCTCAGCAACGGCAGCGGCTCGTAATGTGAGGCATTTTGGCCTCCTCCAATTTGATTGAGCAATCAGATAGAGTGCTCGGTGTTGGTTCTTTGTTGGTAGTTCTTATCTAGGGCTGGGTCGTCGCGAGAATACCATGTGGCGTAAACCCTCATCGCTCTCGGGCATGCGACCGAGACTTGGTACTGTAGAGCATGACGATTTGAAGCTCGGCGCCCCCAAAAATTGGGTTTCTGTGAATGAGGAGGTTCCCCATTCACTTTGTTGAGGCAGTGCAAGCAGCTCTTCGGGATGGGAGACGATAAGTACGAAGTAGGTGTCAGCTCCTTTGTTTCCCTTATTGTCCCTCGGCCACCACGCCCTCTCATTCCATAACTCGTGTGCATCAAGCTTTATTGGCATATTGCTTGTTTCTCATCACAATCATTCTCCAAAATTGTGATGGCAACCTCAATTGATTCTCTCAATATCCGAGATGAAGACGAAATCCGTTCGGTAAACTCCCACACCCGCGCGGATTCTCCTGTTCGTAGGGACGCTTCAATTTTGGAGAAAGACAATACTCGGGATATCGAAGAGCAGGCAATTCAGATAGCGAATGCGGACTTGAACAGCAGAAACAAGCAGGTATGGAATTCCTATGCTAGGTTCGTTGGGCTTGTCTCTAATGCTGGAAAGACTTATACAGGATGGATGCTATTATGGCTTTCCTATCAATCAACCGGTGTCATATACGGTGACATTGGCACATCCCCGCTATACGTTTACTCCTCAACCTTCACTAGTCAACCTTCATACGATGATTTAGTTGGTGCACTTTCGATCATCATATGGACTCTCACAATAATGGTTTCAATCAAATACTCGTTTATTGTTTTGGCTGCGGATGATGATGGTAAGCTTTGTCAGCTGCATTAGGTGATTTCCGATAATGTTAATAAATCTTCATAGGTGAGGGAGGAACGTTTGCACTTTACAGCTTACTCGCGAGATATGCCAATATTGTTCGGAAAGATCCGAACATAGCTGGAACTATAAGGATGGAGCGACATTCCTCGGGGGACTTGAAGCCGGTAAATAAAGGTGTCAGAAGCTTCATTGAGAATTCTCCATTGTCACGAACGATGTTGAAGTTCCTTGGTGTACTAGGAGTTTCTATGGTTATGTCGTAAGTTCTACAGTAAACGGTATAAGCTTGTGTAATTCTAACATTCTCTAGGGATGGAGTTCTTACACCCGCACGTAAGCAAGCTCATCCTATCAGAGCCCAATTCGAAATATCAGTTCACAGCAAAGCATATTAAATGCTCTCCAAATCCGATTAAATCTAACTTGCTGATAATAGAATCGGTTTTGGGGGCAATCCAAGGTCTCAGAGTAGCGCGGCCAGACATCTCGACGTGTACGTTTTATGTTCTACTATCATTTGAAAAGCGGACATACTAACAAGCTTTATTTAAGCTACCATTGTTGGTGTAACCTGCACAATTCTTGTCCTCCTATTTGCGATCCAGCCATTCGGAACAACCAGAATTGCTTCTTCATTCGCGCCAATTATCATAGTGTGGCTTCTTTTCAACATGTGTTGCGGAATATACAACCTCTCAATGTTTGACCATACCGTTCTGAAAGCATTCAGTCCTCATTTCGCCATCAATTATTTTGTACGAAATAAAGAAGAGGGTTGGAGATCGCTCGGTGGCTTGTTGCTAGCTTTCACCGGAGTCGAAGCGCTATTCGCAGATCTCGGTGCCTTTAGCCAGAGGGCGGTGCAAATATCCTGGCTTGGTTTCGCTTTCCCTTGTCTGCTATTAGGATATAGCGGACAAGCTGCTTTCATATCTCAGGTTTGACTACCACTCTTCAACTTTAGGAAAACTACTAATCAGTTTCCTTAGGATCCAACAGGAGAAGCATACACCAACCCATTCTTCAACTCCGTGCCACCAGGATCGTTTTATTTCAGTCTGGTCATTGCAGTATTGGCAGCTGTGGTTGCTAGTCAAGCTATGATCACGGCTTGCTTTCAACTTCTCGCTCAGGTCATGAGAATGTCCTACTTTCCCCACATCAAGACCGTTCATACCTCCAGATTATTTCATGGTCAAATTGTGAGTACGACCTGGCTAAAGTTCCATCTTCCTGCTAATAGAAGCTAGTACATGCCATTTGCCAACTGGCTGCTGATGATCGGAACGGTCATTGTAACTGCAGTGTACTATAATACCACCCGACTGGGTAATGCGTACGGCGTCTGCGTCATATTCGTAACATTTGTCACTACAGTCATGGTTTCACTCGTTGCGCTCATCATCTGGCGCTTTAATTATCTCGTCGTATTTATATTCTTCCTCATTTTCGGTTGCTTGGACGGGGTTTACCTTTCTTCGGCACTTACAAAAGTCCCAACGGGTGCATGGTTTACGCTTATGCTTTCCGCAATTCTCTCAACCATTTTTGTATTATGGCGATTTGGAAAAGAAAACCAATGGACTGCCGAAAAAGAAGATCGATTCGGAATGTCGCATCTTCTCACAACCTCCAAAGACGGGGAAACGAAATTGACAGAGGCTTTTGGTGGCATGACAGTTTCAAAAGTCAATGGACTCGGAATATTCTTCGATAAAATCGGCGACAAAGTTCCAGTCGTCTTCACTCAATTTGTGCGAAAGTTCTGCGCTCGTCCCGAGATCATGGTCTTCTTCCACATGCGTCCTCTCTCTGAGCCTAGTATTCCTGAAGCAGAAAGATACATCGTCCAACGAACCAGTATCCCCTTCTGCTATCGCTTGACTATTAGGCATGGCTATACCGATGACATTGTCACACCAGACCTCGCACGTCTCGTCATAGAACAGCTGGTTCTTCATATCACGAGCGACACTATTGCATCAGCTGCCAACTCTTACAACTCGAGTGTAAAAGCTGTGATTGTCAATCACAGCCCGGCAATACAACAGGAGTTGTATACCTTGACCAAGGCTGCGCAGACTCAAATTGTGTATGTGATGGGTAAGGAGCAGATGAAGATTAAGCAAGGAACCAACATTTTCCGACGGGCTGCTCTGTGGGCTTTCTTGTGGATCCGGGAGAATAGTAGAACGAAGATGGCGGATATGAATATTCCGTTCGACCAGATGGTTGAGGTTGGATTTGTCAAGGAGATTTGAGAAGATTTTGAGGCAGATGGGAGGGGAAAGAATGGATTAGGAAGCTAGGAATTTGGTGGAAGAGATACCCCTGTGTATAGTTGGGCAAACAGTTACTACACTATGCTCTTGGGCGTGTCTTATATAAAAGTATGATAGTTGTTTTTGGAAGGGAAAAAAAATGTTTACGGTTTTGTTTGACGTTTCATGACAGCGGACAACAAGGATTATTGTCTCTTCTGTTTATAGTCGGCTATTTAGAGCACTCTGTATTTCAAAAGAATGTGTACTCCAATCATAAGTTGGAATTCAGTCTGGCGCACCTCATGATCCCAGAAGTCATACGATGAAGTCGCATCTCGCTTAGCTATTGAACGCCTTAGCAATCGTTGAAAGATTACAAGTGGTTAGAAATTAGAGCAGGAAGAAAACAATTTTTACAATGGAATAATGGAATTACTCAAATCAAAACGGATTGGACGGTGTTAACTTACACAGGGCACATTTAAGTAGCTAACCAAGCTAATATAAGTTATTCTATTCTCTTTCACACATAAAAGATTGAAGCCTTATTCAAGATCTAAAATTTACAAATGTGAAAGGAAATGCTTAACTGTCTTCTCTCTGTAAATAGCATTCTATAGAAATACGTTCATAAGCTGTGCTGCTCTAAAACCACATCAAACTTTTATAGGTTGTTACCTATTATCGTTGTGTAGTTCTCAAAAACATCCTCATAGTCTCAGAGAAACCAAAAAAACAATAAACAAAAGCAAAAGCTAAAATTAGAACGAACCTGAATGCAACAAAAGCAAAAGGAAAATCATCTGCCTCCTGCCTGAATCGAACAAGCGATCTTTGCATATCTCGTTAGTACAAGTGCAACGCAGTACCACTGTGCCAAGGAGGCGTGTTGTTTTGATGTGATTTGTCGATCGATTTCTTATTGCAAACTATTGTCATTTTTGCAAAACTTTGTGGGGGAGTGGGGTATCTAGTATGATGATATTTTCGGCATATTGTGTAAGGTCGGTCCGAGGAATGCCGAAAAGAGGCCGAGCGTATCGGGTCGGAAATGAATTGACTGGGCGAATTTCACCCCTTTTAATGATACAAAATTGAATAATTCACAACAGTGAAATCAAGACAAGACTTCAAACTTCATAGAAACACTTAATAAAACTGGATTTATATTCCCAAACTTCTTTCATGTTTAGATGTTGAATCGTTGTGCAAGACTGTATATGGATAAAAATAGCCTGGAGCCCCAAAGCGCGTCTTCCTTTTTTTAGCTGACGCATCAATAGAATTTGAGCACAATCCAAACCTGAACGGAATCGCTTTCTTCCATACATAGGCAGCTTTCTTGTTGGTATCTATCTGCTTATTCTCTTGCAAAACGTCAAACCTCCTGTAGGTATCCTGGCCAAATTCTAGCTGGCATTGATCTCTTCAGAGGAGAAAAGTCAATTAAATGCCGTCGACTTCCGCCGGTTGCGACGATGTTGTCGCCAATTGTCTGGTGATTGAGCCGAGTGAGATCAAACCGAGATTAATGAGACAACTCGAAATATCTACTAAGACACCTAATATTTTTGGTGTCAACGCCAGTTTAAATGAAAGTCCCAATCCTGGTTTACATCTCACAGGCTTTGGTATGATTGGATTCCCATTATATGAGCATGATATTGAACGTATCAAGAGTGCTGCTGTTCCGAATCCCCAGAATGAGAGGACGCCAGGAGTATGGGAGGTACCTGCTAGGTTGTGGCAGACTGAAAACCCCAAGCGGGACTCTTTTATCAAGTCTGCCAGGTTCCAACTCACCACACGCCTGGGCGTTGACAAAGAAGATATGATATGGGTTAATGCAGAAAAGGCCAGCCTGATAGTATATTTGCCAGGCGGCGTGATGCAATCAGCTCAAGGGTAATATTACATTCTCGGAGCTACCGAATATCATTATGCTAATCTAGATACACCGCAGTGTTGAGCACAATGATGGCATGTTTGGGACGCTGGACATTACCTTGCCTTCGAGCAATAGTCCTTGCGAATCAGTCCTCACCCATGATGGCAGAAAAAGGAGTTTCGATACCGGACAAGTTTCTGCCTATGACTGCTTTGCTTCTGCTTTTGTAAGTGCGCGTGCTTAAACTTCGTGAAAGAATCTGATTCTGTGCAATTTACAGTTCCAGGATGTTGTTCTGACAAGCTCTGTCTCCGAATGTGGATACAGACTTGTGTTGAGGTACTCATTAGTGACTGAATTGCCTGGAAAATTGTTTCCTACCACCTCGTTGGATCGGCAAACGGCCCAAGTCCAGTCAATTCTTAGCAATTGGGCAAAACAGCCAGAACAATTCAACCACAAGCTTCTAATCTGCCTAGAGTCAAGTGTATCTGAGGCAACTACGCGTCGCCTGAAAGAAGCCTGCCAGGGCGCAGGATCTTATTTGTGCAAAGCCACCCTGAAGCAAAAAATAGTGACAATCGACTGTGAAGATGATCCGTCTTACTCGGACAGGGTCGGGGGATATCTTGTATCCACTCATAAAGACCATGGCGAGCGCCAAGAGAAGACGACGGAAATGTGCAACTATAGAACCTTTGAGGGTCATTCACTGCCAAAACCTCCGGATTACTGTTTTGACGAAGGTGACATTATACAATCGGGCGACCACTTCACACAAGATGACATTGTAAAAGACGAAGACAAGGATTCGGATGACGATGAAGATTCGGACGAACGACGATGAAGATTCGGACGAACGACGATGAAGATTCGGACGACGATGAAGATTCGGACGATGATGGTGATCATGAGGTTGAAAAATACAGCAAACGTGTTAGCCAACACCTGCGCATGTGAGCTTTGCTCCCGCTAATGAGTCTTAGGTTTTGATCATCCTACCTAGGAAGCGAAGAATGACATTCTTCTATGCTTTTAAATCATACTCATGGCTTCAATCCTGCTCCCCTTCCTCTGCAGTAACAGCTTTGTTGCAAGAATTTTGTAAGGCTGCTCAGTCTGGAACAACTACGCGCTATGAAATCGGGCGGGAGGAAGCTCACCAATTGTGTGAAATGATCTTGTCGGCCGCCAAAAGGGAACCCGTGCCTCAAGAATGGGTACCTACGTATTTTTGGATGATGAAAGCCATCGCCTTGCTTGATAATAAAGACTTGATTTGCCAGGCACTTCCAGCTATGATTGCGTGTCCCGAAGTCTCCGAGCCAGTGTTTTCAGTTTTCAGTAATGGCGTTGTACGAAACTGACTGGCTCTACGCAACGTACGTTTACCTGATATCGACGAATGCTTGGAGATTTTCTAACCTTTTCCCAGTATGGAATCTCAGCTATCGGAAATAAACAAAATTTGAACAGCGCTATATTGCAGTGCGATCCATGGAGTCGCTGGCCAGAGGCGATGCCTGGATTGAAGCTCAATACAAAATAGCTTTAAGCACTCTGGACATTGTATGTTCAAAGGACGGAGCCAGGTTAGCGGAACTAGCAAACAAAAGGGCTAATGGAGAGTTCTTCCGCGAATGATTAGCAAGAAACTATTGAATATGCTCCTCTTGCTGACCTTTGTAGTCTGCTTCCTGCGTGGCGACGCAATATGAAATTTGTCTCTATGACAGTAGCTTTTCTCCACAACATTGGACGGAACCCAATTGAAACCAACCCTAATCGACAAGAGATACTCTCCGAATTCATGCAAGCCGCAAAATCGAACTCGGTAGTTTTAAAGAAGCATGGAGGTGATTACATAGCTATAGCTTCTATTTTCAGATTTTCCTACGCCATCGGCTTTACGGAAGGGCTGCAATCACTAGCTGCCAATCTCTCTGCAGGAGCCTCAGATCCAGAGAAATTTGATTCCCTCCGTCTTTTGCAAGAGCTCGCTGTTCAATTTCAAGAAGGGCCAATTTTGAGGTGCCGCGCCATTCAAGATTTGTTCAGAGACATTCTTAGCTCATATATATCTCGAAATGCTCCGAAGCGCCCCGTCATCGAAAACTTGACTCTCGGGAGATGTGGGTGTGGGTGTCACCATTGCAACCTTTTAGATCAGTTTCTTCTAAGCCCGACAAGAAAGGTTTTTGAATCAGCAGTGGGCCTCATGCGCGACGAAAACTGAGGACCCATCTTAAATCGCAAGTCCTAATGAGTACGAAGGGGTCTCGCGGTACATGGAAAATCACAAAAACAGACGAAAAGAATATCACAAGGATGAAAGAGTGGGAGATGAATATCAGAAGCTTCAAGAATAAAATCTCTAGTAATATAGGACTGGCGACCCTTCGGATCGTGTTAGGAAGTAGCTACGATATGATAATGTCCTCAAAAGTGGTGTCTCCACCCAAGCAGTGCTCTCCGGCTAAGTTCATAGACCTCACCTCTGAGCCCGACTCACCTAATACCAACCCCACGACAAACAGATTGGAACCCAATGCTTTTGGCTCTGATGCGGACCTCGGAGCGGCGAAACGAAAGTTTTTCGCGGCCTTGGGAATTGATTCCTCCACCAGCTCCAATCCTGGATCGTCTGCCGCAGCACATGACTTCCAACCGGCAAAGCGGATGCGCATTGAGACTTATCCAAGTATGAATAGCTTTAATGACTCTCTTCCACCAATATTCACCGGCAATCATTTACAAGATGCCGCCCCTTCGGCGGCAAACAGTCTTCCGTCTGTACCTGTAAGTCACACCTCACATCCTATATTGTGACCCTTCCGCGGCTAATACATAAAGCAGCCTCAACCACATAAATCGCTCATAGATGGACTCGACGTACTTAGACGAAAATACCCTCTTGACAGGTTTGAGGCTACCATGAAACATTCAGCAGTAGATAGCGATACCAGAATGCCTTGTCCCTCGGGGAGTAAAGTGCCAGGTAATTGAGTCATTCAAGCATAGGCTTTGAGCAAGTGCTAACCTTTTTAGATAACACGGAGTTCATGTATTTTCCTCGAATTCGTTGCCAGGGCTGTCCAGGGAAGCTCTACACACCGGGCCCCGAGGAAACCGTGGATAACTTCGAGGTACATCTTAAGAACCGGCAGCATAGAGAAAGAGTCGACGCGAGGAGATTCCGTGCGAAAAGGTGATGAACTATGGCTGGTTCGTGGCTATGTTCGTGGCTATGTCTTGGCTTGATTTTGCTAGATTGTTGGCGTACAGGTTTTAACGTCCAACCCTTTTTCGATTCTTCAAGTGCCTCTATAATGATACCACAATAAAGCTTTCGCGGACTAGAACCTTGTAAACTTTCACTATGTTATAGATGTAATCTTACCGATTACAATCCTAATCAAAAAGGTAGGTTAACTACTTGGAAAAATGCGGCCATTTAGACAAGAGTTGAGATCATAATTCAGCAGAACAGATTCTGCATCTCATCTTGCTTTAGTTGAAGTCTCCTTTTTCCAATCTTTAGGGCCAAGGTCAAAAGATTCTAGTCTGTGATCAAGACGGGAATGTACGGGTCAAATGCTATCAATGGAAATAAACTTGCTACCAAACATAAAAGCAAGCCTCTTTATAATACTAAATTATACCAAATACAGCCACCTCATCCATAACCTCAAAACCCATAACTAACCCAACCTCGCTCTCCAAAAGTTTACCCTTAGATCAGAACGCATTTCCTTTACCACAGGTCTCTACTCACCTCCCACAGCACTTCGAGAATTCAAACCGTTCACGTTATGTAAATCAACCAAGTCTTTCTGAAGAAGTGCAAGATCATCGGATAATGGCCAACGCGCAACCTTCTTTCCCAGTCTTTCTTCATTGTCGAAAGAACCCAATGGCCACCAGTCAACTCCCAAATCGCTAGGACGGTTCAATCTAAACGAACCTCCTGGTCTAAGAGATTGCAGTAACTCATCTTCTACTTATCATCTTTGTTATCTAGATGTTGCATAAGTCTAGCTAGAATTAGATAGCTCAAAAATACCCTCCGCAAGACTCTCCTAGTGGTTGTATATTCACGAATCAAGCCAACATCTTCTCCTCGTTTGAAAATTAAGTATGTCTGAGTCACTGGGTATACGAGTAGTAATAATGTATCGGTCAACAGGTCGCAGTGGTAACTCTGGAGCTGGATGTGGATTATTTGGTATTGTGGTTTGAGGGGACTTTGTATGGAGTAGTGAAGTAAGTTTATTCTACAAAATAACCAAAGACTTCACTACATTCATCAATAACACGGTATACAAACCCACCATACCCCCCAAACACAACCCTCTCCACTCCACATTCATAAATCACACCTTCCCCACCACCATCCCCTTGCCTCCAGTAAACCAGAAAATACCCCTGCTCCCGGGGACAAGATAAGTGGCAGACTTGAGCCACTCATTTCGCCTACGCCTCCCCTACGCCACACCAAACAAGTCTGCCACTTATCTTGTCCACCAGGAGCCCTTGGAAAAACACATATTTACATCACGTGCTCGCTTAATCTCATCCATACCTACCTAGTACCCATCCTACCCTACCCTAGAGCATCTAAGAATCGAAGCAAGCTATGTAAGACTAAGCAACTAACCCAATCCAATCTCTTCAATCTCTCTGGTTTCACTAAACCAGAGTCTTCCCGTAGAGAAGATAAGGAAACCCACCACTTCCTTTCGATATACCTTCACTTGCTGGCCAAGTCCTCCTACTTCACACTCACGCTCATACCCATTCTCCTCCTCAATCTTATCACCCATCCCAAATTCCCAACCCCTAACACCATCCCCAAATCCTCTTCTAAACAAAGATCAATAAAGGCTATCCAAACCAAACACCCACTCTCCCTCCCTCCCCCCGTCTCTCTCACTCCCACCCCCAAATCTCAAATCCCAAATCCCCATCACCATCTCAATCCTCATCCCAACCTCAGAAGCACCAATAACCCACACCATACACCACCCACCACCCACCACTCACATCTTATTCCCAAATCCAAATCTACCCACACAACTCACATCTCATTCCCCTTCCCAGTCCCAGCTCCAGGGAGTATTCTTTCATTTACCCGGATGGATACTGCATCAATCCCGATTCCCGATTCTCAGTAAGATCTTACATGTAAATGGGAAGGGGGAAGGGGAAGGGGGAGAAGATCTTTGTACCAGCGTTCACACGATTGGGAACAATTGAGAGATTGAGAATGTTGGGTTTTATTAGATAATTGGATGATTGGATGATTGGATGATTGGGTACCATGGTTTATTCGTTATGAAAGCACCGAAAGGGTGGTGTGATGAGTGATGGAATGATGAGATTCGTGAGGTGAGTCAGCAAGGAAGTGAGTCATTGAGGGTTGAGGGTTGAGAAAGTAGTAAGTAAGATATGTGTATAGGTGTAAGATACACATCCCCAAATCCACACACGACGAACCACCCACCTACACCGCCCCCCCCCAGACCACGGGGCCTCAGCTCAAAAAAAAAACACATACAAGTAAATAGTTCCCTAACTCACAAACCCAAGAAAACGAATGCCATCTACACAAATCCACATTCACATCCACATTCACATCCACATTCACATTTTAATTTGCCATTTTAATTCGAACATCTAAATTCGCTCGCTCGCTCGCTTCCTCGCTACAGTATCAAATTCCATCCATCCACGCTTCATAGTGCCATATCTCATCTCATCTCTTCATCCTTACATTCCCCCTATTATCAAAGTAAATCTTACAAAAGAAGTAAAACACGCCCTCAAAAAAAAAAAAGAGAAAAAGGCAAAAGAAGAACAAAAGAAAAACAAAAAGGATTGCTAGCCATTCAAAGAACCTGCAATGCAGTACCATACCATGCCATACTATGCCCCCCCAAAAAGAAGGAAGAAAAAACTCCACCCCAGGTGCAAGATTCCATCTAAATGAAGAAGAAGAAAAAACGAAGGAAAACGAGAAGAAAGAAAAACCACCAATATGATTTCAACGCCGCCATCTAATCTTTCCTGAGCCAGGGAAATCAGCCCGTCCTTCCTAACCGTGTTATCTGGCAAACAACAACTGCCGTATTCCTATCCCCTGAATAGTAACGATGCCAGATTTATCCGCAAATTCCGCGTCAGCTCGGGCAGCAAATCAGAGCCATACCTCCAAGCGAAGGTAGCCCCCACGTCTCAGATGCAATCAATTCCAGCAAAATGGCGACTTAAAGCTTCATATCCGCAACAAATCCCCATACGGTCCAACGACAAACTCCTCATTCCCAACCGCCTCGTCATAATCCGGAAGTCCTTCCTCGCTTGGAGGCGGACTCCATTTCTTTAAGCGGCCCGTAGCCCAATCGACAACCCATCGTTTGCCCTTCATGATCACGAGATTGCTTTTTCGGGGGCTGTGGCTGGTGAGGATGGTCATGCAGCGTTTGGCGTAGAGCATGTCGTAGAAAGGTGTCCATTGGTGATGTGGTCGCCACTTGCCGGATTCTGTGACGGAGGAGTTGGAGTCGAGGGAGGATTGGGTGGTGGTAGTGGTGGATGAGGAATTGGATCCTGAGCTATATGAGGAATATGACGAGGATGGGGAGTGAGATTGAGGCCCGTAGGTGGAAAATAGTCGAGAGCGAGATGCGGAGCTTAGGAGGCTTGGTCGTACCCTTTGCTGCTCTGGTTCAGGGGATGGGGGTTGACTTGGTCTTATTTCAAGGAGAGCGGGGGTCACAAGTTGGACTTCTACACTTTCTGTATCGTCTAGATCACTGACTAATGAGCTTGTACTTGTCGTGGCGGTTGTGGTATCTGGGACATCGCTAGCTCCGAATTCTGGCTGCTCGCGAACTACGTTTGGATCCCGTCCACCGTTCCTACGTGCACGACGGCGTCGGGGTCTGGGTATTGAAAGATCGCGGGGCAAGTCTCGGTCGTCGAGTGGTGCAGCGAGGTCAATAGCAGCGAAGAGAGATTGGAGCCAGAGAACAAGTGTTTCTATCTTGTTGCAGGATAACAGAAACTGGTCTGCTTCGGCACGTATTCGGATTACGAATCGCTTTCTAGCGGGAATACTAAGCAGGAAGTTTGAAATATCGATGTACTGGGACTAGAAATAACTTACTTGAGATAATCAGCGGCCACGCCGACCTCTGCGTGTTGGAGGTTATAAGTTCTTAACAGTGGACCTCGCTTAGCACCAGTCGCAGTATCGTTCTTTCCCTCCTTTCCAAATACATTCCCTCCCTTATACTTATGGAATGACAATGCTGTTCCTTGTAAAGTGACAATTTCTCGATACCAATTTCTATCCTGAGCTCGATGAACGGCGCCTTCCAACTCGGTCTTTCTCAAGAATACATTTTCGAGGCTGATGGCGCAAGAGTAAGGTGGTAAGACTTCTTGTCCTTCATCCTCACGCGGCTGAATATTGAACTTTGGACGTTTAGTCGAAGGCGAGAACTCTTCGTATGACGGAGGTTCCTCCTGAGTTTGTCTCGGAGATTGAGAACGAGTAGTTAATGAACACGCTGAGTGACTTTGTTCCCTATGCCGCTGAACATAGTCCTCCATTGACACCCTCGATGCCCTCGACATCTCAACACCGAGGAAATCTCCCAAACTGGCGAAATCAAGATTCTCGCGGTCGACGTTGTGTGAAGCCATCGCCAAGTGATTTTTTCCGAAGACTTGTTGAACCAAAGAAAATGTATGACGGTTGTACACCAATGACCCGAGTTCATGCATGCATGGTTCCAAAGATCGTCCCACGGAATCCGCGTATCAGGTCACCTTGTGATGCAGTGGGAGAGGAAATTCCTGGTTATGTACGGCCAAGAAGAGAAGGAGAAGGGGAGAGGAAGCACCAAGAACAGGTGGGATGATGATGAGCGAGAGAACGAGGATTCAAAAGAAAGGGGGAGAGGAGGGTAGGAGTATGTGTAGGTGTAGGCGAGGGACAAGAGGACATCAATAGTCTCATGAACTGCCGCTTGTGGTCCACCGGACTCCAGATAATGCGGAAAATTAATGACCTGGGACCGGGTCTATTGCGGGCTAGCAGACTCGCGTGCTTAGCGGTATATCCGGCACAGGGCTAGCAGCGTAGGTACCTTGTCACTCTCATGTCACTGCGCATTCTCCTCGAGTAAGGACCGATAGAGCCGGGTATGAGAAGATGCAACGGGGTGGAGAGGTGGAGGTGGAGTAGAGTAGTGGAGTGGGAGTGGAAGTGGAAGCGCGATGATAGGAGTGTACGGAGACCGTGTGCAGTCCTTACAGTGCGAGTACTTCCAGCACAGTCACTGAATCTCAGTGTCAGTGCCCAGCAGTCTCCTCTCCAAGCCTGCCAGAATGGGCTGTGTGAGGCTAATCGTGCAGACAACCTTGGCGCCATGGCATCGTGCTCAGTGGAATACGCTAGAAGTCACTGCCACTGCCACTCACTACTGCCATTGACTACTGAGTACCTGTACTGCCACTCACTACTTCCACTTGGCACTACTCCCCCAAACGGCAGACGAGGGCAGCCCCACCACCCAAGATTACTTACGACGTGCAGCAGAATGGCCATCGCTGGAGCACACTGGACCACACTCGACCACGCTGAAGACCAAACGGGCTAGCAACAGCCCGAAAATGGCCAGAACCAGGCACCGTCACCCTGACCTGGCCCGGCTGGCCAGGGCTCGGGAAAGCGTCGACCGGTGCGACAGCCAACAAATGTGAGCGCAGACAACCGTGGCCGTATGATTCGCAGTACGTTGGTGAGGATCGAAACATTTCGCTGCTGCGGTGTGGGCATGGTGTTGATGTCCACAAGGCTACCCTGGGGGACTCAGTGGAGCAGTGGAGCACTGGAGCGGCGTGGAGGGTGATGGGATGGGGGTCTGGCATCTATCTGCCTTCAAGCCTTGGGAATCTTGGAAACTCTGGGGTTGTGTGGGCGGCGAAATACCAAACTGGATCCCCTCGTATCGTCGAATGCGACGAGATCTTCAGGCTATGTCCTGTTCGGGACCGTGCATTTATCCAAAATCTCGGTCGTTGGACAGGATGACATTTTGATATACTTTATCACTCCAACACAAGCGAGCAAATGCCCGGTAAAGTACTAAAGGGCCTGCAAAGTATCTCGGGAGGCGCGAAGAAGAGACGTTGGATGCGTGTTGGGGGCGTCCTGTAGAACTCTCCAAGATCTCATTCCGCTCCTTCTCTCGCCTTCCGCTCTTGAATCGCGCCGCTTCCATCTTATCGTTCATGTACGACATGGCCAGTGGCCACTTGTGACATGTGAGTGGGGGTGGGGATGGTTTGATTCATGATCTTGATCATAATCAAACTCTTTTGAAAGAGGCTCAGATTCATACGTATGCTTGTTTAAGAACGTTGACCGCTATCATCTCTTGGACCCGAAGAAACTTTTCTTTGATAGCGTGGAAATATCGAAGTAAATTGGTGATCAAACATTGGCAGGATTAGATATCATCTACTCCATTTTGTCATTTTCTTGGATACCAAGAGTTCTGGTATCTGTGGCATCATGATCCAGTAAGATTTCACTCACCATACGAGGAATAAGGATCTCACAATATCATATTATTGACGGCAGACGCTCACGTTTCCAATAGTCAAGGAACACTTCACTTTAAACTAGACCGCGTATGAACATGCTACACTACACTATTGCCTCGAGTTACACAGAACTCCGCACTGCCCAAGAAATCCTAGTGGCTAAATAGTCTTGTCAACTCGGATCTCAAATACAATAGTGCGTATGTTTCACGCTCCAGCTTTTGTTTCTCGTCCATCGAAACAAACTATTACTCTTGACCATCCCCACTTGTCTCCACGTTTCAATGAACCAATTCTCCGGATCGATCATTCTCTTGTCCTGGGAAATCCGTCTCCTTTTACCCCGCGTTCCCAACCCCGCCAGCAAAATATACAAGTAGGTAACCAGATAAGACCGGCAAAGTCGGCAGAGTAGCAGCAGAGGATGAGAAAGACCCAAGTGGTTCTTTTGACACCACGACCGACAACGGCATTTACAAAATGCAATCTCCTTGAACCTGCTGCGAAGATCTTTCTGCAACCAGACGGTCGTTTCGTCTCTGGGCCTTTGTGTGTTCTTTATATCATTCTTGCGTTTTGGTCTGCTCATAATCGTCGGATTCACGGACCGCCGGTATGGGGTTGAGCCGAAACACTATCACTAAGAGATGGCTACTCGTCAAGAAGTTCTTGTTCGGGTCGATGGATTGATCTTTTTGGTTTTCAAGAATTTTCCAAGTCGGTTCTGGGTTGATGAAACGAATGGTTTTTCATTGGTTTGTTTTCCAGGCCCTGGCTTCTTTCAATACACCGGCATGACCGGCTCGAGTTCGATTCTGCATCAGGAACGCGCGTTGTTTCTTCGATGAGTGATACCTCTTCTTGTTTTGAAGAGGTTTGAATGGAATGGTTGATTGACGAGCAGTCACGTTTTGTCTCAAGTATATATTCAAACACGTGATTGTACCGTCTCCATTGCCTTCTCTTTTGAGATCGCTTTCCTTACTATAATTATTCTCTACGGCTTAAATAATTGGAATTTCCGAACAAAATTGGGCTGGGTAGATGAAGCCGTTATCCAAAATGTATTTGTTGTATCTCGAGGTCCTGAAGACGTGCAAGCTGGGGGACGCTGTCATTATCAAAGGAAAATTCAACCTGAGGGTACAGAAACGACATCTCCGAGTTATAGCAGGAGCTTTTAGATCAAAGTAATTTTACTGAAGGAAGCGACGCATTGGAGGGCTCGCAATGTCTTCATTAACATCAGGACTCAATGGAGACTCGCGCCTTCCCAAAATGAAATATTCATAGCACTTCAAAATGCTCAGGCAGCTCGTCTGTACCAAGTATTTCATCTCTATTCACATCAACTACAAATTTTGGACACAATATCGTCGTTCGGGAATCGTAATCCCATTTTTGGACCTTCATGTATTATCAGTCTATAAAGGACCTCCTGCGGACTAAGATCTGTTCGCAAAATCCGCCAACATACAACTTCGACCATGAGTATGATTTGTTACTCAGCACATCCCCGAGCGTATACGAGGTTGAATTCGATCTATGGGCGAAATACTGTATGTTCTGAGCTACCAAACACTGATACACTCCCGTTGACCAATTGCAGGTGTTCCGGATGGTTGTCGTCCGAGGACAACCTTTCCTGGCAAATTCCTCGATGTCAACGAGACGGATCACCATAATGCAGCACTGGCACTCTTATTATTGAGTGGCAACTCTGCAGGACGGGACCTGAATTGCATCAACAAGTCACCACCAGGATATGCTCTCAAAAAACAACGTGCCGTTTTGGATGCACAGCAGGGTTTGTTGAAATATGCTATTATGAAACAGCAAGAAGAGTCGCAAGAAGTTCTGGTGGCAGCTGGTATTTTGATGGCTAAGGGACAGACAACGGACACAGTCTTCCCCACAGAGCCTCTTGTCGAAAAACCAGACAAATGTGTTAGGTTTGGTGATGTGGCAGCAAGCAATGAAGAAACTGGGAAGAGTAATGATTTGCAGGGTCTCGTTTCTGGTGCTTCACCCCGTTCTGGGGGAGAATATTCAGAGTCAATGAGATGCCGTGAAGCACAATCTGGACCAACTGAGTCTCCTGGACGCCCCGAGGGAACCCAGCAGCATCTGGAGAATCATCCTGCTCACAAAAAGTCAAGCATTATGGCGACTGAAATATCCCCACGAAGCCTGAGTAGAACGCAGGCGAATTTGCCCAAGGCTGTTCAGAAATGTGGAAGCAGCGACGAGCGATCAACTACAGACTTACCGACACAGCAACGAGCAAAGACAACGAAGCTGAAACGATCCCACACAAGTATAGCCAACAACACCGCGATTTCCCGCAAGAGTCCAAGAAAGAGGGGAAGTGACAAATCTCAGTTATCGAATGATAACGTCCCTAAAAATACGTTTGAAGCGGAAGATGAACTCCCACTAGCTATAAGATTTCGCACGCGTCAACATCTATTGAATTCCAAGGAAGCGGTGGAATCTGAAGTACGGCGTAACCCCTCGAAGTATTCTAGCGAGAGTTCGCTTAGTACACTCAGTTCGTCAACTCCTTCCCCTCCACAGTCCAGGGGAACCACGAAAGAGCCTGTTGAGGAGGGCAAAACCGGTGACAGTGATGGTGAAAGTGCACATGATTCTTTTCTGTCCTCAAATGCAAATGTAGCCGGCGTTTCCGCGTCACTATCCTCCGCAGGTACTCCCTGGGGTTCTTCGATTACGCCTGTGGCAGTTGCCTTGACTGCTCCGTTCTCACCTGTCTCAAGTAGACCCAAGTCCTATAGCGAAGAGACGAAAATTCCAACCTATCCTCTCATACCTATCACTTCGCCAAACTCATGCATTAATCATTCTGTACAGAAACCCCCTTCCAAAGCAGTCAGTGAAGACGATGAAGGTGATTATGAGCTCGATGATGCTATGAATATAGATGTGGATGAGCCAAGTGAACCATCATCTTCAGACAAAGATGACGAAGATTACACAGATTCAGATCCACCCCCGAAGAAAAAGAAGAAATCCCCTGGAATCATCATCGATGACTCTGAGTCCAATGAAGATACACTTCCCAAGTCAACACATCGGAAATTCCAGGCCGGTAAGAAGAGCGTACCAAAACAAAGATCAATGCTTGCCAAATCGCGAAAGCAACATAGTAGGTCGCAACCTTTCGATATTGATAACTGCGACTCAGGAGAACGTGCACTTCCAGCAGCTAAGCCAATAAATCGAGAAACCCTCGATTTCCTCCTTTACCATAAGAAAGGTGAACCATCAGAGCCAAGGATGCGTTCAAAGCCCACAATTCCCCCCGAAAACCCTTCCAAAGACCGGTTCCAGGAACAAGACCCAAAACCACCGAGAATTTCACCCGATTCCGACGATAATAGCGTGCAAAATATCCCCATCTCTTCTCCTCTGAAACGTACCTACAAAGGCAAAGAAAAAGCAACTTCAACCCCCCTCATTCCCTCCAAACCAAACCAAACACCACAAAACTCCAAAATCAATAACCCGCCTCAATCTCAAAACAGCCGTCGAAAGAAGCGTGACGGAAGAATCACCTGCCCGAAGTGTAACACGGGATTCATCATCTTGATCGAAGGGGATGATGAGCGGAACTATCTGAAAGACTTTCGAAGGAAGGGGAAGCTGGTGTGTTGTCCTGAGTGTACGTCTTTTGGGACGACGCCGAAGGTTGCGGCGCTTTTGAAGGCGAAGGCGCTTGAGGGGTTGCAGTTGTGGGATGATTGGAAGAGGTGTGTTGGGGA